AATGAATTTCAATTAAAATAAAATGTAACATTATTATAATGAACTTTTGAAATATTTTGAGAGAGAGAGAGAGAGAGAGAGAGAGAAGCTCAAGAGAAAAAGCTAAATATCTTTCTCTTCTTAAATTATTTCACGCGCCATGATTTAAAATGTTAGAGAAATCTGTAATTACGAGCAATCATTAATAAAATAATGTTTATAATTTTATAAATTATAATATATTCTTCAATGATCTCGCCATATTTTAAGACAATCATAATATTTTTCACATTTATTGTTTTGAAAAACTACTGTATCATATAAATAATATTGACGTAAACAAGTCGAAAGATACAGAGAAATTAACTAATACATAAATCATAATAATCTTGCTAAAATTTCGACATTTCTTACATAACACATTTGCTTTCATAAAGATTTCATAAAGATTCGTGGATTTGTGTCAGAATCAAACAGAAAGTGTAAATATCTGTTTCTACCAACGTCGATTAAATTAAATCTCCGGTTAAACTATATGTTTGTCTATTTTTAAGAACTTATTTAAAAAGAAACAAAGATATAATTTAACCGGAGGTTTAATTTAATCGACGTTGGTAAAGAAATAGACCTAAGGAGTATCATTAAAAAAATCTCATTAAAAGAGAAGAAAAACTGTTGATCTATCTGATAGTAATTATCCGGATACATAAAAATAGTACAATCAGTATTATATTGTGTTTTGCAATCAGCTATTAAGTTAAAGAAAAAATAAACATAACTTTAAGGCATTGTTTTATAGTATATCCATGCTGTTCCAAGAGTATTTATCTCTTTTATTGGTTTTTTTTAATTGTACGATAAAAAGTCATTCAAACGTCAACTTATATTCAGATTTCTTAAATATAAATTCTGTAGCGGTTTATCTCTTACATATGTCTTTCTATTGCAAAATATAAAAAAACTTCAGCATTAACAAATTTTATTTCCAATTACGACATTAGACGCGTTACTCCAAATTCATTATCGCGCGACTAACAACGGTTTGCTCTACTTATCAGTGACATAAAGCTGGTCAGTTTGACCTTTCACGATCATGTTTTTAAGCGTTATACCACTGATGATCCAATTTTGCATGTAAATCACAGATTTTATCAATATAATGTAGAATTTTTATTACTTTTTTTACTTTTTGTGCTCATTTCTTGCAAATAAAAAACTGTTATAAAACAGTTTTTATGCAATATTAACTTATTAAATATTAATGTGATTTCACGATTTAAAAATGACATTTCGATATTGCGCGCACATGTAAGGCTATCTGAATATACATATATGTAGACTACTTTTTTTTCATTTAGCTTTTTTTGTATATTACGTTAGAATATTATTGCACATCACAGATCGTTATTAACAAACAATTACGATAAAGCGCGTGACAAAATCCGGTCGACAAAATATCTATAATCAAACACAGCGCTTACATCCTCTCATTTAACTATGTATTACGCTACCGTGTCTGGTGCAATTGATCCTGACGCATTCGTAATCGTATGTTTAGTAACTTTCTCGCGGCACACTTTGGCGCGGTGCCGAAGTTGGTCTTTCTCATGTCACTTTCGTATCTATCTCCTTTTACTTTTTTTTGAAGGCTTGCCGTCGACACCTACTCAACTACATGTTTACGCAATACGTGTAATCGATTGAGGAAGCTACGTTCCCAGAGAGAAAGAGAAAGGGAGGGGGATTTATCCGATTCAATAAGTCGCGGCTACATCAGAACTTTTTTTTCTTTTCAACACCGACATGCCTTGTCGCGTGCTCTATTGTGCATTATCTCTCTTAATCATTCAATGGCATGTAGAACAGAGATAAAATAAAAAATCGTTAAAATCTCGATGTTAAAATAGATATGAATAAAATCGTAAATATTAGTAATTACATAAATATTTCTATCAATATGCACGCGATTGCTTTTAATCGCTAAATCTTTTTGATAATAAACTAAATCGGAATCTTTATTTTTAATACAACTCTTTTTCGTCTTATATTTTTTATTGCAATTAATTTTCTATAAAAAAATTTTTTAATCTTAAAATGTTTGATAATTATTAGAAGCAAACCTACGTTAAAATAAAATAGAAAGCTCATTTTTAAAATAGATAATTATTAAATAAATTTGTAACGAATTTCGATATTTATTTCAAGTTAAGAGAGAGAGAGAGAGAGAGAGAGAGAGAGCTTTTGATATAAATACTTAAATACTAAAAATATATTGCTTACATCAGCGGCTTATTTTTTAAAAGATATATATATATACACAAATATATAATACAGAAAATTTGCAAAACGTTCCGGAACGGTCAAATATTTAGGGAAAAAAGCATTAAAAAAAACGACGTAGACAAAGATTGTGTTTAAAAGAATCCACTTAGTGATTTAAACGGTTTGATTTTAAATAGCATTGCTAAGGTTGTATCAAGGTCACCTTGAACTTTCTAAATGGAACCTCCATACTTTTTTATACATATACAAATCGATTTCTCACAATATTTTGTATAAAAAGTTATACGAGTAGGATGGACGATTAAAAAGTGAATAATTGACGAAATATTTTACATTCTAATTTGACATAAATTATAAAATATCTCGTAAAATATTAATTTTCTATTAATTTGATAGTCTTACCTTATAATTACTACTTTTATCTCTGTATACTTTTATCTCTATAATATAATGATTATGATTAAGTGTAAGGAAAACATATTGTTTAAAAAAAATATGTGTATATATCTTAATATTTTTTAAAATATGTGTATATATCTTAATATTTTTATGTATACATAATAATCGATTGATAAGAAACTGTACACAGATAAAAAGATTTAAGAAAAAAATTAACTACGAGTTATATAATTGTTAGTTGCAAACTACATTTTTTTCTTAAAAACAATTATCTATATTCAGTTTCTTAGCAATCGATTTCACTCATTATTATGTACATAAAAAATATTGAGATAAGATTATTAAAAAATGCATATTTAACTTATTATGTCATATATCGATACGGATATTTATACATCAACGTATGAAGTCTAGATTTTATTAATCTTTTTTTTTTTACTGTCGAGATATATCATATACCAATAGATGTCCAGAGAGTAGCCAAAGGAAGGTCCGAAATAAAAATATATATTTTCATCAAATAAAACGATATTATATATAATATCAATTAGTTGAAAAAAATAGTTACATAATGAAAAAATAATTACTATATTATTAAATATACAATATACATATTTTATAGAATGTTGAAAAAGATGACAAAAGAAAAATTAAATAAAATTTTTAAAAATTAGTTGGTCAAAGATTCTATCATAAAAAGTAATTGTGACAAGTCTATACATCATTCTGTCTACACAGTCGCTCGAAGTTACCACACTTGTCTTCTAAAATTTAAATATGTATAAAAAGTAAATACTCTTTCTGTAATCTATAATATATGAGTTATCAAATTTTTCAAGCTTGTACATTATTGAATTAAGATATATGTAATCAATCATAATATGTATAACAAACTAACGATATATTGAGAAAAATTATTATTTGTCGTAAATATTTACTGTTTTCAAGACTAATAATTTTTAATCATTTTTTAAATTAAAGTTTGAGAAATTAATACAGAATAATATTTCACGCTATTCTACTTGACAAATTCATCACTTTAAAAATCGCTGCAACTTAAAAACATTAAAGAATAAAACATTAATTTACATCTACAAATTAAATAAATTCCTTGACATTTTCGTTAAAAAGACATTGACAAATAATGTTTGACATTATTTATGCATAATGACTATATCGGCGTGCAAGGCAGTAATTTATTCGCGGCACACGGAAAAATCAAAGTCAACATCGTCTTTACACCGTTTAAACAATCACTGTACCTGATTCGTATGCGCTAACTAAGTGCACTTATCAAATATGAATTGACTATATGACTATATACGTACGTCAGTATTCAGTTTAACGCGATCGACGCGCGTAAATACGCCTACATATGTATATATAGTACATAGTCTTTCGTACTCAACTACGCCTATTTCCTTACATCGCGATTAAAGCTCACTGTGTCAATGGCAGCGGCGTTCAATGATCGTTGTCGAGTAAAGAGCTAGAGACCCGACGAAATGTTAACTCGAGCTCGACATTCTATCACGGATGACCGTTACTTTGACCCACTAACAAGGGGAATATCACGATATTTGACGTACAAATTTAGCACGAGGCGTAAGTGATCACATATCAGAAAATCGTGGGTGTGTGTGTGTGCGTGTGCGCGTGCGCGCATATATCAAGTAAGGGACCCAATTATCATTTTAGACTACTAAAGCTAAATTGATACAAGATAAAACTTTAAAAAAATAATTTTTGCTAACAGTATTATTTTCATACTTATTATACTTTTGGTTTTTACGTAATATTATATAATTAAATCTTAAAAATTTGCGATTAATTATTATTTATAGATAAATTTACCTACATATTTTTGAGGCTATAATCTTAACAAAGAATTCTGAGATTAAAGAATATTTTTTAATTAATTTTTAGTTATATAATGAAGTGGGAATAATCATAAATAGAGGGATATGTTAAAGATATATTGAAAGGTTCCTTTTTTTCATTGTAGTATAAATATCGATTACGGTTGAAATATTTTATATGTTTTTGCTTGATTCTTCTGATACGTCATTGAAAAATAAAAAAATGTATAAAAATGAAGAGATTCTTGTTGACACGGGAGATTCTTGTTAATAAAAATAAAATAAACATATACAAAATGTGTGTATGTGTATTGTCTATTTAAAATTATGATCGAATGTAAATCGTGAAAGAGGAAGAGTGAGGAAACATATAATATATAAATAACTTTAGCTTATAGCTTATATCTCATTTTGAGAATGTTTGATTTCGTTCTTGAAAGTAAAGTATTAATTAAAAATAATTATATATTTTGTTTTCAGATCTTATTCAAGATGACGAGCGCAGTGACAAATCTGGTACATAGATATAGGGACCTTATGGACAATCAGTCCGGTAAGTTCGATTCGTTTTAATTATATCAAATTATATTAATCTCTCTATACATTTCTCTCAAATTTCACGACTTCTATCTCTTTTAACAAATCTAGGAATTAAAATATTTCAGTCTTTTATTACGAAGATTAACGAGTTATTTAGTCACAAAATATATACATATAATACTATATATATAAAGATAAAATTATAAATATGTACTTTTACTCGCACGTAACATATTGAAACCTATTCTGTTCCAAGATATCTGTTAATTTATATATCCAAATATATTACTAGCTCCTTTTTTTAGGATATCGCTCTCGATATTATTAAATTATTAAAAAAAAAACTTACCGCGATATAATAACTGATATACTTTAAAGAACATGAATATATCGTCTTAAATGTGTTACGTACATATAAAGTTTTAAAGGCACATACATCAGAAATTTATTGGACATGTGCTAAAAACTTTTTGAATCACAGAATCGAATGACATAAGGTTCTGTTCGTGTCATTTTTATGGGACTTGTTAAACTTGCGAAATTGAAAAGTAGTCTTCATATATTTTTTATCACATTTCTGTTTTAACACATCGTGAATGGATTATGAAGTTTTGCAATAAAATGTATTCACGTGTACGCTACTTATTTTTTACTACCGCGTAATATTGTAAAGATACCGACATAACATGATGTTTATCATAATAAATCGATTAGTAATTACGCGATGATTGTAATATGCATATATAATATTTGTAATATGCATATATGTAACATTTTTTTATAAAAACTTGACGCAAAAGATTTTATATATCAATAAAACGCAATTCCCTTGAATAATGTTTAGTTAGAAGAATTTTATTAAACAAACGCGCGTGTTTCGATCTACAATGTTAATGAACGAAAAAAGATAGAAATCGCATTTCATATTCGCGAATATTCTTACCGATCGGAAAGAGGATACGAAAGAAATATGCAAATTCACTCAAATGCCATGGTCCAGAGAATGATGTGGAGCTTTTCGCCGGAAATCCCGCATGTATTACAACCGAAATATTTCAACAGTTCCGAGAGTCTGTTTACCGCGCGTATTTTCACGACGACGAGAAATCTCCCTCGCCTTCCCTCTTACAAATTCTTTTTAGCGCGAGTCAATATCGTGTCATAATGCCACAAGTCGAGTTCGTTGAAATTTGGGAGTTATTTGCGAAGCAAAAATTTTAAATTTGTTAAGTAGGTCTGCAGAAATGGCTATAAATGATTATACAATACATTTAAAACTCATCCTTGATATGATGCGCAATTGTAATAATATACAATATTGATGTAACTCAAACTATATGTATATAAAACAATTCGAAGTAATTAATTTAATGAATCAATTTCCAAGAATAATTATTTCATACAATTAAATTTTTCAATCTTTAAACAAGTAATGAAGTCTAACGGTAAAAATTACATAATTTCGCAGAAAAAAAATTTCCTTTGGATGCAAATTTTTTTATAAAATATTCGATAAATAAAAATCTAATTTTTACTTTAAAATAATTTAAATAATAAGTTGTAAACAACATTGTATTATAATAAATATGTATTAATTATAAATTTTTTATCAAAAGTTTTTCAAAAATTTTAAAATTAAAACCTATAGTATACATTTTGTATACATTATACAATAGTATAAAATAAATTATTACCGTAAAGCTAAACAATTAATTTCGCAAGTAACAAATAGTAAATAAATTAGAAATTCTGCTCATCTCACATTTGTTCCGCCTAATGCCTTATTGGACCTGCTTTCCGCCTTTTTTCCTCTTGTTTGTTCCTTACGTCGTAGATCGTAGCACTCATAAGACACTCGCAAAAACACGGTTAATTACGATCGCACGCACTAGAATACAGTAATTGTGCGCCACTTTGTGCAGCAGTCCCGATATTATCAGAGAAAACGCGTGCTTTATTATATTGTAATAAGAGAACAACAAGAAAATTATGTATAATTTATATTTAAAATTGTTTGACATATGCATTTCAAGTTCATGTATAGTGCCGCGAGTTTTCAAATTTATTATTTTTTTTATTGCTTTTATTACTTTATTGTTAGAATATATGTTCGTATTATTAAGAGTAATTCTACTATATCGCATTATAACGTAAATAATAAAATATACATATGATATTATTTTTTTGAGATAAATCATATTTAACATCAAATTTTTATTACACAGATAATAAGTATCAAAATATTTATATATATTATTTTAACTTAATTATAATTATAGTATAATACGATTTAAAAATCGATTTTGTACTTTCAATTTTATAATGATCAAAAAATTTGAAAATAAGGTCAATGAACAGATTCAAAAATAAAATTGCGAAATAAAATACCGCGCTACGCGAGTCGAATTAAAATATCTGTTAGTTAAGATAATAATAGAAATTAAATGAATTACAAATTGATAACTTTTTATTATAATCCTAGAAGATAATCGAATTTAGCATTTTGTAGCATCTGAATTTGTGAGCAGTATTATAATTTCTAACATTTTATTTTTGAACAGTATTGTAATTTCGAAAGAGAATACATGAAATAAAAAATGAACAACACACGAAACAATTCAGATTACTACCTCAACATTTTAATGTCGACGCGTAAATGACAACAATAATGTATGTGTAAATATAATAGCATTCTACAAATTGCAAAAACATGAGCTAATTTTTGTAACCTGTATATGCATACAATATAATGCGTTATTCTTTACATTTGATCATCCTATTGTACTACGACTTTGCATATATAAATGAACAAAAGTAGTTTGACGGTTAACGTGTGTGCCGCATTATTATCTCTTGAAATATAATTTTGACAAGTATTAGTAGATAAAATGCTACTGTTATATTTTATATATAATTATAACAATTACCAACCGTAGTTCTATTTAAAGACTCGCTATTATTATTTTTTAACCGGATATTAACTTATGCAAGAAAGTCGCGAGTTTTGAGAATTTTTTGCGAATTTTTCAATGTTTTTTTTAAACTTGTTAAATGTGTAGAAAAAATTTGGCATTTAAACTTTATGATTGATCAAAACGCATATTTTACAAGACGCCAATTTATTCGATTGAAATTAATCACACACGAACAGTCAATAAAAAAGGAACATAATTTTTAGATATCTCATTTAGTGGATATTTATCTTTTTTATTTTTTTTTTTCATATATTTAATCGATATAACGAGAGATAGTAAGATTATTAAAATGCGAATGTGTTTATTAGCAACAAAGGTAACAATGTCGCAGTGAATACGTGCACTTGCAATGTCGCACGATTTTGAAGTGTCGAGCAAACTGTACATAATTAGCTGTATGTATTTAACGTTGTTTTCCTGTCACAATATAATAAAGCCTTGTGTAAGATTTATATCGGGAGTGTTGTGTCCAAAGTAGCACACGATCGTCACATTCTTGTGTATACGATTGTAATTAACCGTGTTTTTACGAGTAAGTCTTGAAAGTAGAGATGAAGAAACAATAAGGAATAAACAAGAGAGGAGAAGGAGGAAACCCAGATTGAACAACGGCAAAATTGCGACTTAAGCAAAATTTATAACTTTTGTGCGAAATTATTGCTCGTTTATTGCCACACTAATAATGTCTACCTTATAGTATACATACACATATATGTGTGTATGTATTTTAAAAAGATACAAATTTTTTTTATAAAATAAATGATGAAAACCTAATTTGCATATAAATAAGGAATTTAAGGAATTATAAATGTTAAAATGTATAGAATACTATGTACAAAAATATATATATACATATGTATAACTATTTGTAGTCATTCCGCAGATCTAATTAGTATTAATAAATTTTAAAGTATTGTTCTAATTGTAAGAATGTTCTAAACTTTAACAAGCTTGCCAGATTCTCTTTGTTTTCAATTTCTCCGATAATCCATTCAAAACTTTTGATTAGATTTTCTAGATAAACACGTCATTTAGCAATAGTTCCTGTTTCAATATCTTACGTGACATTCATGTAGAAATACGAACAAAGAAAAAATTTTAATTTTTAATAAATATTGATATTTTTTGTCGATTTTCTCGGTCATTTCAATAAGATCTTATTATTGGTTAAAAATTTTTGAAGCTTAATTTTTTTAAACCTTTCATTGACAATCGTTTATACTTTAACTGTAACGTGATTTTGAAACAGAAATTAACCCTAAATTAATTGATAAAAGATAAAAAAATATAAATAAATTCTAGTAATTCTAAATTTATATTTCTGATTATGTGAGATTTGATATTTTTGCAACCAAGTATTTACAAGAGAAATAAAAAACAAGAATATAAAATAAACTTAATAATGAATATATATGAGATAAGATAATTTATGACAGATTTGTTTAATTACACGTTTAATACGATTATGTATTATTAAAACGTGTATATGCTTGTTCTAAAGAGAATGAAATGAATTTGACGTAAATAATATATATATTTGTGAATGGCAATGAAAGCGACGTTTGATACGGGGTAAGATCGGCGTTGTCTTTAATTGGGGCGTGACTGAGCAAGTAAATTGACGCACAGTCGTTTGACGTTTCGCCGTGTCTTGAAATCGATGAAGGCTTCTGTTGTTGGTGCAGGGCGAACGATATATATATTTTTTCTTTTTTACTGTTACAACGTAAACTTCTCGTACTTTCTCGTGTCATGCGCGGAAAACAGAGCCGACGAAGCGGCGTCGGTTCGTATTTTTCACTAATCATAGACCGTATAGACATATAGGCGCCCGTGGTCGACCGTGACGATAAACGCCCCCGATTGCTGATTTCATCAAAGTCTCCGTAAAAGCATTACGTGACGGTTAAACGTACGGATAGACGAAATTCAATGCAATATTGTCCGTTGCCTAGCATTTCACTTTGTCATTACAGTTGCATGCCTCGTACATACTTTGTACATACCTCTGTTTACACCCACTTTCCTTTCCAATACTTAACCGGCATGCGCTTGTGACATGTCGTGTCTCTTTTTGTTATCGATTCACAAACTCTCTGTTAAGTACATATTATTTTTGCATGATACTTTTCCACGTCAATATAGCATTACTGCAATCTCTTTCGGAATTATATACAGGTCGTCGACATTTATATCCGCGGACTAGACGGTCAAACTATAGTTAATTAATTAACGATAGCGTGCGCTATTAAAGTTGAAGCGTACAAAGTGTGGCGCGTAATATATCGACGACAAACCACGCCGCATCGTCAGCTCGTAATCGAGTTGTCGAGCAATCGTGTTGTGACCGAGAACCGAAGCCTTCTGCTGAGAATGTTGAAGAAAAAAGCAGAGAAAGAGAGGAAAAAAAATCGTTCCGTGTATCGGTCTCGTATCCGTTGGGTCGCATGAATGCGAGGGTAATTTACCGGAAGGCGACTCTGCTCGCTCGTTCGCGCCTCGTGCACGCACTCGGGCCTTTTTCTGCTTTCTCTTCGTCGTCGAGGGTGGATAGAAAAATGGCGATGGCGTTACTAGGGTGCTCGCGGAAGAACGAACATATTGCTACTCGGGATAATCATTCTTCTCTCTCTCTCTCTCTCTCTCTCTCTCTCTTTCTTTATTTTTTTAGGCACACATTTAAAAATTTTCTGAAAAAAAATAAACGCGTAAATATGCGATTCGACTTGGTCGTTTATTACATTTTTCCTCCTTATTACAACATATCGGCAGCTTCTAATGCGAATTTGTCGATGATGTAATAGATTCCTGCCACACAGCATTTTCTACCGACAGTTTCGAACTTCGACCCCGTTACAGGTGCGCGTCACGACATTGCGTAATTACGAGGACGACTTTTAAATCGTGCTCACGTGTGCTCCACTTTCCAATGCGCATATGATGTACATACATTACGAAACGTCAATTGTCTTCGCGCGAGAATGGAATTTCGGTTTACTTTTCCACCCTTCCTAAAATCTCGCTTAGTTCTTTTAAATGACTTATTCTCGCAAACTTCTCAAACTGACCTGCTTTGCACACATCTGTGATTGTTTCTTATTATATATGTTTATTTTTTTTTAAGTGTTCTTTTTACTTGTTTTCAGATCCCAGGGTAAACGATTGGGTATTGATGAGCAGCCCTTTTCCGACCCTAATAATATGCCTGTCGTACGTTTACATTAGCAAGTTTTTGGGACCGAGACTGATGGAAAACAAAAAGCCTTTCGATCTTCGCAGGATCCTCGTAATATATAACCTCATACAGACGCTCTTTTCCACTTGGATATTTTACGAGGTTCGTTTTTTTCTTACATATCTATATTATTCAATTTTAATACCGAAATAGAAAAATTTGCACGATTTCCTCTAATTACTATCGCGTACCTAATGAAGAATTATATTGTTAATGATTATAAATTAGAATAAGAAAATACGAAATCAAAATTGAATTGGATCACAAATATCATGATATTTTAAATATCTGTCTTAAAATATAACACAAATTTTATTAATCTTCCTCTTTATTAATTGATAAAATAAAAGAGTTTTTACTTAACAATCACGATCTATGATCTACGATCTCTGATATTTACGTAAACGTCGTAAAACAAATCGATAAGATTTAGTTATTCGCTTCATGAATTCACAATTACGGCGATTGTTTATTCGCATGTCAATCAAAAAGATACGGCTTTCAATTATTCATCCCTTCTCTTCCCCGAGTTTCCTTTTGACGTAATCAATAATTTTCTCGACCTGAACAAGCCACATGCGATTTCTTAAATCGAGGGTGGATCATTCTAGAGGGAAACCACGATCTCTCTCGAGAGCTAAAATAACTCCCCACAGAAAACTTTATTCCGTTCACTTATAATAATTGCCACTTTAGGATATATTGCCGAGACGGATCACTTTTAAAGCACCAAATAAATTTCTTTCACATTATTAATCTTTCCTGTTTCTTAAATCTTAAATTATTCGCATTTACAAACATCTAAATTATAGAATAAAATATGTAAATCAATGTCATAATAATTTGAGTAATTATTGTGAAACGTGTCTGTAAATTTCTATCTCGATTGTGAGTAAAATTTTATTGTTTTTGCGAAATAATAATAATCGTGAAATAACAAGACAATAAAATTCAATTAGAAATACGACCGAATCATGACATTGATCTTTAATCAGACAGAAATTACTACAATATATGTACATATACTGGAATGTATATATTTCAATTTATTATGAATGATAAATATATGCACATATTAATTAAATGTATATATTTATAAGTATACTTACGCTTGAACTTGATTACACCTGCACACTCGAATTAATGCTTAGTTTTTGTAATGAGGGTATCGCGACCTACTATTAAAAAATATTTATTTATAAAATAAAATAAAATTGTAAATAATTGTATTATTTCTTTAATCGAGAAATTGTTAAGACAAATTGTAAAAATAACATAAATAACGTAAATCATTTATCGGTTGAAAAGTTAGAGCTGCCATAGCAAATAATTATATTCCTATGATCATACGCGTGGAAATACATTGCTTACATTGCAGATTAATTTTTTATATTTATTTTTTTTTTTTTTTCATGTATACGTATCTTACTTTCTATTCACGGATGGATATGAACCGATTGTTAAAGAGATGCCATTCGTATTTGAGCCCGTAATCAATATTATGTACACGTATCTCGATACAGTTACGCGTATACGAAAGTATCATCAATGTCACGTGAAAGTAACCAAAATTTTATCACGTCGAGAAAGATTATGACAATGACCAAAATAATTTAGATTACAAATAAATATCTTTAAAAATCTGCAACATAATGTACACGAGACGCGCATTGTGTAATACACGCCATATGATTAAAAAACGCGAAAATGATTAACTTTCGCAATTGTACATCTTGTACTTTAAATTTCTTCATTTCTTTTTAATTTATGTATCTAACAAAATTTATAGTTTTTTTGCAAACTGTGGAAAAATTACTAAAATTTATAGAATTATTTAATTTAGAATGTAGATATGTACATCTTGAACGATATGCTATTTTATATTTAAAAATTGATTATTCTATATAGAAGAATGTTCAAGATATTTTTTGTTCAAACAAAGATTATTGTCGCGCAATTGAATTGCTTTCCTCAGTCAGTTCTTTCTAATACGAGTCGATCTTACTAACAGATTCTCTAATTTATTTACGAATATATGTTCGTGTAATCCTTTTGAAGTAATACGGTAGCTCATCTTGTTGGTTCTAAATATAGAACTTCATTGAATTTAAATGAAATTCTTAAATAGCGCATCAAATGTTTACGACATTAACCCATTTAATTAAAGTTTTGCTATGTAGAATGCATTTGAATAAACGCTAAATTTAGCGACAGATTTGTCGATGTGAAACCTAAAATTGACTCTTTCTTTTTAAAAAAAATTTTAATTAATTTAAAAAACGTTTCGATATTTTATTCAAACCAAATCGCACAAGAAAATATTTAAAAAAATATTAATTAGATTATTCAAATGCTAGTAGAAAAATCAAAGGTTACAATTCAACGACCAATTCTAGCACAAATTTTGTATTATTAATTCAAGACGACGTTTCGACCATCTGCTTTGTCGTCCTTATCAAGTTTTTGGTGGTCAATATAATTCTCAGCATTACGAACGCAAATCAAACATATTGAAATTCAACATATTCTAAGTACTGAGTATAAAGTAAAAAAATTAAAAAGAAAAACCGTCATGTCAGTAAGGAACTTCGTCATGAAATGTTTCTTTTTTTAATTTTTTACTTTATACTCGGTGCTTAGAATATGTTGAATTTCAATATGTTTGATTTGCGTAATTCTGAGAATTATATTAACCACCAAAGACTGCATACTTGATAAGGACCACAAGCAGATGATCGTCTTGAATTAATAATAAAAAATTTATGCTAGAATTGGTCGTTGAACTGCAACTTTAAAAAAAATATTATTTGTAATTTTACAACTTTTAACGCTATGCGTGTGTATGCTAATTAAGTAACAAATTAAACTTTAAAAAAATTTTTTTATCAGTCATTCTCCAAATGTTCAGTCATAATAAATCATTGACCTTTAATTATTCTATAAATTATATCTATATCTTGAAAATTTATCAAAAAAAGTTGGCTGTAAATTAGCCAAAAATCTTGTTATAATGACCAATGTTTCCTTTCCGTTTTCGAAATTTAATTATTCAGTATTATTTGTTTTATTCATTATTTGGAACAATAGTATACAAAAAATCCGATCATTAAATGCATAACTCCTATTGTTAAATATTTAGTAGAAGGATACAATATAAATGTTAATATTACGCTAATATATCATGTTGAATACATTTATACGTATACATAATTTTATATACTTCAAGGTTATATAAGGAATTATCTTTATTTTTTATCATTTACAGTTAGACGATATAATAACAATGCAATTTTGTAATTTTCTTACGTGTAACAGTGAATGCAATAAGCAGAATATTGAACTAAATTAATGAAAAAATTAATAACTTTGCTTATACGATAGATATTCCGCGATGCATGAAATTGCCCATTTAATAATACCAATCACGCGTAACTTGACATGATTGTCAAATCTGTCATAAACTGCGAGAGAATGCAAAACAATAAATTGCACTTATTTTTCTGGCAAATTTCACTATTCACAATAGATCATAAAATTATACAAAAGAAGAAAATGTGATAATATTTTCTTGATATTTTCCCACAGTTTTTTCTATTTTTTTCCACTTTTATTTTTCTAATGTAATAGTTTTATCTTCAAATATTTGCGCGCTCATTATATTACTTTAACTTTTTATATTTAAATCTCGATTAAAAAATGGATTGTAACTCAATGGGCGTAACTCGACGACAATTAATAATACGAATTGTTATATAAACGCGAACAGGGAGTGTGTAGAACTAATTTACTCCGCAAATATAATGGTCGTCTTTTCGACGCGCAACAGATTATAACTGTACTGTAACTCCTGAATATAATTGAAGCCACTTAGCGAATTAATTTCACACTCTCAACAACTTTATGAACATCCGACGCCTTTCAACAACGCAAAACAATCCTTAAATTCCAGCGAATTGAGTTTAAACGAACGGTTAACGCGTAAATTACACACGCAGTTATCTGGCGAAAGTGTGCATATTCATAACTAGGTAATGCACACACATATACACAATCGAAGAACTGCATGCGTATATTTATCCATGCATTTTAAACGTTAAATATTAAATATTAGATTTGAGATCGAATGTATCGCGTTTTTACGTTATTTATCCGTATTTTACAATAGCGCGTTGTTTACACGATTTAATCAACTATTTTTAAGGCCAGTAAACTTACTTTTATTGGCCATAATTATTCTGGCTACATCTAGTCAAAGATTTTAGGTAACGAATCTATCTACAATCTACAATTACGATTTATAAATTCGTTACCTCAAAATTAAATAAAATTTATTTCACTCACCGACACCGATGTACAACAGCATAGTTGATGTTCAAGTTTCACGTTGTCTCTGTAACATACAAATATAAAATTTAAATTATAACAACGTGTAAATTAATTACTATTTTAAAAAATTCTTATTGAACGCGTCAAACTTCATATATTTGATGCATAACAATAATAAACTATATGTAAATATACATTAATTTTATAAATTAAAAAACAATTTTTTAAGCAGAAACTTTTTATAGGATTTATATATTTATATAATTACTTAAAAAATTATATATCTTTAGTTCTTTTCTCTTGTTTAAATTATTCAATTAATGAATGGAATTAATATGATTTATAATACTTAATAAACAAATACAATAAATCAATATAAAAATATATACCTTAGGGTTGCTCTGCCGATGCCTGATGCCTTCCCCAGGCCTCCTCCTCCTCTCAGGTTGTTAAGATCCGTTGATTAACACGCGCGATACTTTTAACGACACTCCCGCACTTGTACGCGCGAAATACTTTTAACGACACTTTCACACTTATACGCGCGATACTTTTAACAGCACTCCCGAATTTTACGTTGTCTGTAACATACAAATATAAAATCTAAATTATAACAGCGCTCAAAAATTAATTACTAAATTCAAAAAATTATTATTAGACACGCCGAACTTTATATATATATATATATATATTTGGTACATAACAACAATGAAATATATATGCAACAATATCACATAAAAAATTCTTCTGATTTCTATAAGTCAATAATTTTCAAGATGTGTATAAAAATAATAAAATAATAAAAGATACGATTATTGTTAAAAAATGTCTTGAGAGGGAACAATATAATTAAACAATTTGAACTATTTGTTTAGTATTTGATGAGCGGCTGGGCGAAAGACTACAGTATCCGATGCCAGCCGGTGGACTATTCGTACAGTCCAATGGGCCTTAGAATGGCGAGAACCTGCTGGTGGTATTATTTTAGCAAATTTACCGAGTTCTTCGATACGGTAAGTATTGGTTTTAATTTGTGGATATTGATTGGACTATGTGATGCAAATATAAGAGCATCTTAGAGAATCTTAATTATTTTGTCTAAATTAATTTATAATTTTTATTTTTAAATTTCAGATATTTGTTGAAAATTCTTTCAATAACTTGTAGTGAAATAATTAACTTTTTTCTTTATACACTTATGCTTTAGATTTTTTATTAAAATATATCGAAATCTCACAGCTTATTCTAGTTCTTTTTATTTATTTTCTCATTAATATAAAATAAGCTATCAATTGCATGATTTATAAATTTGTAATATGTCTAAAACGCAAAATCTTTCAAGAGCTTTGAATTGAAAAATATTTGTTACGAATATTTACGAATTTAGATAAAAATCAATTGTTGGAGAAATAATGTTAATCCAAAATTATTGAAATAACAAGAAAAAAAATTAATTAAAATTTTATATGTATTTTTAGCTATTCTTTATTCTGAGAAAAAAGAATCAACAAGTCTCAACGCTTCATGTAATTCATCACGGGGTAATGCCCTTCTCCGTATGGATGGGGGTGAAATTCGCACCAGGCGGTCATAGCACTTTCTTCGCCCTTCTAAATACCTTTGTACACATCGTGATGTACTTCTATTATATGGTAGCCGCGATGGGACCACAGTATCAGAAGTACATTTGGTGGAAAAAATATCTTACTAGCTTGCAAATGGTAAGTTTACCTCGCGTTATTACAATATTAAAAATGATAACTACAATGGTCATGAAACCACAATTATTGTGTATACTTTACGGGAGATTTTCTCTGCGAATAGCATCCTATTTAATATTTCGCCGACAATTGAATGTCTTCTGTTATTTTTTAAGTATTGTATATGTTACAAAAAGTCATTCAATTATAAGTATATATAAAAATTGTAATATTATAAAAAAAACTTAATTAAAAAATATTGTGGTATGATTTCTAAGTATATTCATAATTTAATCGCTTCTTCAAATATAATATATACAATAATGAATAGCGGGAATTGAAGAGCGGTTTTAGTGGGTACAGTAAAAAATTGGTAAAAAAAGTATAACGCGTAATCAGAAGAATAATTGTTTTCTCTGCGATCAAATAAAATTAATCAAATAGATGAAATTGACAAAAGTGGAACAAAATGAGTCACCAATTGATTTCTCAATTTGAAGTCCCATTCACTCTGTATTCTCCTATTCTATCAGCAGCATTACTGTTTCTCTAATGTTGAAAACGTTATATATTGAATGTATGTTCAACAATACTTTGATTCCTATCGAGACACAAATTTTATGCCATAATTTTTATTATTGCTTTCACAATTACTTACTTCACTGTTTACCTTCCGAATAGATTCAATTCGTGCTGATCATGTGCCATCAATTCCAATTGCTCTTCACCGAGTGCAATTATCCACGAGGTTTCATGATCTGGATTGGTCTGCACGGTGTTCTATTCCTCGGACTGTTCTCGGACTTTTACAAAACAAAATATGTGAGCGGCACCAGGAGCAAAAGCTCCGCGAAGAAGATGCACAACGGTACGTCCGGTGGAGGTTGTATGCCGATTTTGGATGAGAACGGCAGCGCGACTCACAACGGCGTGTCTTCATATGCCACGATCTACAACAAGGAGTACAACAGCTGTTATAGCAACGGCACGAACAATGGTTATGTCGCCAACAATAACATCACAGATAAAAAGCTTGCTTAGGACACGTCGCGGCCTCATTGGAAGCTCGAACATTTTAGTCGATGTGTCGGTCATCTACTCGTCTCGTCGTATCAATTACATTTGTCTATCATGAAAAATTATCTCACAATATGTTTACGAATTTATACGCGAAACTGCGAAACCAAACTACACTTATGTGTAAAGAGAAACGAAGAGACGATGAGATTTCCGAACGAAAGAGCGGACGTGTATAAAGCGAGACATCTCGTTATATATTCTGCATTGTTAGCAGAGCAGAAGTTGTGTTCACTAACATAGTGTCATCGATAAGACGGCTGTTATGACGTCCGTGTTTAAAAAAAAATAGAATAAAGGATAGAAAAAAACGCGCGATGCAACTGATCATTAACTGCGCAAATTTTATTTTCCAGTATATTACATAAAACATAATGTGATCTTTAAATTAGAGCCTTGTAATATCTGCGATGACATCATCCAAAATTATTAACAATGTAAATAAGATAATTATCTAAAAAATATAAAATTATGATTTTTATATTTGGCATTATATTTGACAAAATTATACTAAATTTTTACATTGCAAATAGCTTGAATAAGCTAACTAAAAAATGATCAGATTTGCTATAAAAATAATGCGAGAGCAAGTCGAATTAAAGCGCACACATACGACGAAGAATGCAGAGCATTCATCATCGATAATTGGCAAGGACGGCGTGTTCGCTATGCGTGTATTGTTTGCTGGTTGTGTACGTGTTGAGTACAAGCGTGGATGTTGTTTAGTTATACGTAATTTTTTCAAGTCATTTTCCATTGAGGCACACTACTGGAACTAAACCCTTTCCCTTTATTATTATAATCAACTATTTTTTCTCTTCCCCCTTTCTCTCCTCTTTCTTTTTCTTAATTGTGTTTAAAACTTCAATATTCTTAAAAATTAATAAAATAAAATTATATACAAATTAATTCGTTCAAAATATCGTACGGCAGAATTGGTTATATGATTATGTTGGCAATCGTTAATCATTTGTAAAGTTTTTTCTTTTAATTTATTTTAAAAAATGATGCTTTCTGAATTTTTCTTTTTTTTATGGCAGATAAATTTCGCAGAATAAATATAATTTTTCAAACATAATAAATTTATTCTGTTTGTCTTAGATTTTTTAAATTAAAGTTTCTAATTTTTTTTAAAATTATTTATATTGTCTTATATATGACTTGAAATTTTAATGTAACAATTTGTCAACATGACAATTTTATATGTATATGGATAAATTATATTTGTTATCGATATTATTATTTCAAAATAAAGTTTCACAGACGAAAACGTTACGCATTATTAACGGCATGTGCCAACTTTATCAACTAAGTCCATAACTTTCTATATATTACTAATTTATTATGTAGCTTGATTCTACTATTGACGATGCGATAGTATCTGCGATATAAGTTGCCGAAAAGGATTCATTCGTCGCTTCGATCGTTTTGGTCTTCGATACGAGCGGCTTCAATAAGCCGCACTGCGGCTCGTTATCGTTGTGCACAACAGAACACGAACGCTTTAATCGATTGAAAAAAGTATACGATATTCAAGTCGCGAAAGTCACGAAGCTCTGTTGTAGAATCAAGCTTCAAGGGAGCGCGCACTAAATAATGAGCCTTTCTTACACGCAATCCATTAATTTGATCAAGACGGTCGCAAAACAAGTCGTACGAATGTGTTTCAAGAATATGTATGCATACACGCAAATAATACTATATTCGAGGGAAAGGGCAAATGTTTAGAGATCGTATTATTCGCACTATAAGATTAACATATTTGTACACTTCCTATTTTTATGAATATATTATTTATGATGATCTAAACATAATAAAAATCTTTAATGATAAACATGTCTCTCGATTGTAATAAACTCCACCTCGGCTATTTTTACAGGCGGATAAAATGGTTCTATCGAACGAGAATGAGAGATCTAAACGTAGAGTAAGTCTTCAGTCGTGTTCGTCATAATGAGCTCCTTTATGAAAGTATACGTACAATTGAACAGATGATTAGCGAAGATTAGCGGGACAAACGTATCATCGAAAAGCGTTCGTGCATTTTTTATTTCATTTTTATAAAGTAGTTTCTTTTCTTAAATTTTCTTTGATTATAGTCGCGCGCGAGAACGTATTCTTAAACAAATAAGCGAAATATTTGTTAAAATTTGACTCTTGTATGTATATTTTTGTCGCACTTTTATGATGCCAGTCTGATTTCGACATTGTAATATTGTAATGCGCTGTTGTATAAAAGATTTTACAATAGCTAATTGTTTTTAAATATTTTTTATTTACACAAGAAACTAGAAGAGCATATTAATGATTAAAAATATTCTATTATTTTATAGTGAAACAGATCAAATAATATTTAATATATTAATTATTTCCAAAAATATATTTAAGAGTGACAATCCGATCTTTCGTTTCTTTTCAAAATCATTATTTTAAATATTTCTTCTAAAATTGTTATTATTTGTTATTTATTGTTTTGTTATTAATTCTTCTGTTTACTCATATTTATAAAATACAACTTATACAATATAACTAAACAATATTTATTTGTGTAAAATATGACGTAAACTGTCAGAAAATTGTGAAAAATGATATAGTAATGATGCTTGACTATAGGCTTGCAGTAGTTTACTTGTGTAAATCCGGATATATGAAATATGTTGAAATTATATTGGACGTAATTTCCATAGATCGTTATATAAATATTAGGGTTAATTTTTTATGCACGAATACAATAACTTAGATTTCCGATCTATTGCAATAAATTCTGTGGAATTGATATTACAGTTGACATTATAAATTTTGCATCGTACAAATTTGATTATTCATTATATGTATATCGAACATGTACTTAGCTTTGTTATTCTGGCTTAGCATAAGCATAAGTATAAGAAAGTAATTATAATGAAGGGCAAATGATAACGCATATGCATAATCTAAAGAACTGCCATAATTGAGTGACAGAGTGTGCACAAAAATTTCATATGAATGGGAGAGAGAGGTGAATTGAAAGAGGAACATAATTTAAGACAAATATTTAGTCAGTTCTTGAGTGTTCAAGAAGATTTTATGCTGTATGGTTTATCTTACAATATTGCGATAAAAAAAGTTAAATTAATTAATAGTTAGATCTATTGTTATACATTATCATATTCTTATTTAATTTGTGATACTACGGTATTACGGACACAATAATATTGTCCTAATTAACATGTTTAAGAAGAAATAGTTTTTGCGAAATAGTCACGCAATAAAACAGCGTTTTCGTTAGCAATTCGTAATTTATGACTTTTTCTGAGTATCACTATTAATTTAAAAAAACATACTGCAACGTGAGATGTATCAATGAAAAGAATTTCATTGATACACGAAACGCGAATGTGAACAATTGAAAGATTGTGCAACGCGTTTAATCTTTGTTCCTCACTAGACAACTAATAGATAAAATGAAAAAAACTTTGCTGAGAAGACAAGGAGAAACTTCCAATCTTTTTTGTACTAATATAAACGCGATACTTTTTCTACGAAGATATCGTTGCTACAACATTTTTTTATTTAATTGTATTTTATCAACTTAAGCAAACGAGCAAAGATTCCGTTTTGCATCAAACTCACAATATTTTTGTAACGAAAAACCATGTCAATTCCAATTTCTACGGTTTTACAATATAACTTTAATCTTTTATAAATTGTAATTTTCTATTAGAATGGCTGTTTTTTTATTGATTGATAAATTAGCGCAGTAAAGACTAATGCACTTTATGTGACTTTCTTATATTTTCAAAAATATTTTAATATGTATATATTGTTTTCTTTTACTTTTAATTTTTTTTTTTCAAATTAAAATTTTAATTAAAAATTTAAATTGCTTCTTTATAAAATTAAAAATTAACAAAAGAAATGTGCTAAAAACATCGCAAAGATATCTTCTAGACATCTTTGTGTCATACAATAGATTTTGCGCAAATTGCAAACAGCCATAAAATTGCATGACAATGCTAAGCTATAACGATACTTTACGTGTTCATAGAAGGATGATCTGCGCGTATTATTATTGTGTAATGTACCGTCATGTGTCACAATTTCATATATTCTCTGGGCGCACTTCAAAAATTTAAGGAATGCGCGAAAGGCTGCGACATAGTGAAAAAGCGTATCGCGTCATGTACCTAAACTTTACGAACTCTGTAATAATTCTCATTATATTTTTGTACATAATTGGGAAAAATTTTACGAGAGAATAAAGCAATTAAATGAAAGAAACTCGACTTGGCGTATTCAAAAACCACAAAAATTAATGATGCACATACAGAGAAAGCAAGAAAGAGAATGTATCTAATATTATATTTAGTAGATATAGATAATTAAAAATAAATTGCTCCATTTTATATATTCATTTTATGTCTATTGTGTAATTTTTATATAATTTTTGCAAATTAAAAAAAATTAATATAATTGAAAGTATAAAATAATATATATTTTTATTTCATTTAATTTACATAAAAAATGTAGATATACACAATTTTAAATGTTATTTATTTATTGAAAATTAATATTTGTTTTTATGTTTATTAAAGTTTAAAAAGTGGAAAAATATTATTAAACATTGTGAAATATAAATACCTCAATTCTTCGAGATGCATAATAAACAATTAATAATTTCTGAAAATTGAACAAAATTTTATTCAGACAAATCGATAAAAATTATTAATTTATTTTAATTTTTTGTTTATTAATCTGAAATATTTAAAAAATCTGAAATATCTTTTTTTTTTCTAGAAATTAAATAATTAAAATTTAATTTTTAATTTTTGTAGATTATAATAACACATTCCTTTCTATGCCAATAAAATATAATATAATATATTATATATATATATATATATATATATATATATATATAAATATTATAATATATAATATATTATAATATAATATATTAATAAAATAATATTTTAATATTTTAATAATATTATATACGTTAAAATAAGTAATACATATACACACACACGTAAACACCCTCTCCTCCCCCAACCCCTACAAATACAGACTCATATATATACATTTGTGTGCCACATGATTTCATTATCATCTATCGAGCTCCATTCATATATTAAGAACGACATATACATACCTGATAACAATCACAGGCAATCTGCAGCCGTTGCACTCCGATTTATGCGACGAAATAAATCGCGAAGTAGATTTCGAGCCGTTTTCCCCCCATTCTCGCTCACTCGAACGACAATGAATGATTAAAATCGCGATATCGGTGTATATCTGACAGATCGCGCAGAACCTTCATCGTATTTACGTACGGCGCCTTCGTGTGAAACATTTTATCGCACGCGGATTTCACTTTTGAACGATAATAATCGCGAAAGATAGATATTTAACGCAGCACTATTGAACACGGCAACTTCCCGATGCGATGATCTTGCAAATGGTGGTGGATTCGAAATTTATCGAAACATCCGCAATATTGCGATTCTCGAAGTGTCAATAGTATCGATACTATCGAAGCAGCGGACCAATCAGAGACGAACACAAATTTGCTCTTCTCTCGCACCTCAACTGCACTTTCTCTTTTTCCCTCCGACACTTAAAAACACTTATCTATTTATTCTCGATACAAAGAAGAGTGATATAAAAAATGTAATCGTAAAGAATATTTTTCTCTTGAGTCTGTTTGTCTTTCATAAATAAGGAGAAGGGAAAAAAGAGCTGAAGAAAAGTGCAAAGAAGTGCAACTCGCGTTCTCGCGGAAACAGAATTCTAGATGTGATTTAATAATAAATATCCGAAATGATTTGACGTATCGTATGTCTTTTACATATTTTTATATATTATATATAATATTTATATACATCGAATAAGCCTTTACCGTGCGATTTCCGCTGCTAAAACTATGAACGTTGCACCGACTCGCGTAGCACAAGCGGGAACATGGCGCCTGAGTGAGGAACGCTGAACCGAACGCGAGTGCTGCTAGATTTACTGTCGTTTGTACACATACACGTACGCATTCTCGCGGAGGTGATTCGACGACTCGGCTCGATTTTTCGGCAAAATGAGCAATCTGTCACCGTTCGGCGGCGGCAAAAACCCCCCGTGGGTCCGTAACGCAGGTGAGTCGTAATACGAGCTCTCGCTTTCTTTTTGGGGCATCCGCGAACGAGAAGGGATCACCTTGGTCGACGTCCCGTGCAATACGAGCGACGATGTCGTCGAGTTTCTTCCCGCGTCCGATTTATGGACGGATCGATGGACCGCTTTCGATCTGTCATGCTAACGCGCCACGTCATTCCCATTGTTTCGTTCAAAAATCATTCTCGATTTTCCGATGACCTCTAAAGTGTAATGACTATCCAAATGATGCGATGTCTCTCTGGAGAAACTGTTATTTTTTTTCCTTTTATTCTCATCTTTTTCTGTTTTCGTGTGTCATCGATCGTTGCTCTCTCGCGAAACTTTTAGTTTAATTAAAATGTCTTTCAAAGATAATTTATTGCTATTGATGTGAAACAATATCAAGTGTCGGTTTTTCTTCAATATCTTTTTCTTATATAGCATCTTGGATGTATGTTATAATATAATTATTATAATATGACAGTGTGAAGCAATATCAAAACTTGATATGATTCAAGTATGTCACGATGTATAATAATTTTTAACTGTATTTGTGAAAGGCCAAGGTATACAGAATATCCAGCAGCAAATGTTAGGTCAAGCTATGGGCAGCATCGGAGGGCAGCCAATGGTGCAGTATCAACAACAAACTCAGCAAGTGTATCAACAAAGTCTGGGATTACAGCAGGTAGATAATCAAGAATTAGTGTTTATTGATTAGTTGTCTGTAATGAAACAAATATGAATGATTCTATATCTGCTGTATGTGTAGCCTAATATCACTATGGCATCAATGGCAACTCTTGGCTCGAACTTACCATCGGGTATAGCTGGACAATTATATCCACAAGTCGCTACAGTCTCTTATCCAACGCCACGAGCATTGAACACAAATGCTTTTCAACCTTCTGTAACAGGTGTTCCGCAACAGGTGCAACAGAATGTACCTTCATCATCTACAAAGCAAAGAGTTTTCACAGGCACTGTTACCAAAGTACATGATAATTTTGGTTTCGTAGATGAAGATGTATTTTTCCAAACTAGGTAAACAGATCAAAGAATAATTTTAATTTAATTTTTATATAATAAATTTTAATCTATTTTTTACTCGTACTTTTAATATATGTTAATAAATCCATTTTACTTTTGGTTTCAGTGCATGTGTGAAAGGATCCAATCCTGTAGTAGGAGATCGTGTTCTTGTAGAAGCATCATACAATCCTTCTATGCCATTCAAATGGAATGCCACTAGAATACAAGTGCTCCCTATGAGTAATAATAGCAACAATGCAAATACTCAACAAACTAATCAATCAAATCGTCAACAACAACAGCAGCAACAACAACCAAATAGAACATCAAGCACTTATAATGCTGTTCCACCTCCTACAGAAAACCCTAACAACAGGTAAAATAATTATTTTTCTTTATTGAATATAGTTATATAATTTATATCTATATTTTAATAAACTAGTATTTTTTTATTATCACTTGATTTACAGTCTAAATCTAAATATTGAGTATTAAAATAGATTATGGTAATATTGTATTAAGATCCAATAATTCATAATATTTACTATAAATTTGCTTATTAGTACTCAAATCTTATATTTGAAATCAAATTCATACACAAGTTTTAACAAATATTTTGAATATCTAATATAGAAAATTATGTAATATCACTTTAATGTGATATACATTATTTTATTGACATATATTGTAGTAGGTTTACAACAAGTACAACAAATTCCAATGCTACCAGCAACCGTAACAAAGTTGGTAGAGTAAGAGAAAGATCTCCACGCGAACGAAGAAACGATGATGAGGAAATAGAACGAAAGAGACGTCGCGAAGAGAGAATAAGAGAACGCGAGAAGAAGGAAGACAGAAGCCCGTCAAGGACTAGAAGAAGCAAGTCACCCAGACCTCGTCGACGTACAAGAGTCGTACCACGTTACATGGTGCAAATACCGAAAATCGCACTCGACCTGTAAGTATAATTTATTATCTTATTTACGTGGCGAACGTGTATTCATTAGTAGAGTTTTATTACTGCTTATTATCACAGGCCTGAAGCAGATGTTCTTGAGATAAGAAGACGCTATCAAAATATGTACATTCCTAGCGACTTCTTTTCAACTAACTTCAGATGGGTCGATGCCTTTCCACCACATATGCCATTTACCCTTAATAAACCGTGCTCCTTTTATGTCATGCATAAAGACGTCGATCCATGTAATGAAAATACAGCAGTACTAGAACCTTCGGATGCTGATTATCTGTTCTCTGCAAAGGTCTGTCAAGAAGTATTGCGATCATCATTATAGGACAAGAGATGAACAATTTCACATTTCGACTCTGTGCGCTGATACTTTTAGCGTGATAGGGATTGACATATACATACATGCATGCATATCGAAATAATTTTGCATACTGAATATTTCTTAATTGCATTTTAGGTCATGCTCATATCTATGCCTGCCATGGAAGAGATATATAAAAGATGTTGTGGTGTTTCCGAGGATAGGGATCCCGATCGCGATTATGTTCATCCTACGCGCCTTATAAATTTCTTAGTAGGCTTACGAGGCAAAAACGAGACAATGGCCATAGGTGGGCCATGGAGTCCCTCATTAGATGGGCCTAATCCTGAAAAAGATCCGTCTGTATTAATTAGGACGGCCGTGAGGACCTGTAAAGCACTTACCGGCATAGATTTATCCAGCTGCACTCAGTGGTACGCTTTTTCAAGTAGCAATACTTCTTGTTGAATGTGTAATACTTCAAGCACTTAAAAAAAACTACTTTAAAGCCCCGATTCGTCATAAAGAGTAATATAATATCATTGAATTTCTCTTCTCGTATATTGCACATTCTACATTTCAACAGTATCATTTTAAACGAATACTGAAGGTCACAATTGTGAAACTTTTCATCTTTTTTTTTTTTTTTTATTTTTATTTTTATTTTTTTTATCTAGGTTACATTTCTAGAAATAATCTTTCATACGACGTAAAAACAAATCATTAAAAAAAACAATCAGGATAGAACACTATAGCGTTAAGATATATGTCTACGATAGGTATATTATCCACTATTTCGATGGAGAGAAACTTCTAATATCAGTTCTCTGACATGATAAACTAAGATTGTAGTTCGATCTCTGCAGTGGAGGTATGTATTTAATCTCTAAATGCGAGCGACCGATGGAGATTGCTGCACTGGATCCCGGTTTCAAGCACACCCTCCCATCGACGACGATATATGAGCAGTCGCGGCAGACAAATCATCACTATATTGTTCTATTATTATTATCATATGATTGTGACCCATTAAGTTGTGCTTTCTCTCTCTCAAATGGTCTCTACGTTGTGCGCTGTACGTGGCTTTGTATGCAGTGCGTGGGCTTTACGAACAAGCAAGCGAACACTTAGCATATAAGGCAACGCTAAGCGCCATTAATCTGAGTTGACGTTTGGGTATTGTTTTTCCTTGCGGCACAGGTACCGCTTCCTGGAACTCTACTACAGACGTGCAGAAACGACCCACAAGTCCGGGCGAGTGGTACCCTCTCGCGTTGAAACCGTCATACTATTTCTCCCAGATGTTTGGAGCTGTGTACCTACCAGATTGGAATGGGACGGGCTACAACTCAACTATAAGAAACAACTGGAGCGAAAGTTGCTACGTGCCGCCTCTAACTCCGACGATTTGGATGCTGCCAATGAGACTGATGAGGCTGCCGTCGCTGATCAAAAGGCACTGCCAACATCATGCCATATTTTATATCTTTTTATTATATATTTATATATATATTTATATATATTCGTGCCACCGTTTCTCTTTCCATTACTAAACTGGATTTTCAATAGGCTATACTTGTCCATCGATCCTATAGTAGATCAATCTATCTCTCAGGCACTATTTCTCTCTTTCGTTTTTCATTTTTTTTCTTTTTTTATGTAATGGATTGCATTTTATGTCAGTTTAAAAAAAAACAATTTGGGTACGTTGAATTAATAATGTACAGACATGTTGTATTGCGAGTAGTTTGAAGAAGGAAATATGTGTATTAGTGAATGATTAGGACTCTGGATTTTTTTCATTTAAATATATATTTGTCTAGATTTAACTTCTTCCATAAAATAAAGTGTTTTATTTTATGGAATAAGTATCATTTATATTATAGCATCACATACAACTCTTAATAAGGTAAAATTCAAGTGTACATATCTCATAACTTATATTAGCTTAAGATAGCTATTTTATTCTACATAAGTAAGTTAACGAGAAATTCTCAATGCAAACGCTTTTAAATGTCGGAGAGGATCGACGGATAATGTATCGCTCCCTTAGCCAATGGCAGTCACATTGCATTAACAAGAGAAGCAAGCAAGCCTAGCTCGGAGAAGAGCGCAGCTGAGCCATTCCCTTTCCTGAAACCTTCACCAACATTGAGAAAATCTCATTCAAAAGTTTTCATTTAATCATCGTTATATACTACAACATTATTGATATTATCCATAACACACAGACACCAGAGCCAGGACACTATGAGATTCTAGCAGTTATTTAAGTCATATTTGACGGTCATCGTGAATGAAGATATGTGTATATCGTTACAATGCGAGAGAGAGTGTTGAAAAAAGTAGAGAGTGATGAGATGAATGAAGAGGGAGTGGTTTCGTTTCGTTATAGGGGCTGCTTCTGTTTTTTGTAGTTTTCTCTCTGGGCTTTTTATTTCTGCCTCTTACTAACGTGCATTTTCTTCTTTCAGGATGATTCTATGCCCGAGAAGAAAGATCCTACGCACTATTCCGAGCTAGATCCGAAATCAATGAACGTTAGTACTTAAAAAAATTTAATAAAACTTATCTTTATTTTATTGCTTCTTTTAAATCGAAATTTAATATGTCTCATTTCAATTATAGGTGAATGATTTACGTCAAGAATTGGCAGCTCGTAATTTGAGCTCGAAAGGCTTGAAGTCGCAATTACTGGCGAGACTTTTGAAAGCTGTAAAATCGGAACAGGCAAAAGAGGAAGGTCGCCAAGATGAAGATGATAATGAAGAAGATGTGTCGCCGCCGTCCAAGGAAGAGGACGATAAAAAATTCAGAGATAACAAAGATGTAAGTATATATTATACAGAACTGTAAATATTTTTTTGTGTATATACGCGGATATTTTGTATAAAAATATATCTTGAAACATTTAAAAAATATTTAATATTTATTTGTTTAGCATGATGAAGATAAAAGAAAGCTATATGAACGTGAACGAGCCGTACTTGAGAAGAGGTATACTTTGCCCGATTCGTCGCATATTATCGTTCATCCCTCTAGAATGGCCAAGAGTGGAAAATTCGATTGCACAGTTATGTCTTTGAGTGTATTATTGGACTATAGACCGGAAGATACCAAGGTTTTTTATATTTCAAAATTATTTTTGTTTATTTATTTTTAAGAATAATAATTTATACATAAATTCTTTTGCACATATAGGAGCATTCTTTTGAAGTATCTCTCTTTGCTGAACTGTTCAATGAAATGTTGATGCGGGATTTTGGCTTCCGCATTTATCGTGCATTGTCCAGTCTTCCTGAAAAAATTAAGGAGAAGGACGAAGACAAAAAGAAAGATAAAAAGGATGACAAAAGAGATGACAAGAAAGATGATAAGAGAAAAGAAGATGAGAAGAAATCCAGTAAGAAGGATGAAAAACGAGATGACAAGAAGAGAGAAGAAGCCAAAGATAAAAAAGATGATAAAGACACAAAAAATAAAATAGATGACAAAGACAAAGAAAAGGATAAAAATGATGATGAAGAGGAAGATGAAGAAGATGAATCGGATGTAAGAATTTATCTTTAATATATTTATTATATTATTCTACATTTCATTCTACATGAAAATATTTTTTAAGTACTGAAAAACTTGATATAAATTGATAACATGTATGGAATATACGTAAATATATTTATATTTTATGACATATTATGTAATTACTTGTGCAGGATGACGATTCTGTGAAAGATGGTAGGAGGGACAGAGACAAAGATGGAAAGAAAAGGAAAACAAAACTATACACATACGATCCTTATCTTCTGCTGTCATTTGTATATTTTGATCAGACACATTGCGGATATATATTTGATAAGGACATAGAAGAACTTATTTACACTCTAGGGTTGAATTTATCAAGAGCTCAAGTACGAAAATTAGTACAAAAGGTTGTTACAAGAGATTCTTTGCATTATCGCAAATTGACAGACAAATCGAAAGAAGATGATTTAAAGGATGAAAAAAAGGATGATAAAGAAAGCGATAGAGGTGAATCAGCCAAAACAGAAAATGAGGAGGATATATTGCGTTCACTTGCCCTCGGTAAATTATCTTCAACATAAAAGCATATTACTTCAAAATGTAATATAATATACTAATTAATATTAATATTATTTCATACATATTATAGGAAATAAAAAATTATTACCTGTATTCGTGGGAAGCGGACCGCCTTCGAAAAGAGCGCGAAGAGAAGACTGTGTCTTAGAAAAAAATGAAAACGAAGAAACTATTTCGGAAGGTATTGTTTTGTATAAAGGCTCCTTTTTAGATGTAGAAAAACTCGTTGGTCAATTGAAAAGATCTGAGAAAGCACGTTTAGATACTGAAGATCGCATGATGGAAATTCAGCATGAACTAACTATAGTCAATGAAAAAGCCACAAAACAAACCAATAATATTAAAGGTCTTTCGGAAGATCTAAAAATATACAAAGATAAATTGCGAAGCACAGATGAAAAGCTCAAGAAAGTTTCTGTGAGTATATTCATTTTTTATTATGCATTTATTCACAAAAAAACCAAGAAAATTGTAATATCTTTTTCTATATTTCTTACAGACCGAATGCCACACTTATCTGACTGCAGTAAAAAATATGTATCACATAGCAGCAAAAATGATGCAAAGTGATACAAGAAAGGTAGAGGTAGTAGAAATTCAAGATGAAAAAGTTGGCAGTGAAATAAATGGTTCCGAGACAGAAAACAAATTTAAAACTGATACGAGGTGGGGAGATAATAAGATCCAAGTGAAGAAGGAACCCGTAGATATAGACAAAGACAAGAAATCTGACAATAAAATTTCTGTCAAAAAGGAGATTAGCGAAATGGAGAAAAAATAAAAATCGCATCTATTTATTATAATACACACTGATGCGGATAAAGATTTGATCTTATTTTACTTTCACGTGCACATGCCATTAGTGACATGTAAAAAAATGCAAAGGTAAGAAAATAGAAAAAAAATTACTCCACATGTGTGATCAAGACTACATTTTGTAACTTTTTTCACTCTATGGTCGCATTCAGCAAAACAAATCACTTATAACATTCGAACGTGATTAATTCTGTTAGAACAAATTAACATAAAATGATGATAAAACAACTTAGCAGTTGTTCTGTTGAACGTGACCAATGATAATGTGTGATGGCATCTTTAATTAGTAATAAGAGAAGCACTTAAAATCATACATGACTTGCATCATTATTAGAATGTCTTTCGTTTTCCACATAATTTTGAATATTTTACATAAAAGTATGTAAAATTGAATTCCAAAATATGATATGTCATTGAGTGCTATTTAACCGATATTTAACGTTATTATAAGTTCAATAATATGTTAAGAAATGTATAATTATCCTATTCATCGTGTGAGGATTTTTATTATTTTAAATAATGTAAAAATGTGTTAGGTATCACATTTCAATTGTTACATGATACAAAATTATTTTTAAAATACAACTACTATGCATATATGAATATGTTTAGAGCTTTCATACGTTACATAATTATATGAAATTAATATTATATTTACATTATATTTTTTGTTGTCAGAATAGTTAGCATTCTTTAAATGAGATATGTTTTTCAACACAAAAAATCTTTTTTTTTTTACAAGTCTTATATAATATATAAATTTCGCGCAATAAATGTGATACCAATGATAAAGTTTATACCAATATTTTAAGGATATCTACATTCTTACATTTGTATTGAATTTTGCGAGATTTTTTCTTATTTTATTGCTGCTGATGTCATAGTATAGAGATAGTGCAGACTATAAAGTATTTAAAAACTATTTGTCAAATATGTTTATAAAAACAACTGTTTATATCGAAATATATCACTGTCCAAGAGCAACAAAACTTTCCATTGAAAATAACGACAAACATTTTTTACTATGCAGCAATAAAAATAATTCGAGTTTATGAAATAGATTTCTTTCGATTGTAAGAGTCCATAGCCTAATTTAATAAAAATATGATAAAATCACACATAGGATATCCTTTAAGTTAGACGTTGTGTGTATTTTCACCGAAATGTGTCAGACACTTGTGTCCAAAAATTATACAAAAACGTGTTCTCGAACGTGAATGATTATGCGTAATCACGCGTTCCATTGCCCAAGTTTATAGTTTGCAACTCATGATGCCAAGGATACTATTTTGTACATAGTTATCTATATTATATAGAAAAACTTTTTATAGTTTGTTAAGGCCACATTTTTGTCGAAAAAGGCACACCACGAGATAGATAAAAGATATAAAGATGCGTGAACAATTCCGATTTTGTGTATTTCATTGTTATAAAAATCTAATAAAAACTGTAATTATCTCCTTGGGCACACACGGTAGTCAAAAATATAAGAGCAACAATAAAGATTGTTTCAACAGTATTTGTAATGTAACAATTTATCTGATGCATACCCGTTATTACGACTTCCATTCGTTCTAAACAAAGTGATTTTAGTTGCACTTTTAGTTGTATTTAAATTATTCTTAAAATTTATTGTTCAAGCTAATGAATATTTGCAGTTTTTGCACAGCCAATTTAACTTAGCATTCATTATACAATCTATGATAAATATAAAAAATTAGAGAATTTTATCATATTTATGAAATATAAAACTACATTAGAATCTCTGTTTCTCTTTGTGTAGAAAATCTTTTTAAAAGATATACAATTTTATTGTATTTATTCTGTTTTATTGTATCGCATTGCACTGCAATATTAGGAATGCATAGTATGTAAACCAAAATGGAATGGAGAAAAATAAAATACGTTTTATTCCTAATATCGCGCGTCTGTAACTCTCCAAAATTTACATAACTATTAAAATTTATTTTTATATAAATCTTTTAAACGCTTATAAATCTGTAAATTTTGAGTCTGCAGCTTAAGAAGTAAACATATTTAATGTCACACATTCATGCATATGAAAATTATTTTTATTTGCAGAAAATAGGTAAATATTCATGCATTAATATTTACATGATATATTGTAGAAAGTATTTAAACTTCCCAAGAATATAATTTTATCTCATTTTTAATTAATAATTAATTTTGGCATTTTGCATAGAATGATAGAAGAGAGATTAACGTCATTCTGGACATTTCTCTCCCATCTTTTCGAGTAATTCTTTATTGTCACGAATCATCTTTTCAAGGCGTTCCTTTGTTGCTTCAGTCTGCCTCTGTTTCAGTTTGCGTTTAGCAGATTCTATTGTGGTTCGGCATCCAGTGACGTTGCGGAAAATCTTTATGTGCTTATCACCAGCAACTAATAGATATTCTCCCATAGCATCAAAAGCCAAACATGTTATAGATTCTAGAAGAATAATAAAGAAAGTTTATCGAATGCTAAATGAATGTCACACAGGAAGACTGATGAATTGTGTAATTACCGATAAAAATGTCTTGCATAGTGGTATCTAGAGCACCGGTAATAGTAGAATAAAAAGATAGAGACGATCCGTGGGCAATCACCAGGACCTCCGCATTCGGTGATAAAGCCAGACTTGCTGGAACCGTGTTGTCCCAACTTCCAGTCATCAAAAGATGCGGATCTTCCCCCTTCTCGTATTCGACTGAAAAGAGAATTTTGTTATATACATGAAGTCTACAGTTTCATCGTAGATAAGTAATACTGTACGCTACTTTTTATGTCGTAGAAACGATACGTCCCGTCCTTGGATACGGTGGCCATACGACTGGTGTCTGCGCTGAAAGCGAAGTCGTGGACTCCGGATGTGTGCCCGGCGAGGTCAAACGCTTTTACCACCTGCTTAAACTCTCCGGATTTGCTGAACACCACTTCCCACACCTTCACTTCCGGAGTAAAGCCTTGATATGTACGATTCATTAATATAATGTTTCTCCTCAGCTTGTATATTTTATATATTATATTTTATATTATATATGCAGTTAACTAAATTCGCTGATTTATCTTGCAGTAAACTCGTGTATCTTTACCAGAGGCAGCAACAAATCGACCACAGGGTGATATGCGTGCACGATGAGTAGATCCCAGATGCATCTCCACAGTCGCCAGCGGTTGTCCTTTCAAATCCCATATAATAAGATCATTTGCTGTACTGCACGTGATGATATACTTTCCGGTAGATGCAATATCCATTCCGATGACATCCTCGGTGTGACGCTAAAGATAAAAAAATTATATATATATGGTGTATGTACATACACATACACAAATATATTTTACAAGATAATGGACTTACATAATAATTTTCAGCAATTAAATTGAGTAGAATATATGATCAATAAACAATTTTCAACAATTAAATTTAACAGAGTATATGATACATTTACATTTATTCTCGCTATTTTATTATCAAATAAAAGCAAGTAATATCATAATATACCCGGGGAAATTCCAGTGCCTTGGTAGCAGACGCTAAATAACCATCAGATTTCTTTGCGATCTTATACACCTCGATGGTATTAGCCATGGCTTTGTGAATAATAAATGCCTTTCCGTCCGGGGACCAGCGTATCAAAGTTGCATGATCAAATTCTATGTTAACGCGTAAAGATTTACGATTCTTCGATGTGAAGTCCTTCGTATACCATAGTAGCACGGTGCGATCTGCAATAAAAATAAAACAGATATAGAATAATAATTTATAGAAAGCAGATATAGAATAATAATTGATCTTTAACAAAAATATACATACACAAAACTATATAAAGTTATTACATATAATGTTAAAATATATGTATATTTAGAATCTCAGAAACTCAAAAATTTACGTTAAAAATAAAAATATAATTAGTATATCTTAATATTTTACTAATTAAATAATGAAGAATAAAAAGATGTAGGATAAATAATTATAAAGCGTGAATATATTATAAAGCTTTTTTATTCAACAATATTGATCATTTTAATTCATCAGAATATTACATTGTAAAATTGAATCTTGAATCAAATTGAAATATTCTGATAAAAAGATAATGTTAAGGAGCACGGAATTTTATATTATTTGCATATATATATATATATATATATATATATATATATATATATATATATATATATATATATACATCACAATCATGAATTAGATTTCGGGATTTAATAAGCGCATTCAATTATTCTTTATCTTTTATTTTTTCGAAAAATATCATATGCTGCAAACTGCTATCTTCAATCAATCAATCAATATTAACATTCTTGAAAAAAATCAAATAAATCTAAAATATATTTACATATCCAATTGATTATATTCAAAATATATAACGAGAAAGTCAAAATCAAGTTCCTTAAGAATTTGTCTATACTTTAATTAAATAATATAAATCACTAATCATGCCTTTTTATTTTGTTGATCTCAAACTCTTCAAGATAAAAATTGCGCAATACTTATATACGACTAAAATCTCATTACATAAATATAAGAAAAAGGAAGAACCTTATAAAACATTTATAATTATCTAGGTCTTTTGTTTGGTGGTGGCATAAGATCTGAATCATCCTGTACAAATCTATATTTCTCGATAAATTCCAAAAGCCGCTCTTTCGTAACCGGTTTGTTGATACTTTTGTACACGGAATCGGCGGTAGTGTGTGAATTAGGAAATGATTTGTCCACACGTTGGCGCATGAAGATCCACTGACCATTGTCAAATTTACACTCGATAATCGCATTATCCAACTCTTTGAGTTGCTTGGTAAGCTTTGGAAGCACGCCATACGGCGTCTTCAGTCCGCCCACATAAAGATGCCCGACTTTTCGCGACAGTATTCCTACGCCTGTTTCTGTAACGATTCTAAGTCGAAAATCAACAGAATTCAATGACTGCGGTTTCCACTTCAAAACTTCCTGCGATACTCCCGTACAATATTTTTCCTTGGCGGGCTGAAATATCAAACCATCTGGTTCGTGAGAGAGCTGCTTGGAGAATTTTTCGCCTAATAAATCTTTGCTCAACGTTACGTCCCAGAAATGTTTTAGTCGCACTGAAAAGGGTTCCCGGTGCTTCGCTAATCGTCCCTCTCTCATAGCTCTCAGTCTACCGTTAATTATTTTATTTTCGATAATCCCATAACGATCGGGATGAAACGTTAATTTACTAACGTCCTGTCCATCGTACATAATAACGTCATATACTAAATATCTAGGAATCTTCTTGCCGTTGTCTTTGTCAATCACCATTTCCTGTAAAATTAAAATTCTTATAAATTAAACAATTCTATGGAAAATATAGTTTTAATATTTTTATAATTCTAATAAAATAAATACTAATGAAATCACAACTTACACCATCCATTAGAGTATCTCTCAAACATCTGTTTATGTCTCGTACATGTGGAAATTTCAATCCATTTACTTCAAAGATGCTGTTATCTCTGTCTATAAAATACACTTCTCCATCTCCTTGTACTAACATCATGTATCTAAGCAAAATCAATGGATAAATTTCAATGTCTTTTTTCTCATTTTAATAGATATTTAACTTTTTTTAATTGATTTTTATTAACCTTGTGCCATCTGCTTTCCAGGATACTCTATATGGCTTTGCGTGTAATAACATTATATTATCCACATCCATGGACACAGGCTGGGAACCAGGAAATCCTGTAGACTTCCAGCCACAAATTTCCTGGACTCGCTTTTGAATTCCTGACAGTCTCATTTTCTCTAAAATTGGAGTAACACCAGGCACCCCTGACATGAATACCGGATTCTTATTATTAAATTCACGTTTCCTCTTCTTGCCTTGCCCTTCCTCGTTAAAATTTTCGTTCTCCGTGCTCGGACCCTCGTCTGTATCCTCGATATTCGAATCATCATATTCCAAACACCACGATGGCCTTGCTGGTGGAGGAGGAGCATCCTCCATGTCATCGTACCTCCTGTACAACTCCTTTATATAATCTTCCTTGTAGATTCCAGGAGGTCTCGCGGTCGCAAACTCGGCTAACGCGGCATCGACACTGCTATTGTCTACTTCCACTAAGTAACTGATTGTGAGAAATCCAGTTCTATTGAAGCCATGCGTACAATGCACACCGATGATCTCTAGTGGATTCTGCGCAATAAAGTTTCTGCACACCTGCACAAAAGTATGAGTTTGCTCCTCTGATGGAGTCTCGCCATGACCCCTGCACTGTAATTTTAAATACTTGCAGCCGAAATCCTCTATGGACTTTCTATCATAGAATCTTGTCGTGTTTGTCAAATCTATCCACAGACCCATCTTTACTTTCTGACTCTTCAGATTCGCGAAAAACATATCCACGCTGAAGCGACATTCCTCGGGCACCTGGCTGTCGTAGGCCGAGGACAGTGGCGTCTTGAAGGCCAGAAATTTGCCCTGGATCAGCTTCATCGCCTTACGTGGACAGTGAAGCCAACGAGGTGGAATCGGCCCTCTGTTTTCATTCGACATCTTCGTTCGATGATTATATTAAAGTCGGGAACATGTAAAAGTGCGATGCGACTTGAAATTTAATGTCTGCGACAAACAGTTCAGCATTTCACCCGTTTAGAGTCAACAAATGAAAATATTCACTTGAAAATCTTACAATCTAACCTACTTCTTTTTCTTTCCAACATCCGTTAATTGCTGTCAAAATCTGTCACTTGCGAACGCACCTTCACTAGATCCATGTAGAAGATTGTATTTGGCTCGATGCTCTGGAAGTTACTTTGAAGATTAAAAACCGCAAGTAGATATTAATCTGGCGAAAATTAAATAGCCAAAACATGTGACAGTAGTGTCAACCATGGTGACCGCCATTTTGTGCTTGGCGATTAGCGATTGTTCCTCTTTCGATTAATCTCGAACAAAAGAAACGAGACTATCGAAAGAAACGAGAATTATCAAATCGAATTTATAACCAGTAAACATGTCTGTTATACATTATTTCTCTCCTCTCTCTTGTGTCCAAAAAAAACATGCAAAATTGAAAGGTAAATAACATTTTATACATCACAGAGTTTTCCGCTATTATATGGTACGTACATAAATTTTATATTCTTAACATTGATTTTATATATATATATATATATATATATATATATATATATATATATATGCATTATATATATGCATTAAATTTTCTTCAAGAACTAAATAATATTTCAATGATATATTTCAGCAATAATTCTCTTGTTAGAAAATGACCTATAAAATATACGAAGACGAAGGATGACGCAGAAAATTCTAGAATTTTCTGGAACAGTTATTCAGTAAATATATAAGCATTTGAATTTGATTGTCATTGTACATAATACACAAAAGAGAAGTTTACGGCTATTTCGTCCTTTTAGATTTCAAACCTTAAAATACAAGCATATGGGCGCAAAATGCAAAGAATAAAGGATTCTATAGAAAGAAAAATTACACACTGTGCAAGGAATTTTTTCGATTTTCGATATTTATGGCTTTATGAACATTTGAATTCGGATATTTGTGACCACGCCATACAAATAAGGTACATTTGTCATAATAAATTAAATCCTTTGAAAATTTTATAACGTTAATTGAAAAGAAGGAAACTCAATAAGAGCGTTTTTTACTTTTCTTACAAGCATTGTAAAAACTTTCTTTTTTATGTTATATGATCATTATAGAAATGTCAAACATAACCATTAAAAAGAACTTTATCGATCATTATCCATAAGTCAAAGTTAATCAAGGTATATATCACTATGGTATCTATATAACTGTAAATCCTTTTCATGGAATAATTAAAATATTTTCGCTCATTATACTGCTCTTTATCATATTAATATGGTTCATTTATTAATCATGAAAAAGGCTTAGATATCATAATGATATCTAGATTAATAAATAATAATGATTTTATGGATTGAGTTTCTTTTCTTATCTAATGGTTATTTTTAACGTTCCAAATGATGAATCCTAGAATACAAAAGAATTTGTTCTTTAGAAATTCTATATGGAGACAAAAAATTATCTTATTGACCCTCTTACTTTTTAATATTTCAAATCTTTGATACAGTATCTAATAATAATAAAATTGAAATAGACTCGATACTTAGAAGGATATAATTATTGAATAATTAGAATCAGGAGTTCTTTTTAGAGATAGATCGTTGCATATAGTTTTATATCACTTTTGCGCGCACAAAAATCTTAGAAGATTGACAATGTTATCTCTATCGTTTGTCCAATTGTTCAAATTTATTCGGATAATTATTATAATAAATTATTTAAATCTCTCACAGGCAAATTTCGCGAAATAAACGGATGGCTTGTAGAAAAATCAGCTGAATTATCGTTGTATTAAATTTGACGATACGCACGTTCAGAGAAAGCACAATCGCGATTCATAGAATTTTATTATAAATTATTAGTTGTGGTAGGCGTGCGAAAGCAACACCTATGCAACGATTTGTTTTAACATTATGAATTTATTATTAAAGTTAGATTTGAACTTGAATATAAAAAAATGAAAATTTTTAAATAGTTTGTGCGATAATTATTAAATAGTTTGAAGACATGCGACGATAGCTGTTGAAAGATAATAAGGGATTAAGATTCCTTCCTGCTGAGAAATGGCTAGCTAGGGTTGTTTTTTTAATCCTTTCTGCTAAGAAATGGCTAGGCTTGTTTTTTAATCCTTCCCAATGTAAGGGATACGAAAAGAAAATAAGCGATAATACGTGATTCCTTTACAGATTATTAGTCGGTACCTAATTTGAAACTTCTTATTGTGAAAGAATCAGAATAACGTACTTTTTTCCTTAACTTTTTATTATATTTTCTAGGAAAAAAAAATGCCTGCTTTTCGGATTTAGTTTCATAATAGGCACCCAGAGAACAAAAGTATTATAAAAATGTATATATTTTTCTCTATAACTTCTTCAAGACATTGTTCCTAATACAAAAACTATAGAGGCAGTCGTCAATCTATCTATAAGATTTATGAAGAGCCTTTGTTTACTAACGTTTCTTTATTACGGTTTAAAATATGGGAAAACGGTTTAAAATGAAAAATTTTTTACAAGAAAAGTTTAAGATGACAATACGAACATCACAGTTGACAGACTCAATTATTCTTGCACTTGTTTATTAGTACAGCGGTGAACTTTTGCTCGCACTCATCTGTTCTAATTGTTGTAAGAAACATTTATTGCACTCGTTATTTATCATTATTTTGTCATAGATTTCTGTGAGTTTACGAGTAAACAATAAATTACAACAAATAAAAAGTCCAAAAAGATATTATATAAGAAATATCTCATCGATCTTAAACATTTCTTTGTATATTATACTGAAATTTTACGAATACATACACATATATACACACATGTATATATATATTTTTTTTTATTAATTTTTCCGATAGATTTTGATAAAATATGGACAAAGAAATGATAGATAAAATTCTCGCTTCAATTTCTGATGAATTAGCCCCACTGATTTTTCTTTTATTACACAATAGAAACGCAAAAAACGCGAGCAAATCCATTTTCAAATAGTTTATACTTCGTGATATAAAAGTTTCTTAATTGCAAATTTAGCATATTAAAAACTAAAGTAATACTGTTTGAACTCTCTTGAATACAAATATAATTCTACTAATTGCATTTTTTTAACATAATTGAAAACGTTGATAATCTGCATATTCAATCATATTGATGTGTAATATCTATGAAACAATTAATTACATAAAATGGAACTAATTTTTCTGATAATACATAACAGACAATAATTAAAAAAACCTATATAATAAAATTTGATTTATCTTATTCTATTATTACAATAAATTCCGTGTAAAAAAACGATACGCATAAAAATAAGGAGTTTTAATTGAAAATGTAAAAAAATTTCATTGACTCGACCCGGCTAACAGTAACGTGAACGTAATATGATGCATTATTAAAGAATTATATATAATGAACGGATTAAAAGGAGGTCAGACACATGGCAGAGAAACAATACGATTTATCTCATTCTTGCAAGTTCTATGTTCATTACTTCGCCGCATACACATATCAAACATTTACAATGATTATGATTAATTGTCATCCTCTCACGACTTTATAAAATAATTTTCTTGATTCGGACAATATTTAAACCGCATTAAAGCAAGTAGTGTAACACAAATCAAAGAGATATAAACTCATTTATCTGATATAGTAGAAAAAATATGTCTCTTTATTTAGATCTAAATTTAAAAAATAAGAAAAAAATCCTGCTCAGATCTTGAACAAATTTGTGGAATATTCGTTCTTCTTTCGTTTCAATGGTTCTTTGATTTGCAGAGATTTTTTTAAATTTTAATTTTTTAAGTTTTAATATTTTTATTTTTATTGTTTTTATTATTTTTTAATTTTTATTTTTTTTAAAGGAACAATCGACAAACCAATTGAATTGGTTAATTGGTTTATTTAACCCTGACAAAATATACCGCATACGTACCAGATAGACTTATAGTTAATCAATTCAGGTGAAACTGGTGAGTGAAAACTTGATGTAATAAGTCTTCTAGCGATCAATTTCAATAAAACTGCTGTTAACACAAGTTGTCCGTTATCAATAAGAATATTTTGGAATCAAAAGGAAGACTGAAAATTTTTTATTCGACTTATGATTAGTAGAAACATAAATATTAAATTAAAATGCGTGTTCACGTTTTGTAAATAAGCCAGTATTATAAAACATTATCGTAAAAGCCATATGAAATTCAGATCGTTGTTTCGATCCAATATCTTCATATTTTTCGATATACATTTGCTTATTATTATAAATAGATTATTAGAGATTGATCACGCCGTATGCGTTTCTTATGACGATGATATTTGATTTAACGAGATGAAAAACAGCAGTAAAAAAGAACAGTGAAAATTGTCAAGTATAAAATATCGTGCACAAAATTAAAAATAAGAAATAGGCCAATGATTTATAATCTTCCGTCTCTTTTAATCACTTTTAATGATTATAGTCTAATATAGTACGGACATAATTCATTCTTTTTGTCAATTCAGAATAATTTAAAATGTCGTTTACTGCTGAATTCATCATATTTCTTAATAAAAAAACATAAAAAATATCACAATGCTTTCGAAGAATGGGATATTCTATATATCCATTTTTCCTATGCCATAATCTTGACAAATTATGTTTATTTTCACATTTGACTATCCTGATTAAACTAAGGCGATAAATCCTTTAGTTGTATTTAATATATACGTTTTAGTCTAAGTTCATCATTGTTATTGTTTGCCTTTTTTAGTAGATTTAAGTCGGATATTTTAAATTCCAAGTTATTCGAATCTGTACAGTACAGTAGAAAATAATTTTTACAATTTTTACTGTGGACAAAATTGTGAAATATTCTGTGTGATATTAGATAAATAAAATATTAATATAATTATTACGCAAATGTCTCCATTAAAATCTTGATAATTTTATGTAACACATTAAAATTAATAAATTATTAAATACCTATTGAACTATTGCATTATTGTGTACAAAAAAAGAAAAAATATCAAATTGTCAGATATAATAAAAATATTCTGACTTTTGCTTAATTTTTCTCAAGTATATACAATTAACTGCATAGAATAATTTCGCTGTTTATATGCGTATGAAAACTAAAATTGCCAAGATTTTAATGAAGATATGTTTGTATAATATTAATATTATATTTATCCAATACATCACATAGATATTTCACAATTTTGTCGATAGTAAAAATTGTAAAACTTATTCCGCTGCAGAATCGAGTAACTCAAAATTAAAAATATTCGATTTAAATCTTCTAAAAAAACAAATAATAATATTGATAATAAACTTGAAACAGAACTTAGAACAGGAATAATTTGCATAAATCTCGAGAATAGCAGAACAGTTAATTCAAAGATTAATATTTATGAGGAATCTGGTCCAAATGTCATACTCGATCAAATCAAAATACAATTGTGCAGATTTGGAGATCAAATACTGCACAACTACGCTTAATGTCATAAATTAACAAATAAATATTCGGCTGTGACGTAAACGATTATCTAGCACTATCGATTATTATCAAACAAAATATTACATAAATTTTATCACAACAAGTATACATGATTTTATGTAACATAAATTTAAATAGTTTTCTCTAAATAAGCTACTAGTTATTCTTAATAAACTTCAAAGATCCTGATAATGAACAGTACATGCATACACGTGTATTATATAAAATAATAAAATACATCGTAGTTACGTCAATGTGATATGAACGCACTATCTCGTTTATTAAAATACAACGAAATCAGGATGCCATGACAAACAAGCAAAAACTATCCGTAAATGATAAACATATCAGCAATAATAATCGATCTGTTAACTCTGTAAATGCAGTAAAATATATTGATTAAAATAAATCTTCCAAACCACAGTCCAAACAGTTTACAATGAAAAACTAATGACAAAATAATGACTATATATTATTTTAAAAAACAATATAATAAAAAAACCCACCCCAAAAAAATTAGTGACTATACATATTACCTATATATAATATTAAAAGTATAAAACATAATAATAAAGTAAAAATTGGTATATTGCCGTATCATCTACGGTTGCAAACGCCAAAAAATTTTATTTGCTTTCAAAATAACATTAGTCAACGTCAAAATGTCTTACTACCTGGTATTGTACCGCTTGTGCACAATACAACACAAAAGAGATAATCTTCTATTTCTTAAAACTTTCTAATCGTTTCTTGTAAAGCTAGTTTCACTTTATCCTTTTGTTTGACTTCTTGTCTGTTTTTCCTACCTGCTATTTATGGTATCCCAGCAGGCGAGAAAAGATATTTTCCAGGTAGCAAGGGACATGTCATTTTCGACATCAAACAGTACCGGCTTTAGGGTAGGGCGCAGTGAGGCGACTGCCCTGGGCGCTGCTGCCCGGTGCCCCATAGAGAGTCCCTCTAATAAGATGTCGTGACTCTTATTAGAGAGACTCTAGTGCAGTACCGACTTTAAGGGGTGGCGAGGGCGGTCGATCGCCTAGGGCACCAGATCTGTAGGGGCGCTGCTGCCCGGTGCACCTTAATTAGTAAAGCTGCTATGTAGTCTAAACATTTGAATGGGCTGAATGGGCGCCACGATAATCTTGCCCAAGGCGCCAATGTTGCTAAAACCGGCACTGACATCAGATAATGTAATTTTGACATTTAATAACGTTTTTTTTTTAAGTAACGTGCATTTCATTTGCTATCTGGGATGATACGGCAATATATGAATGGGTTTTTTATAGTAATGGTAATGTACATATAATTATTTTGATAATAATGGTAATGTACGTATAATTATTTTGATAATAATTTATTTCAATCACAATATATTTTACTGCACTTAGAGTTGACCCGACCGATTATTTCGAAGTTCATCATTTATACACACATACACAATATACATAATAAAAAGACAAATAAATTGAAAAGTAGAAATTCAATTATTTTTTTCACATTACATAATTAGAGAAAATCAAGTATTTCATAAATTAACAACAAGATAAATTATTATAAAGATTGATAAATTGTTACAAAATTATTAAAATTTTTGGTCAATCTCTTATACTAAATAGACACTTGCACGATAACACTAACAATAAAATGATTTCTGCATATCATCTGCGAAATCTCGTCTATTCACCTCTAGAATCTTAGTATCTCGGAGGCAAGTTCAATCAGGTACAACCTGGAGATTATTTATATTTATACGAAAAACCATTAGTAACATATATATATTCTATATATTCTTTTATTTATCTTATTTTTTTTCTCTCGCAAAAGAATATCGTTCCGTCATGTAGCTTTGTCTCTCAATACATTTTTGAACAAATATATAAAGTTATTAACGGGACAATATATATTACTTATGAAAATCGGAGATTACAAAGTCGGATCGTATAGCATTTCTCGATCTTTTTTATATAATAATATTTTTTTGCATCAAGGATATAAGGAGAAATATGTTTCATTTAATATATTAAAACTTGATTTACTTATTGTCTTTGATTTACTTATTGCAAACTGCCGTAATTTGCTGTTCCATTTACATATTTAAACAATAATTTTTTATATGTATTGAAGAATTGCAAATAAAATTACGCAAACATACCGCTGGAGATAGGAAGAAGGTGAAGGTGTTTAAATAAAATTACACGAGAGAAAATTAAAATGTTAAAAATAGTGACGTAATTTTATTCGTTGAAAATAATCACATAACTCTGCTTATATATAATTACAAGTAACAATGTACATGTGCATACAATATATGTAAATGTGTAAATATATGTGATGTAAAAAATACGCTTATGCGCCTATGCAAAAGTGTGTGCTCCCCGCTTACTACGCGATTTTGGTACAAAGTGGAAACCTTTACTTTCACTGATAATGCATATCAACTCGGTCTATAATTCACATGTTTTTGCATTTGTGTTATTTTGTATTTTGTAGAGTATTTTTTACATCACATATATTTACACATTTACATATATTGTATGCACTTTGATTAAATTTCTTATGCATACAGTTTTTTTGGACCAATCAAATTTATTATGCATACGCTTATACGCCTATGCAAAAGTGTGTGCTCTCCGTTTACTACGCGATTTTGGTACAAAGCGGAAACCTTTACTTTCACTGATAATGCATATCAACTCAGTCTATAATTCACATGTTTTTGCATTTGTGTTGTTGTATTTAAATTTGAACAAGAATGCAGATATATTATATCTTTTATATATTAGATTATATTATTTCTTTTATATATTAGATTTTTAATCAAATTACAAATCCGAGCGCACCTTTATTTTTTTACGTCACATTCGTCCAGTCACATTGTATAAGCAGTCACATACGCCGTCCTTGTCCAAGAAACGTATCACAGTATCATCTTGTTCCAAGAGTAATTTACATGTATTTTATGCGTCGTGTCAACAAAACACATAATCAATGATACTGCGCGTCCTTCTCACAAAAAAAATAAAATGATATCGAATGAAATATACATAAGCTTTGCATAATAGAATGGATATATTAATAAATAGTAAACTAATACATGTACATATAAATATGTTTACAGATTTTTGCTAGATAATCTTTAAAAAGATACAAATATATGAAACGTTAATATAGTGATACAAACAATTTGTATAATAGATAAAGTATTGACGATCGACGCGTACTTATATACAATAAAACACATAAAGGATATATAAAACCGTGCATACCAAAGAGAGAAGATTCAGCAAAGCTCCGATAGTCGAACGTAATTAATTATTTTATTGATTGTAAAAGGTTTGATCATTTTCAATTATTATTGGAAAAAAGATTAAGAAAATTTAAGGAAAGTGGAGTTAGAGAACAGTAGTTTTAACAATAAAATAGAAATTAGTAAGAGAAAAGAGAGTACAGAAATGATTTACAGTATAGTAGAGAAAGAAACATGTGGGTAAAAATATAAAATATCTGAAAATGTAAGATATAAAAATATAGAATAATATAAAACAGATCTGAGAATTATTTTTAAAATTCGGCTATTGGATTTATTCGAATCTCATCTCTATGTGATGTTTGTCGAAAGCGTAATATGCTTATATAAGCGTATTGTATCTATATATATCACAGACCTCACTAGGCAATATTATTTTCAAATTTTATTTTTTTGAGACTTATTTTTTCAAACCATATTTATTTAAAAAATTTATTTAAGTTTATTTAAAAGTGTATTTGACAAAATTTTCAAGTTCTAGGGACACTATTTTTCTTGGTCCGCGTACAATATGAAAAACGCGTGTTTCACATACCTGCTTTGGAATAAAGACTAAGCGTTTCAGCTTGGAAGAGAGGTATGGAATTAGTTTTTTTCCACCATTAAAGATAAGATTGATAGAATGGTTTCGTGAATATGTCTATTTATATAATATTTCATCAGTCATTAAATCAAAACAAGTTTCATTTTTAAATAATTGAAAGCACAAAGTTTCTATAAACTATGTTCCGTATGTTCCGTGTTTTTCGTCCCAAGAATAGCAACCTGGTATAGATGAGTGGAAAATCAGAAAATCATCTTCAATATGAAATGCATCTGATAATTCCTTTGGTATATATTCAGTAAGTCTAGAGTTGTATTGATCGCATTGGTAAACTGAAATGAAAAATAGTAGATTTTTAGATTTTTTCCAGCTAGAGTTGGACATTTATTAGCAGTAAAGTGATTGTAGAGAAATTATATTTTATAAAAAGTATCGCGCGCATAGATCAAATCCGAAGCTTTTTAGTGTATCATTAAGATTGCGGCAATCTATACACTGAGAAAAAATGCTGTTGATTCAATTAAACATCGACGTCTCTACCAGAAACATATGGAGTTGATTCATCAATATTTTAAATATTTTAATATTTCAATTTATAAAACAAAAGCATGACGTTTTGATTTGATTAATAATGTAATTGAATTAACAAAATAAAATTTAACTGCATCGATGTTATTGATTCAACAGTATTTTTTCTCAGTGTATGAGTACCAATGCGAGGACCAAGAATCGGATCCTTGAAACATTCTTGAAAAGATTAGAGCTGTACCTTGTTTACATGATGCATGTTATATTTCGCATGAGGGCCATTGTTAGCCATAGACTGCACTGTTGATGATGCAGCACTAGAAGTTGAATCATTCCCGCTGATTCCTGGTAATGATGCGCTGCCAATATTGAGACCATTGCTTTCGTTCTTATTGAAATTGCCTTCAGACTTTATGAAACCCATGTTACCTCGTGTTCGAATTCGACCCCCAGGAAAGAAAATATTGCGTTTTGTAATTGTTGTTGAGATGATGCGTCGCCAAGCAGATTCAAAGACAATTTTACATGTTGAATGGACATCGGAAAAATACAAAAAACTATAAGAATGTAGCGCGCGTTCCTACATTCATCTTTATCTCATACAAATTAATGATGTTAGGCGCTCTTCATTATTTTTTTTTTTTTTTATTATTTTTTAATTAGATCACATGATATGATCTTTTGTAGAGGTTTTTTCTCTTTATGCGAATTTAGATGTTAAAAAGAGTATTTTCCAGTCCAATGTTCCAACAATCGCCAGGTTGTTTGTACACTATGTCATATATGATTTTATTTTCCTGCACATATAGTAACACTAGATCTTTGACTGCGCAGGCATCCTCGAAGGAATCATGCGTCTCTTGTATGATCCGGTTGAGTTTCCACTTCGCTAACCATTTTAATGAATGACAATACGGAAACGGTTTACTATGTGGGAACAGCGCGGTAGTATCGATGATTTTATCGTGGAACAAGCGCAGCATTCTGAAGTCGCTGCCTAGATTATGACCGAGTATAATCGTCTCAGCATAGATTATGGTCTTCAGTTCTTTCTGGACATCTTCGAGGGTCGTGGTGACGTCCAACAAATCCTGTTCCGTAATGCCGCTGAATCGAGTATTGTAATCGATGATTTCGCTGCTCGGCTTGACGAACTTGTTGTATACTATTTTGCCACACAAATTTACAAGGGTGACTTTGATGAGCTCGAAACCATGTCGCGTGTAGCACATCTCGCAATCCAGAGCATAGACGGTGTGATTCTGTTTATCTTTAGACGATTCGGTATGTACGTAACCCGCGAAGGGTCCGTTTATTCCGGGTTTCGTAAAGCCGTTCCACACATGTCCGTTCGCCTTCGTGCAGCCCAATGACAATTTCAATTTGTTACAGCATGTCCAGTATTGTTCTTCGTTGTATCCTCTGTCATGCAATTTGCCCCAATGATAAGAGCAACAGTCCTTCTTCAAGTACTCGCCAGTCTCGTCGACATAATATATCATTTGGCATCTGGCACACGTCCGCTTGTTTTTTTTCGACAAATTCTCCCGCTCGTCTTCGAAAGAACTATCGGTCATGTAACCGCTGTCATTGTTGTCATCTTTTTCTTTTGCAATGGCAGTTTTCTGGGACGGATATATTATGTTATTAATCATCGCGCAATTTCGAGAGTCGCGCGAAACCATCGGGAAACCGCGTGTTTTCTTATGGATCGGCCACTTGTCAATAAGAAGCTCGAGGATGAAATAAAAACTGGGCTCGATTCGGAACATATGCAATCGTTCGTTATGATTGCGATATAAGTTGGTGGCAGATTGTCCTTTTTCCCACTTATCAGAATATATAGAGGTAAATCTCTGCTGCCACGATGACGGATTGTCCATTGTAAATTGTTCATTCCTTCTTGGATCATTCCTTCTTGGTTGATACATTCCATGGTGAGATCGAAATTCTAAACTCCAGTCAACCGGCGGCACATATAATGATGCACGTGGTTCGTAATGCACAAACATTTGTGGGCGTAAAAGATCCAGGTTCATCCGATCTATTTTATATCATGTGAAAAAACAAATGTAACGTTTATTAAAAATGTTTGTTATAGTTTATTATATGAAAAATACTTTTTTATCGCTAAAAATGTTCACACGCACATGCAAATCAAACTTTTTTCTTTCTTTCTTTCTTTCTTTTTATTATTATTATTTTATTTAACTAATGAAAAAACTTATGTTTTTTAAATATTTGGTGTACATAGCTAGACAAAAAGAAGTAAATTTTTTACTTACATTCTGATAATCTAATATGAAAGAAACGAGTTTTCGCTAAATTAGAGATTAAAATCTATAAGTCTCTTTTTATATTTTCATAATTCCTTTTGAGGGACCATAAAAATCTTGTACAAATTTATTCATATGCTGATGACATTTTTACGAAAGTTCGCGTAATGTGCACTACTTTTGTTGTCATTAAACTTGATAATTGCAAACATCATTGAGAAACAATCATAACGGCGTCAATAAGTCGTCCATTTACATTGAAACATTTTTTAGATAGTCTTATGGGGACATATTAGTTTTATAATAATAGAATATTAATACATAAACATTTACAAAATCACTTTAAAAAGATATACAAATTAATTTTTGCAAATATTTTGGCACATTTATCGAGCCATTCTCAACGCAATAAAAATATGGAATTAGAGCTTATGTATGATATAATTCGTAGCCGATAATCACATTATGAATATTATACATGTAAGCTTTAACTCCATATTTTTATTGCGAAGAGAATGGCCCGAAGAATGGACCAAAACGTTCACAAAAATAAATTTTGTATGTACTTTTTTTAATGAACAATTTATCGCGCACTGACCAATGACTGCACTGTATTTTTTATTGTCATTTTTTAGTTTATATTATTGATTATATAAAATTATATAAGATTATTGTTTTTTATTATATATTTTAATATTTTATTTAATATATATATATATATATATATATATATTCAATATTTTATTATAAATATACTTAAAATTTTATTTTAGGAATATAAAATATTTCTTCACATTCCAAGATATAATTTTTTCCCGAGTCTTAATTATATTTTCGCGTCAAATTGTGTCTGACCTACTGCACGAACGACGTCGTAAAAATCACTTTTATTCGCAGAATAAATAAATATAAAAACGAGCAACATACATAAGCATCATATAATATTCGAGTATAATTATATACCTAATCCTTTTAAATTTTGCATAATCACAGATTAATTTTTACATTGCCCATACAAACAAATTAATTTTGACTCTAAAATCTTTGATTTATTTATGTGCTCATCAGAAAAATACATTTTTTAAATATTTAGAAAGTTCGAAGAGTAAAAAATTATTACAGAAATCGTAAAAAAATGTAAAAGAAAATCGAAATTATGCATAACTTAAATGTTTGATTTATCTACAAATTTTAGTCATAATTTACTTCTTCACTGCTTTTCCCTAATGTATGATTCACACGAAATTGATTTATGAGAGCATATTTTTATTTATTTAATGATGACTATTTGATAATGTCTTATCAATATCTGATTGATGTTTTCTCTGATTAATAGGTTTGTTCGATTTTCTCCGCATTAATATAATATGCATAATAAATATACACATTTATAACTAATATATACATATGTAATTAATATATTTCTATATTTAGCGGCATAGTATCTAACTCAAAAATTTATAATTAATTCTATATAAAATAAAAAATAGAATAAATCTCGACTTTTCATTGTCCAAATTTGCGATTGCCAATTTTCGTCTCACAAAAAAAATATATATTTTTAAATTCTTAAATAACATTGGAACGCGATCATACTAATTCATAATAATTTGAAAAAATTGTGTATTTTTTATTAGATTTTAATCACAAAAACTAAAAAAACTTTCTAAAATGCTTTACTAAGAAAGTTTATTTTTCGATGCGATTTATTTTTCGAACGATTTTTCGATAGTTATACATGTAAATTGAACTTCACTGATATCGAATACACAAAAAATTTATGGCATGAAAAAAATGATTAAAAAAGGAAAAATTCACAAAAGAAAGAAAGAATGCATTTATAAAAGAAAGTTAAAGAAAGAAAGAAAAAAATTAGTAACATATACTATGCCGCTATAATTATCTATTGATATAGATAACATGGGCACATGCACATAAAAAAGCAGACTACCAAAATAATTCATCGAATTGCAAGTGACAAGTCTTACATGGTTCATTGCATCGTGTGAATCATTAAATTAATAAATCAAATTAAAAATAGAGCAAAATTTTCGCTGCTATAACATAACTCTTACAGTGGCATTTGTTCGTAAAAAATAGTTAAGAACTCTTGGTTTAATCATAAACTCTTTGCATTATTAACAAGTAATTTTTCTTGTAATTTCAATTAAAGAATAACCTTGGTTTATTGCAACTTTTTAATTATACGAATAACGAAATCATGAATGAAATTTCTGTTAAATCGATAACAAAAAAGTAATGAAAAAAAATAAAAGTTTATTATATATTTCTTATTATATATGTCATACAAAAAATATCGCTTTTGCTAATAGTTAAAAATAAAAAATACTTAACATAGCGTTTATTCTCAAGCAAAATTACCAACTTTTTTCGAAGCGACTTCGCGAATCCAATGCACGCGTTTCAATCTTTTCACGTAATCATTTTCACAAATATTTGTATATTATTCAAATGAACTATGCCACTGGTTATGCGAATTAAGCATGCAACATCTATTTTTCTTATTCGTTTAATCACGTACCTCCACTACAGCTTACAACGTATCTTCCATTATTTGAAAAACTCATATCGTAGATGTGGTCGGTATGTCCTCTGAGCGTAGCGATTTCCCAAGGATGAGAAGGAAGTTGTCTATTTCGCCTGTTCCTTGATCGATTCTCTCGTTGAGCATTCACAGAATGATAGGTGTTATCATTCATAGGTGCAGTTGCTAGCTGATTGTGAGCCAAATCTGATACAAACATAAATGCATAAGATTAACACTTTGAACGAAGACAAGATTTTCATGCACATTTGACTCTTTTATAATAAAGAAAAACCATTTAACTGTTTTAGTATATATGTACGAAAATAATTAAAAATAAACGTTTCTTAACGTACTATGTAGCTCCATCCAATGTTGCATACGGAGATTGAATGGTGATAGCATATTGATAATTATCGACACAAAATTGCTATATATAACACACACGTGCACAATATATGTATATGTAAATATAAGCTGATGTATATTTAATATTATATTAATATGTGTGTTTAATAATGTACAAAAACTGCTAAAACTGTACTGTACTGTACTGCTAAAACTGTACTGCTAAAAACTGTACTGCTAAAAACTGTACTGCTAAAACTGTATCAATTCAGTTAAGCGACCGTTTCTGTGTAAGCAACTATGCGAACTGTGCAGATAGAAAACCCTTGCTTCCGTAGGTAAGCGGACATCCCTTTCCACTTCCCTTTCCACTTCCTAATCATTGGGCCCTAAACCAATACTGCCCAAATATTCGGACCAATCTCTTGCTTCGTATATCCCTTCCACTATTGCTCTGGAAAGAATTTGGAAATACCTGGTGGTGGTGGTGGTGGTGGTGGTGGTGGTGGTGGTGGTGGTGGTGGTGTGGTGGTGGTGGTGGTGGTGGTGGTGGTGGTGGTGGTGGTGGTGGTGGTGGTGGTGGTGGTGGTGGTGGTGGTGGTGGTGGTGGTGGTGGTGGTGGTGGTGGTGGTGGTAGTGATGGTGGTGGTGGTAGTAAAAGAAAAAAGACCCATGTCACACTAATAAGTCAATTGTATAAAGTTAAATTGTATAAAGTTTATTCTTCTTGTTTTATGAAAAAAAAATCTAATAACACAATGTTAACTAATTAATAATAAACTTTAAAAAAAGAGACAAAGTTAATATAATTTTCCAATTTTCAAAATTGATTTTCTCTAAATTATAAAATGATGTTTCGTATGAAAAAAATTATTTTATATTTTTTCGTTTATCTTATAATTATTTTTAATTTTATTTTTTAATGGAATTTACTCTTGTTTCAATTCAAAGATACTCTGTATATACGATCACAACCATTGTACCCTGAACCATAAAATAACACTAAAATCAAATAAAAATATTCACATAATAAATTCTAAAAATGTTCTAACATTACGATAAATAATTTAGTTTTCGCCAGAATTATTGTCAGTGTGTCGAACAGATATAATAAAATATACATACATATGTTGCACATATTACTACATACATATGTGTAACAGGTGTTGCACACATTACGTGTGCAAATTTAACAGATGTATAATTTATAAAATCACAATACAAAATCTCATTGTCATTAGATATACTTGTTAACGATGACTATCTAATAATAAACAAATTCGAAGAACATTCTAACATCACGATAAATAATTTAATTTTCACCTGAATTAATGTTTCGAATAAATATAATAAAATGTATCAAAAAACGCACATTTTAACAAATATATATTTAATAAGTACAAAAAAACTTTAAGTATTATTCGAGTTATGCTTGCTCAAAATATATTATCTTATCCCATTTCTTTTAAGAGATTAATCAGTCATTAAGGGAAAAAATTTTGTTCCAATTTTACTTTTTCATTTCCTTAATTAATACTTAATATCAAATCAAATCTAATTATTCATAAATATTATAGTGTAATTATAATGTAATTATAGTTGAATGCGCGCAGTAGTTAATATTTTGATGCATTCCAACGAAAATTTTCTATTAAGTAAATAAATATTAAATAATTAAATTTCTCTATTTCACTTTATATGTGTGTGTATGTATATCTATATAAAAACATATATCTTTTTTTAATTATAATATTAGTCCTGAATGTTTTACTTGTCATTATCATTAGATATACATATACACACCTGAAACAACGTACAAATATGCGGTTTATATTTACTTATGTCACAGCTAGATCTCTTCGCTCTTTTTCCTTTTTATCTTGATATACATTCTTAAATCATCCATTGAATTTTTAAACTTAAGCTCGGCTTTGAAATTTACACTCTCAATAAAAAAAGGTCTCCAATACTCGGAAAACTTTTCTTTGGCTAGCCATGACAAATGAATTTGTTTCTTTAAACATAAATATAAAAAATATCCAAAAAATTTTTTTACAACAGACGAAATTTATTTGATTGACAGATTCCTAGTATTTAGTAAAGAAAAGTATATAGAAATATCTATACAATAGAAATAGAGTATACACGTGTATAATTTATGTATTTAAGTTATGTATTTACAATGCCTTCTTATACCTATAAGATAACGGTTAACTTACAATATAAGAAAAAACAACCTTCTGTATTTCTAAGAAAAAGAATTTCTTTTAAACTGTCAAAATGTCAGATTTACAACAAACATATGGAATCAATTCACTTGTCGCTATACATTTTTGTTTTCTCAAGGACAAGATTTCAGGACTTGTGAGATTATCGATACCTTATATTTATCTTATATTTTTATTTATAAAATAAACAGCGAAAATCTGATGAAAAATATGAATATTTTTATGACTGATAAAATCACGATATAAAATGATATCACCATTTTTCACGTATTAAGATTATGGAAAATCGATATCGTTACTTTTGAATATTTTTCAAAAAAAGAAAACTCACGTTTAATTGGCTAATTACAAAATTTTTTTTGTTATAAAAACCATAAAAATCGTACTTCTTGAATGCAAACTACGTAATGGATTTAATGGTATCTATTAAAATTAAAGTCATTAACTAACGAAATAAAAAAAAAAAACATAATTGACGCTTTCTGTGCATAAAAATGATTTATTGGCATTAATGTCTAGATATTGCATCATAATTTAGAATTCTGTCTGCCAACTGGTGTTTCTTAAATTTATAATCTTTTACATAATTTGATTTTTTATATATTACATATAATATATGTATAATAATATATAACAAAATAATGTTAATATATAAATAATAATAATATAAAATAATACTTTAAAATTTAAAATGTTATATAACGTTATATTATAAACTAATATAATTATATTATTTAAATGTTATTTAATTATTATTATTTAAAAATATATTTTAATAATACATATAACAAAAAGAAACGATCAAACACAAATCTAGATTGTCATTTGAGTTAATTAACAATCAAAATATCGAAAAAACGGCTTTTTCAGGAATTTTAAATGTTTAAACTATTATTATTGGAACAAATATCTACAGTTTCATATGTGTAAGATTAAAATATATAGATTGTAATCTTAGTTTATAAGAACATTGAAGAATATTGAAATGCCTCCATCATTCCATGAGAATTCAAAGAAGTTTTGTTTTTCCATAATCTTGATTGCATTATTCAGAGCGACTGTTCTTTTATAAAATCAATTATAGATTTCTATGTCGGAAACAGGCAAATGGGATTCACCCTGCCACATCTATCTTCGCACACACAAACCAAAAACTCATAGCAAATTCGATTGAATACATTATAGTGTATAATGGTGCACATTAAAAATTGTCGCATACAAATTTACAATAGTAAAATTATATAAAATAGTAAGAAAATAAATATTACAATTTAAAAATATTATTATTTTTTGTGCTAAATATAATGATAATAACTCATAATATTAATTATCTCTGTTTTTATTTACCCTATTGTGAATTTATGTATTGTCTTTATTAATGTGCATTAGCAATAAAACTTGCTATCAGTTGCTTGCGAACTTTACAAAGCCTTAAAATATTATACACACACAATGTAAGAGTTTCTAAATGCAGTTTGCTCCACGTACGTGCATCAAGTTGCATCATGTACTCTTGATAAATTAAGCATACAAAAATCTACGTGTTTTTTCTGTGTGTGTGACTGTAAAGAAACACTATTTCTTATAAATTTTTCTTCAAACAGTCAAAACAAAGATATGTTCACAAATATGTATGTGTTTACTTGCAAAATGAATAAAAAATGTATACAAAATTTTATTATAAAATATTAAAGAATACACTCCAACAGGGCGTTACAAATCATTCGAGATGTTTGTTAAATCAATTACGACAAAACAACAAAAATTTTATTCTTATGTTTCGTCGATTAAATAATTCGAAATATTTATTATATCATATAAAACGAATTTAGAAGCTAAAAGCAGGATAATTTCGACAAATTGTAATTTTTACGAATGTATAAAAATTGTGGCATTCATTATTTTTAAAGAAGCATTTAATGTAAAATGTAAAGTCAAAATTTGGCGGGAAATAGATTTTTCTTGATATCGAGACTCGAGAGAGAATTACAATGGTTCTCATATCATTATTATAAAAAATCATGTGAAAGTTAAGTAAGTGTCAAACAAATGACATGCAGGATTATTTAATAATACATGTACATACATATATATATATATTCCGTTTTGTACAAAGAAGAGATAAAATAAGATAAAACAAAAAGGAGCGGATGCAAACATGACAAAAGGCATCTTCGTATTAGTTACATTTCCTGTGCTCGAATCCTTCACTCTCTCTCTCTCTCTCTCTCTCTCTCTCTCTCTCTCTCTCTCTCTCTCTTCAAATATATATATTTAATCTTGTTTAGAGAATTTTCGAGAATTTCAAGTGAGCACGAACAAATGTATGCCATGTGGCAGACACGTGCAGCAGGAATGCAACTTTGATAGAAGTAATCTTAATGTATGCATATCCCTAATGAATAGTGACTAATGCTTACTTTTTGACGAGTCCTGCTCATCCTGGCTGGAAGGCGACCGCCTGCTGATCGCATGCCGAATCAGGATATAAATTGCGCCGGCGAGGCAGGTAGTGAGTAGCAGCAACGCGAGGTTAGGCGAATTGATGATATCCAGCATATTTCTGGAATCCGGCACGATTTCCATTTTCCGTTATATCTGTCCCAAGGGCGAGACACGCGTGATAAACACACACACACACGCACTTACGCGCACACAATTGTTTGCAAAAAAAAGAAGAAGCGGAAAAACTGCCGAACCACGCGGTGTCCCGCCGTCACAACACGCGATAACTGAACTTATGTACAGTGCGACGTATGTATGTGTGCGTACGTGTAGCTGTAAATTTTTGTCGTTTGCACTTTCTGCACTCGATTCTTCGCTTCTTCTCTCGCTCTCTCTTTCCGAATGACCGAACGTATGTTTGCCTCGTTTTAAAAAATTTTTCAAACGCCGTGATGTCAATTTTGTTCATGTCACTGTGATAAAAATTATTTATATGTTTATTGGGAACGATCGCGAGCAAATCCTTTGCGACCAACCCGAGAGAACCACGACTTATGATGCGGCGTGTATAAGGTACAAGTAGTGGCTCTTGGGTCATATAACACGTGACATAGATAGACGCGCGTCTCACTTCGAAATTCCGATCTGTGCGACGCGACAAGTTTTCGACGAATCCCTAATAATTTGTTCGCCCTAAGGGTCGGTTGTTCCAACTCTTGGTAAGTTTTACCCGACAAGTAGCACATCTTTGTCTCCTTTTTTAGAATTTATCTGAAAAAGATGAAAATATGCTATCTGTCAAGTAAAACTTACCGAGAAGTTGGAAAAATCGGCCCTAAATCGATTTAATGCAAATGTTTTTCCGATTCTTTCTCTCCTTTTTTATGACAATGCATCTAATTCGCAAAGTGTCTAAGCGCATCTGAGTGCACTCTTGAACTCGCGCGTCTGCGATAATTTGAAAGTCGCGTTCGAGAGTCTCGATTGTGCCACATCGATAAAACTCGAACGGTATAAATATCGATACACACACGTCAGCTGATCGATTTAAATCTAAATGCGCGCGATCACCTCCACTGTCAAATCAGTCCATTTGATCTTGTTGAAACAATAAAATTCCCGAACCAGCATCGCGGATTTAGAAGACAAGTTTTGCGAATTAAATTTAAATGCGCGGCTTACGAAAGCGATTGGAAACTCGATGACATTTAAATCTCACAATTTCTGGACTTCACGCGACGAGAAAACGCAATGTGATATGTTTCCTCGCGTTGTGTGATGCATGTTTGCGGCCTGCGAATAAAAACGTGCCATATATATGATCTCATGTGCCGTCTCCTCACCGGAATCGATCCAATGTGCGTCATTTCCCCCACACGTTATCTCCCCCTCTAGGTCGCAAACAGAACAGACCCAGGTAGAGATACATTCCGGAGCGATATGTATATTCTCAATGTCAATCTCGGCAATTACGCGATAAAAATTATCTATATGTTTATTTGAAGATACAGTTATATAAATAAAGAGAAACATATGTTTATCCTATTTTTTATGTTTATTCTATTTATTTATAGCGCGAAATGTTTGACGTTTTTGACAGAACATATACGTTTAAAAGTCCAGAGGTCATCCTGAGACTGTTAAACATCCGCTGGACATCTTTTAAACATGTGTGTGTTATATGTTAGAGGTTATATGGAGGAGGGTCATTGATTTTGCCACCTTGAGTATTGCATGAATATATCTTCACATATATTTGAGATCACATCTATGAAATCGCTATAAATTTTCTCAGAATCGGGACAAAATAACGGAACGAGAATCTAATTAATAATCAAAATTTATTCACGATATTTCTTGATTTAATTTTATGGCAAAACTAAGATGAATTTTTTCGGAACAATTAAAATTAACTTTATATACATGCATTTTCAAAATAGTTTTCGTATTGTATATAATTACGTCATGAGCGTAATATATAACAATCGGTTACATAACAGCCTTGACATAATGTATCTGTTTATATATGTTTTTGATAATAATTATCTGTTTTATACAATATTTACTCGATGATAAATATTTTATGATAGAGAAAAGTTATAATCGCTAATATGTTATTTCAGTCGGACAGGAAGTCGATCTTTTCTTCGAATGCACATTGTCGATTCGAGGAACATTATTTTTCAATTTACTTAATGAGAACATGTGCATCATTATTGATGCGTCATTTTGTAAATTGATAAATGCTCTTGAAATAACACGCATCATCTTCTTACGTCGCTTTAACGTGACGAAATTCTACGATGTTTTGCGTATTCATCAGTGCGATATCGAACGAGATATTTTCCACAACAATGTCGCAATTGTCATAATCATGTTTTCCGATATTTTGAGACTCTTCTGGTTAGACAATTGTTATATGTAAAACATTTAGTCTCACAAAGAAATAAATGACTGATATATATTTATTGCAGAGAATTATTCATCGAGATATAGAAAAATTTAATATCCAATTATAGAGATAATTATTAGAAACTTGAAGAGTTTTGTTTGATATAAAGAACAATTTCAATTAAAAGTTTGAAACGTATAAAGAGTTCAGATATATAAATCTTTTATACTCATTAATTTAAAATAACTAGTCTTAATAGGGAGACGTCTGATTTTAATTCGCTACGCGTGAGGTTAAGTATCATAAAGTGATTTCTCGAAAGGCAACAATAAATCCAGAAATTATTAAATTTTCTCAACTCGCGTTATTTTGTCCCGTTAATCTTTCCATTTTTCTTTATTTTAAAATATTTTTGTCCTCGACTCTTGACCTTCACGCTCGTCTGAAAATGAATAGGTTATATTCACCACACACAAAAGTAAAGATATGAAAACCTTTTCACATAACATGGATGAGATATTATATATAATTAATAAATTAATTTTTTTATTTTAAATGTTTTATTTATGTCACAATTCATCAGAATGAATGAATTAATTCATTAGTTGCAAGATAACTTCTCATATCAAATGTCAAATCAATGAAAGTCAAATCATAGTATCTATTAATTAGTATTCGCATATTATTCGCAAAAACTTGCAGAATTCCATCCTCGCGAGCGATATAATAATAATATATTTCTAAAAAAAAACATACATTTTAAAACGTTAATATTAATTATTGAGGCACGGTAACATTGAGAAATATTTTATTGTATGCGTCTATGCTTTATTATAATTATACAATTACGTTCTAGAAATAAAAAGGTCAAAGTAGCGTACTCTAGTGGCGATAATGCGAATTACGAATCCAAATTCGGCGCGGTTTGCCATCTAGAGTAATGATATACTCATAGTTGTAAAATTCTACATCACCCGCTAGGGACTTTTGCTAGTGCCAACCGTACGAAAGAGTATAGTGAGAATTCGTGATGCGATATCGGATTGGTCGTAGAGACCGGGCGGAAAGTAATGGCCGTCTATTGGCCGCGGTCGCGAAATCGCTTTCTCATTCGATGAAAGGCAGATCGTGCGAGCGAAAAAGCTTCGTTTATTACATAATATTTTGGCCAAATAAACCGGCGAAAAGATCGGAAAAAGACGGTAAAACCAGCGTCGGGTTGCTAGGAAAACGGATCGCGAGCGCGTGAGATCGATTTCCGGCGGATTTCCAGGAGCCCGAGGAATGGCGTTGAGATCGATTTGCCGGCTGTCAATTGATTCGACCTTCAGGCAGTCGAGCCATTTCGGAGCCACCGCCCGGCCGAGACGACCGTCCTTCGACACGCTCTTACGAGGTTTCGCCGCAGCAGCTAAGGAAATGGCACTGCCACGCGTTTTCTTCGACATGACCGCGGACGACAAGCCCGTGGGTCGCATCGTGATGGAGGTGAGCCGAAAATACGTGCGCGTCCGACATCGCCGAACTGACCGCGCTCCTAAGCGAATTCCTCCCGGCCATGCCTGGCCATCTTGATTTTTCCGCCGTGCCGGTTCGCGCGATTTATCGAGAATTCCGTCTTGCGGGACCCGCGATCGTCGTCATTGGCGATGCAATGAACGCGCCGTGCCGACATTTGTCATTCGCGATTGTTAGCGACGTAATTAGCTCGCGGAGCCGCGAGCGGTCCGTTATGCTACGTTGTTAGCGATGCGTCATGATCGCACGTTTACACGCTATCCGGTTGTCGCGGAAATTTTCCATTCGCGAGAACGGGGGGAACCGGCAGGGTAGACCGGCGTGTATTTCCGAAAATTGTTTCTTATTCTTGTAGGTACGCGCTTTTTCAACGTTCGCCCGACACGAGAAGAAGCGAATTTGTGTTCTCGTTCGAGTGGAAATTTTGCGGAAAACGTGGTGGATTAATCGTTCGATCGAAGAGATGAGTTTGTAGAAGATTCATACGCGAAAGTTACTATATTTTCGATTGTATTTGTGCCCGGATAAGAGAAAGACGTATCTCTTATCTTTTTTTTTAATTATAATTAACGAGCATCCATATTTTCTATAAATTTTTATTAAAAAAGAATAAAAATCTCGCGAGATGAGGCAAAAATATCCACGAATAAAAATATCGTATATTGATTAGCGTGATATTAGTATAGTAACACTTTGCACTTTGTGAGATATGTAAATTTACGCAATTTTATTTTATATTTTGCATAATGCAAAGACATTAAGAGCATATGTAGTTTAGAGTTTTAAACACAGATGGCGTGAGTTGGAATATATATAGCATCATCTTTATATGTATTCTTTATTATTGTTCAAATTCCAATTTTTCTCTTTTTTTACTTGCAAATACACATTTTAATTAATTTTAGGTAAATTAAAAACTAGTTTTTTTCTTGCTGCTTTGTGAATATAGCGTTACAATTTAAATGTGTATTGACTAATGACTTATTTTTATCACTAGCATGCAATAAAGATTATAAAGATTAGCTATCATTAACGATAAGTTGAAATTTTTCAGTTGAGGAAGGATGTTGTCCCTAAGACAGCGGAGAACTTCCGCGCTCTCTGCACTGGAGAGAAGGGTTTTGGCTACAAGGGTAGCAGTTTCCACCGAGTGATCCCGAATTTCATGTGCCAGGGTGGCGATTTCACCAATCACAATGGTACTGGTGGTAAATCCATTTATGGCACCAGATTCGAGGACGAGAACTTTAAACTTACCCATACCGAACCTGGTATACTTTCTATGGCGAACGCTGGACCCAACACCAATGGCAGTCAGTTCTTTATCACCAGCGCTAAGACCAGTTGGCTCGATGGAAAACACGTTGTGTTCGGAAAAGTTATCGAAGGAATGGATGTTGTTAGAAAGGTATGATTTTGTATATTTCTAATCAGATGTTTTTGGTCAAAGTTCACATATTCTTCTAATGCTTTTTCCATAGAAAATTGCAAAATGAGCGATAACTTTGTTTCAGTTGGAAGCTATGGGTTCTCAGAGTGGCAAGACCTCCAAAAAGATCATAGTAGCGGACAGTGGAGAGATGTAGATCAACTAGCTGTAATGAATGCATTTTTATTTAGCTGTTGCATACATATTTACTGTCTTTATTGCCCTACTTTATCGATTCTCAGTGATCACAATTCTCTCATCAATGCTAATAATTTCTCTGATCAAGCACGGATATTGGAAGCTTGTTTAAGGTAGAAACAAAGAAAATTGCCTGCATTGTAATTTTTTTTCTAAATACAAATAAGAATTATTTCAGTTTCAATTAGGAGATAGAAATTATTTTCTGATATATTTTTTAAAGACTTGTGAAGATCAATTCCGAGTTCTTCTTTTCTATGCTTCGTTATAGGATTAATATAATTTGTATGTTCTTTTACAAAAATCTGTTGTGCGGTGACTTTTGCAAAATCCATATTCTTCCACAAGTACACTCGCTTAGTATTGCTGAGTGATTGAAGCAAAAAGGCACACAAGCAATTGAGCTCAAATGTTTCCTTACTATCTTATATTTTAACGATTATTAAGAATACAAAAGTTTTCAATGATAGAATAGATACTTGAGATTTTGAAATCAATAATTGATGTATTGATTCCAGTGTGTTAACCAGTGCATTTCTCTTTAGCATTATACATTCTTTGACTTTGTATACGTATGTAATACATATACATATATCACGATTAGAATTCCCTTTATATGTTTTTATAAATGTATACCATTCCTCTGTCGAATTATAAAACAAATAATCTTGTTCATCGTAATGTAGGCAATGCCTGAGAAAATCATCTTACTGTAATACAACACCAACAAATTGAAAAATGTAGTTGCAACAGTCTGAATAGTTCCGATTTCTTAAAAATAAAATTGTTTTCAGAAAGAAAAAACTGGGTTATACGTTATTTAGATAATAATATTGTAAAGATTACAGATAAATTAAATCTACTAATCTAATAAAATATCTTGAACTATCAATAGAATTATTTTCTTGAGGAAAACAAATGGGCACACATCAAGGCATTTAATTTCCTGTCCTACTATCTTTGTTATATATTACATAATACTTTAGATCATATTCAGGTGAAAAATAAATTTACAAATAACACACCTTTTGCAACATTTACGATCAACGTATATTTCATTCTTTTCATATTTGTTTTATCAACCTGCGAGAACATTGATAGAACATACAGTACCAATATTATTTACAATCTTGCATTACATTAGGACAATTTTTCAATAGTATGATTAACATACGGGGGTGGGATGTACTAGTCCAAAAATACACAGATGGGTTTTTTTTTTTTTTTTTTTTTTTTACATAAATTTAGATGAATCTTTAAACACAACGCCGATAAGAATTATAACAAGAATAATTTTTCATTATTGTATTTTTCTCTTTCGTATTCATATCCTATTTAAAGTTTATGAAAATTTAATCAATGGATAAAGAATTCAATGTTTTCCCTTTTATTGAATTGAGTCATAAATTATTTTTTCCTGATGCAGATAAAATGCACGTATGCTCACAAATACTTATTCTAATTGAGATAATTTCATTAATAATAATTAACAATTTCATAAATAATTTTAATTTAAATAATATTAATTTAAGAAAAAAAATTATGGATCAAAATATTTAAAAAGAAATAAATTTATTATCTGCATCGAAAATCATTCATTTGCATTATTCAATCTAGCAAGATAAATGTCACATTTATAACTTTGTTCATTCATTTGCTTTGTATTTGTACTGCCGTCTTTGTTTAGCGTTTATTTACGCTCTTTATCAGATAAATTGTATATAGTATAAAGAAAAATTATAAATTTCTTTTTTATAGATTTATATAGATTTTTTTATCATCTCAATCGAAGAACACTTAATATTTTCACTCTATTCATATACATCATATATTTCTGAAAAATAAATTATAACGTTCTCATATATAGATTAAGATAATCACATTATGCAATCAATTCCGTACAGTGATTTTAAAATTCTCAACGATAATTATTATTTTTAAAATGTTTTTAATATTAATTTTTATCAAGATAGGTACGTGTAGATAAGTGTGTAAGTAACGCATAATCTATAAATTACACACCGTTTTGTTTAAATGTTGATATCGTAATTTCCAATTTAAATTTCTTTGATTGCAGTTATCTAAACGACACATAAAATTCACATTTATTATGTTTTGAAGCTATTCATTTAATACAAATCGAAGCTGTTTGAATGCTAAGAGAAATTTTCTCTCTTAAAGCATAAAAGATACAGATCACACCTATTGTCAATCTAATTACATTCTAATCACACCATAGCGGGACGAGGCAAGATCAATTAAGCCGCACAAATTGAATGCATACAAGAAAAAGATTAAACTTAAGCTACAAAAAATTGAATATACTATTTATTTATTCAGCTATTGTCAGATGTCATTTAAGGAACAAAAATTAAAGAATTTTAATTAATTGTATATTTTAAAAATTACGTGAAAAGAAATTTGAATATAAAGAAACAATATAATATATAAAATGTATCTTCTATTAGTTTCTTAAAAAAGAAACAGAATTATCATGAATAGATTACCACAATTAAAAGTTATTGAAAAAATTATATTCGAGACATGTCGCGATATTTATTAATTGTATGCTTTATTTATGGCTTTGCCATATTGAACTCGTTTGCATATTCGCAATTGTATATATATATATATATATATATATATATATATATATATATATTGTATATCCTACTCTTAAAACACAAAATTTTCGAGACTGCGACATGAATCTTTTTTTCTGTGTTTTTATATTTGACATACAACTCCACGCATATCATTATTGTATGTCATTATTAAACGTATGCGGCAATTTTTATACATATATTTTTTTATATCTTGTACATATATCTATGTCTCATTGTCAGTGGCGCTTCGTACGATTGAAATTCGTGATATTGATGAACAAAAAGCGCCGATTAGAAGCAGGATAAGAAATAGAAATTCAATCAATAGAAATAGTGAGAAGAGAATGGCAGATAAAATATCTTAGCATAATTTATCGGACCAGCCGCCACTCTCTATATATGTTTGCCTCTTTTTAAGAATATATTATATATATATTATAACGTGCTCTCTATCTCTCTTTCTCTCCCTTTGACCCGCAAAGGATAGATTAACGTTTATGATTATTCATATTACAGTCGTTAATATACTTATGAGATGCACTTACATAGCACAGAATATATTTTTGTTATGTTATAATTTATAATCTTATTCTTAAGATTCTTTTATGCCAATGTAATGTTATCCGATTGCGGTAACTTAAATCAATATGATACTTGGCTAAAAATAACTGTTCCTTATGAAAATAGTTCTATAAACAATCTCTCTTTGATTCGCATTTTACAGAAATTCAATATAAATTATAGAACGTTGTGTGCGTATCTTCATTCAGGATAGACAAGAACAGATTTATCATAACTATCATTAGCGTTAGCTATCATTTCTTGTCTCACGGTGATCTTAAGTATAATCATTTTCAAAAAACGGAATATAATTAAGATATAAAAACAGAGAATAAAAGCTACAATAGTCCGTATATATCGAACTAAATGTTCACATATTGCGCCACGAAGAATAAATAGCAAAGGCCTTTAACTTCATAAATTACAATATTTAATGGTATAATTTCTGCAAAAATTAAAACTCATCTATTATTAAATATTAATAAATGAGTTTGATTTGAGATCTCATTTTAATTTATTAATTTTGTGCATGCCATCCGCACAGGCTCCGATTGCCGTCGAGATTTTATTTTTATTGTAACACAATAATTCGAGCCGAGATTAACAGTTTTTTATATTAAATATTAAGTTTTTCAAATAAAATCTCACAAGCATATAAAAATCACGCCGAAAGACTGAAAATGTATCTGATTACATCTTTTAGAAGTTTATTATTTTAAAGAATTTTGATAAAAAAATGGTTCTTTAAAGGATAAACGTACGAGGTTGCGAACCATTTTTTTCTTGCGAGGGAATGCATGAAAAGAAAAAAAAGTGAAAAACAGATGAAAACGAATCAATAAAATATGTTTACTTTTGCGATTTTTATGTTTCTCTCTTTTATTCGCTCTTTCTCTCCCTATTTTTCTCGATTTGTCTTTTGCCCGAACCCTTCTCAATTCAAGGAGGCAAATAGGAAAGGGTCATTCCAATAATCTCTTGGTATTTACACGAAAATTTAGTTCGGATAATAGAACTCATTCGGCGAAAAAGAAAAGAAGATAAATAATGGCAGTGCAACGAATATGTGCTGTCAATCCGGTGTAGCTTGGAAACGAAACGAAACGAATAACGTAATCGCGAAGAAACGGTCCGACGATGATGCACTACTTGACGAAGAGGTCCTTGAGAGTGGAGCAAATCGAATCGCTGGGGCAGTCCGCTTGCTCCTGCTCCTTGTTCCCGCTCGAGAACCAGCTGGTGACCTTGCCGCCGCGCGACTTGTTCGGTGACACGGATGGTTTTCCAGATGAGCTGCCCGACATTTCCGCGTCGTTTCCTCTATGGGTCGATGTAAGAATCTTCTCGATGGCATTGCCGAGCACCTGTCGATAGGAGTAAAAATGTATGCCACCACAAGAGAGAACTTTGACTCGATTTTCCTTTAACGTGATATATTATTCCCTTGCGAGATGCAAATATACATATATGCCAGACAAAAATAGAACTTTATTTCAAACTGATAACTTTAACTATAATTCTCTCGAGATGTTTATAAATACAATTTCTGATAAAGATACATGCAATCTCGACTGTATATAACTAATATATGTATATTTTTAACGTTAAATTTCCTTGTTGAATAAACGGAACATGATGACTTTTACCTGAGCGTCCACTTTGGTACCGCTGCTGTCATCCCAGAGAACCTTGTGCTTGGGATCCACGTTCTTCGCGAGCGTATCCTTAACAATCTTAACTACCTTCAATTTGTCGAGCTTGAATGTCACGTTCTCCTCGTCCGGGTTCCGATTCTTCTTCGAAATAGGCTGATGACGCTTGGCGAACCAGGAGCTAGGTGCGATGAACGAGCCTACGGTGCCCTTGCCGCTGCTATTTAGCGTTTTGCTCTTGGTACCGCGCAGGATGGACACGTCGAAACTGTTGGATCGCGAGCTCTTGAGTCGACTGCGTCTCTGTTCCGCCGTTTTCGCGGACCAGCTTGATCTCTGATCCTCCTTCGGATCCGACGTGCCGCACGTGTTTATCTCCGTCGCGGACGACGTCAGAGAACTCAGGATGGATATCAGATCCGTATTGGAGCATGTGATGCCTGCCGCCATCGTCGAGCAAGACGCCTCGAGTTCGCAGAGCGGTCTCGTCATTTCGGATGCGCGTCTACGTAACGCCGACGTCGACGCCGCAACTGATGCCGAGAATTCGGAGAACCGACGTTTTTGATGTTGTATGTATTTCTGCGTGGTAGAACTGTCGTTGCCTTCCAGAGGTTGAATCTCGCACACGCGCTCGCGAGACGATGTCTTGTACATCTTTAAGCGAACCTGAAACAGGCGTACGACCATTAAAATGATTCTCGTTTAAGCAAAACATTAAAGAGCAAAGATATATCAAATGAGTGTTGTCAGCTTTTTTAAAATGCAATTTAACGTTTAATTTATTGTTAATTTATTATTAAATTTGTTATGTGGAAAATGTTTTAGTCAAAAAATGTATTGTATAATTATATGATTTTATCTTATTATACTTCATCTCGCAGTTTTTTTACTCTTAAAGGTATCATTTCATAATATTATATTCATATTAGAAATAAAACTCTTGAATCTTTAAGTCTAAAATTTCAAAGAAGGTTTTAAAGCGGACCTGTAATAGGACATGCGATTCAATATATGTTTAATCTTGAATATTATATTCATAGAAATAAAACTCTTAAATATTTAAGTCTAAAATTTCAAAGGTTTTAAAGCGGACCTGTAATAGGACATGCGATTCAATATATGTTTAATCTTGAAGTTACAGGACGGAAAAAAATGAGGGTGAACAAACTAATAAATCTCCAGCTGACTGCCCAATGAACCTAGTGATTAACACGAAGCTTGGTCTTGTCCTTTACTGCAGCTAAGCGGGAAGATACACAGACTATGGAGATTTATGTATCGTTATATATATATATATATATATATATATACAGTGCCTCTCATTTTAGCTACTTCATCTATATTAATTATTTTTTCATAACAATACTTTATCTATAATATTTATTCATAATGTTAAATACAAAATTCTTGAATCAATTATTATTCGTACGTTTGCTAAGTATTACCTTTTTGGCCTTGATTTCAGCGATGTCATCCATAATATCAAGCTGCAAATTGTGAGTGCTTCCACTATTGCTGAGCGGACCGGTTATCCCGGTGGACGAGTCTCGTCGACCCTGCAATATCCTGGTTGCGCTTCCCATGGGAAATGCAGCGATAGATTCTCGACGATTGCGACCAAACAGGGTAGTCGGTACCCTGGAGATCGTGACGACGGAGTGTCGTCGACCGCCCGATTGCGATGCTGGCGTTTGCGAGAGTGTCGCCAGGAAAGCGGCCTCCCTCGCGGATGGACCAGAACCTTCTCCACCGCGTTCGCTCAATCGTCGAACCTGTTCACGCATATAATTTACGGATGACGTAATTCTAACTGCGAAATTCAATAAGTGTTTATCTTATCGCTGTGAAAGAAGAAAAGCTGATCGGACAGAGAAAATTTGCTGAAAATAATTCAGTCATAATGCATTGAATTTGATATTATATATTAACGTGATTATATTCTTAAATCTTAAACTTTTGTCACATATTTTTTGTAAATCCAGCTTCATGCATATCAAAATAATATTTCATTAAAATAGGTATTTAATTGTATAATTTTATTAATTTTAAATGAAGATATATAATATAAATTATAATGAAATCCAAAAATAGCGTAATATATTGAACGGCTTCTGATAGCTTTTATATAAAATATACAATATTTCCAATTATTTAAATACCGAGCAGATATCGATAATAATTACTTTACCACGATTATTCCGAGCTGCAGAGTCCTAGTTTAAGCTTCTCGCGTACGAGTTACATCATCATAAGTATTACCGAGTTTGCATATCGATGTCGTCTTAACCGCGAAAGGCTTCCCGTACACGTGCATACATACACATATGTACCTGGGATGCGGTTATCCCGGATGTACATTGCGGGGTCGGTAAAGAGTGCTTCCTGGCGTCCCTCCACGGCGAGAGCAAATAGGGATTCAAGGATGGGGAGTCCGGATCGACGCATCGCGGCGGCGATTCCGCGCGACAACGCTCCGCTTCCTCCTCGCCGAGCGTGCTTTCCTCGACGACGATCAGCGGTTCGGCGCCACCACTTCCGCTGCTCGTACTAGGACAGTACGACTGTCTTCTCATGCTGATATTCTGCAAATATTATTTGATTAATTTTCTTCATTTTTATTTCTCATCGCTTTATTAGATTAGCACTTGATCAATTACATAAATGTTAAATTCTTTCTTATGTTGTCTCTTTTTTATATTATTTATAGAAACACTCCCCTAAAACTTTGACATTTTTTAAATTTTTGAATCTTTTTATATAAAGATTTTAGAGAACTAAACTGTTTAGTCCTCTGAGGGTTCAGCAACTCTCTTTAAAAATTCAAAATAAAATGACACGGCTATTCCATTTTTCCTTTTTTTATTGTTAACATTTTATTTTCTTTTTTTCATTAAATATAGGTATCTTATTTTAGCGATATCTATTAAAAATTTAGATCCATGAAATTAATGGAGAGATCAGAGAATTTTCAACGCACGTATGTATATCGTTTAAAATTCCGAACGAATCCAGCAGCGGGGTTAGTCATGCGTGTACGATATCGAGATTCGAGAGATTCCCGGCAGGACTTCATTTTTCACGAAGACGCAGTGGCATCCGGTGGATGCATGTCTCTACCGAGTGAAAAATATGGATAAAAGCATTTCGCGTAATATATCGTCTTATATGGCTCGTATAATTCAAGGCACGGGCGAGCATCTCGATTTGATATCCAAGATACATCCTCCGTCTTTACACATATCATAACGCGTTCATGTAATGGAGAGAAAGAGAGGGATAATTTCAGCGTTAAATCTCCATAAATATATTTGCGTAGGTAGTAACAGCGCTGCAAACGCCCTCGGATGCGATCGAAGAAAAAAAAGAAAAAATTCGCCGATGTCGAGAATGACATACACACACACTAGACGTCACAATGCGTCGCTACGCAAATATTAGCGTTTGCAGAAGTCATATTTGCGTTCAATATCTGGGTCAGCTGTTACGGCCTAATGAAATTTGCGATCATCCGTAATCATATGCGGTTGCAGCACGCGTGCATTTAATATTTCTCGTCATCATCGACTGTTTATTCATGGCTTAATCAATGCCGCGATTTTTCACAAATAAATCAACTTTATAAAGATTCGCGATGGATTTGATGAATAGACCGCGGTATTAGCCCGCGGAAAAATAAAACAATAAAACTTACACAAATATCAAAAGCAATCGCAACATGGAAAGCATTATTATTCTGATTAACTTTTCAATTTTGTCCTGTGATAAATTTTAATCTCTCATATGGTCGCAATACATACGAAATATTCGATTTAATATATTACAGCTTTTTATCACAAAAGATTAAATCTGTGCTAGATATGGTCGAAAATATTGAAAAAGAAAATCTCTTATTCATCATTTTAAAAATACGTATATATGCTGAAATATAAAACTCCTTTTATTCAACATTCGTCGGTTCTCGGATTATGCAGCACATGCTGAAGATACAAAGGAACGAAATTCGAAAAGTTTCGCGGTATATTTTACTTTCGAGAATATATCAGGATCTCTCAATAAACACCTGTCAATTCTTTTGAATTCACTTATTTCTAGCAAAGCTAATACTCGCGCCGACACTTTCGATCGAACAGAAGAGCCGCACTCGATCGACCAGCTTTATTATCGTCTCTCCCTTTCTCTCACAGTCGTCCCGGTAACGGTGATAATACCGGAAATTAATATTCGAATACGTAGGTCAGTCGGCTGGCTGGAAATAGCGAGCGCGAAGCCACGAGAATTCCGGTGGCGGAACACTCTGAGAGAGGAAAATCGCTGAGTTAGGCGCGAAAGAGGATGTTCTCGGTGGCAGCGATGAGTTATATAAAGAGCACGCGCTCCACATCCTTGAGGATATTATTCTTCAAGATATACTCGAGTACACACGTTCTACGAGCATGAAGCTGCTCGCTATCCTTGCCATCTTTGCCGTAGTAGCTTCCGTTTTGGCAAACACCCTACCAGCTGTTTACGACGGGCCTACTTACGAACTGAGTGAGATTTCACCGAAAATTTTTTCTTAACTCGAATAAAAATCCTTTAATAATTGAACGATTTTAATAAGCCATAATTAATTCCACGTGATTTTTTATCAAACATTTATTTACAGAGACGTCAAGTCTGAAAGATAGAGGGATAACTAATTATTTTGTCAAGTATTAAAAATGTTGAATATCAATTAAGAAATTATAATGCAAAATCGACCTTATAGCCTTCTTTTTCAAATATAATAGCGCAGCTTTGAAACACAAAACAACTTTTCATCTTTGATTAATAAATATCCAGAATGTGCTACCTTTTATCTCGCGCTGTGTATAATAGTTTTACATAACGGAAACACACACACATTCTCTCTCTTCTCCTTTCTCTGATGTACTCTTTTAACATATATACATTGATAATATACTGTCGATATCCTTTCATATCGAGCGCAACGCGACCTTTCCTTCTGTTGAGTCGTTCGATTACAAGTTATCACAGCATTTCCGAATGCTGAATTAGAAATAGTATCGTTTATTATTTATTACAATGTTATTCAAATCAATTTTCCGTAATAAAAACCTCAAATAAAAGTTAAAATCTCGCTAAAGACTAGGAAATTTCAAATTGTAAAAATCTCATAACTCTCAATATAAGCTAATTTGCGAAAATTAGTGCATCCTCTAAAATTTCTTTAAATCTCTCACATCTCTCTCACTTTATTTCGCGCCGCAAAAGGAAGAATTTAAGTGTATATCCCTGCTAGAAAATTCCCCTTTCGTCTGCCTCGTAAATAAAATTCGGTGTCGCAATATATATTCTAAATACGTTCGCGTAAAAATTCAATATACTCCGCGAAACGCGGAATTTTCTCCTTATCGCCAGACGGAGGAAAAATAATGGAAGGAATCGCGCGAATGTGTTTCAGCTGCCATCGACGATCCGGGATACGACGAGCCGACGTCGAACAATCTGTCGCCTATCCGACACCGGCGCATCACTTGCGACCTTTTATCCTGGCAGTCCAAGTGGCCGACCGTCGACCACAGGTGCGCGGTTAAGTGTCTGTCGCAGCGTCGTCAGGGTGGCCGCTGCCAGGACGGCATCTGCGTCTGCAGAAATTAGAGCCGTCACGTCTCCCTGATGTGTCAAACGTATGTATCGCGGACACGTACACAGTGGGAACATTTGTGTGTTCTTGTTAAAAACGGTCCCCGTTAAAATTTGTCTGTTAAATATATATTTCACACATGAATGTGTTAATTTAACATATTACTGTTGTGTTAATTGAACTTAAATGTTAACTTATTAAAAGAACTGAAAAAGATGTAAAAATAACACAATGTGCATCTATTTTTAATTTGACCTAATAAATATGTTCTGTTCTATTAGCGACCAAATTTATCTGATTCATTTTAAAATTACTTGAAGTTTTGCATTTATTTTGTGTTAAAATATTAACACAGTTTCGTATCTCCATATCTGTATTATATTAAATTAACACGAAAATTTCTGTTTGGGACATCATGTGATATCTGTTAAATTGAACAGAAATGTTCCAACTGTGTATCTCTGAAGCAACACGTTTCACGGATCTCCTGCGCATCTCGGCCACGGTCCGTTGTTCCACACGCCATCGACGTCGACGAGTATCGCCGCTTCGTAATTCGGATTAATATATTCATGACGACAACTGCTGGCTTAATCTCGCTGCCCGCCGATCGATCGTAAGCGCGCAGATTCTCGAAAATTAATAACACCGCTAGCTATCATTTGAAAATTGTCTCGAACGTTTTCACCGGTGCGCCAATAACGCATAATTCGATAATTAAGAATAACGACCCTTATCAGCGGACGAGTGCGCGCGTTTCGCGAGAAATTAATCAATATTGAAATGTTAGCGTTATTAATGAGTGTTGACTTATCGTAATGAGCACTCATATGTGATTTGTAGAACACTTTTCAGCCACGTCAATTGTTTCATTGCGGCAAACACACACAATGTCGACTGAATTAAACGTAGTTCTATGAAAATTAATTTAACATTTGTACACATGTGTCGATATCTCAAATATCGAATATAATATTTACGTATATGTTCCGAGTAAAAAAAATCAATTAGATATAGAAAAATCTATGTAACTTTGAAGAATTGCGTATTTTTTCCATTGCATATTTACTCAATTAAATATATAATGTGAGTGTGTTTATGTGATATTTAAATTAGAAATCTCTCTTCGTTCTACGATCTTGCAAGATAACTATAGACACCTATCATAATCAATTACGCGTTATTTTATAATAGAATAAAAATCATCTGACTAGATTAATTTCAATCGCAATAATATAAATAAAAAATATGAGCAAAAAAATATCTTTCGAAAGTTCGACGCAGATTATGCAATCTGAATTTTACACAAGTTTACACATTATATGTATATGTGTTGGCGATTTTACTACATAGTCCAGATTGATTTTAATGATATACGATATAGAAATACAGAGATAATAGGATAGCAATTAATCGAACAAAACGTAACATACCACGTCGGTAATTGATAATTGACCTCCGCCCCGGCGCGTTCAAAATCTATTTCCGGATGTGAAAGCAACATGTGGGCCCAAGCCGATAGTTCCACATTGACGAATCCAATCACTAACGTAATATCTTTCGGCCCACCGTGTATATTGATTCGTGCGAGCGTGCACGGAACACATATCACCGCTGAACAATGAGCTGTTCAAACCGTCCCAGAAGACGGCATTTCAATTGAATTTAAAATACACATGCACTTGAACAATCGTATCACGTAAACACGTAAATCGATCTTCGAGATTAATTCGACGTTAAGGTTTACCCATAAGATTTAAATCTGTAGCACATCCAAATAGAAAATCGTTCCTCTCTTAATATCACGGAGCATCCCCTTTAATACTCGAGCAATCAATGTTCTCCGACTGTAATATTTTCGTGATTCCAATCTCGGGAAAAATTATCTATGTAATTGCATTGATTCCTTTAACTCTTAATTTGTTTCAAATTTAATTCTAATTAAAAAATATACATATTGAGATAATACAATGCGTGCGAGACTCGTACATCGTTTCTGATCAAGTATATGTAAATTCCTCTTCTAGGAATACTTGTCTACCTCTCGACCTTTAGTTCCTCTCTACTCGCATGATAAGGGTCATCTATGATGGAAACTCTATAGAAGAGCACTTTACTTTGGTATCAGAATGCATTCTCGTAGAAAGATTTAGTGGGATCCAGCGGATTAAGGTAAGATCGGATTAAGTGGAGGTGTCCTCAGTGGAAGGATAGGAGTTTCTACGATCCCTCTCTGTTTACGACAGTCGACAAATCTATTAGCGCCAGGCATTGTGCACCAGGTGTCCCTGACCGATATCGGGCGTATCCTTTTTGCTGTTGCGACTTTGTGGGTGGAAAGGGGCTTCGAAAACTCTCTCGACGTGCTGATGGCGATATGAAAGTTTTCTCGACAAAACCTCCTCGTAACACGATATAACTAAATGGGGCAGAATTTCGCGACCTGACGCAAAAATTATCGACTCGCGAATACTCGATATTCGCTTTTGCGAAACCACTTTACGTGCAATTTCCGAGGCAATATAAAATAGAGGTGATTAGATTTGCGCGTTCTCTCTCTCTTTCTTTCTTTCTCTGCGTTCGAGATGGATGATTCGTCGGTCGATTCACAAGCGCCCGCAATTTACTCCGATAGAACGTCGGGATTCTATCACCAGAGAGAGAGAGAGAGAGAGAAATATATAATGCTTCGAGGAAGAGTTGGAGAAAAGATCGCTTTGATCGGAATGCCACACTTAATTCGATTCCGCAAAAGCCGCAGCGACGAACGGAACATCGGGGCGTCGGCGTTTCAAAGTTGCTGACTTCTCTGAGAGGAACTCTTCGGCCTCTCGTGTCCTCCAGGCGACTTTAAACTCTCTCTCTCTCACCTATCTCTCTAGGTGTCTTAGAACTTAGCACTAGCTAAAGTGGAGTCTATACAAGTGGAATATTCGCTCAGCAATATATCGGAATAAAGTTCGAACTGTTCCCGAGCTATATATATTTTCTGTAGCAGTTAATATTGCATGACGACACAAGCAGAAATACTTTTGTCAGAAAAGAAAGCACAATACAAACGGAAAAGAATAATTTTCTCTCATTGAATAACGAACATTAATCTCGCGAATGCGAACATTAATCTCGCGGAATTTTCCATAATGTTTTGTTGCCGGAGGTAATAAAAAAGAACATTTTATTAGTCCAGTCTTCGAGATGCTTCGCGAAAACATTAGCAGACTTATTCTTGACGTAGATGTTAAAAGTTTCCATCTCTTCGAAAAGAAACAAGGCAAAAACGATAAACTTTATTTAAGGGCTTTTAACTTTGTAATATGTTTTTACGCTTTCAAATAAGAAGAAAGATTTCTTATTTCGTATAATTATTTCACGGTGAAAATATTAAAACGTTATTTAACACACTGATCCCAATTTAAATTTAGAAATGCTTTATACTTGCATTCTACGTTTATTAACATTATTAAAAAAGAAAAAATTCGCCACTTGCAGAATCTTTGACGATTCATATGTTGCGATATAATCGATTCGTCATATTTACACATGCAATATTTTTGTTACATTTTTGATTCAACGTCGCAAATATGGTCGCTTGTTATTGTTCGATACAGAAATATAAAAAAAAAAAAGCAAAACTTTTCCAGTCCGTGCGGAATAGAAAACGCGCAAACGTAGTCAACGTAATCAATCAGATCGTCCCGAATAGATTTACTTTGAAACTGCCAGGTAACGAACCGCGCCGCGAACTGCGGGTTAAATTTAAGTCAATTCACATGAGAGTAAGAGTTCATGGAGCGAAAGCCAATTACAACGCAATCCCGCAAAGAGGATTCAATAACGAGGAAAAGGAGTGGGAGGAGGTCAGCATTTCCCGATCGCATTCGAACAAATCACGACGTCCTTCTTTCTGCCTCTCTCTCTTTCTAATTTTCTCGTCCTCTCTTCGTGTCCGATATCTGTCGAACGTTTACCGTGTCGGAAATTTCAGTATTGGCGATTCTCAAATGAGATTCGCGGAGACGAGGAACGCGGCGCGACATCCGATAAACCAAGAGCTCGTGAGTGCACCTTTAGTACTAAACCCTATCGATCGATGGGGGGTCACTACGAAGGTGACGGCTTGGCTTTTGAGCTTCAAAGGTAGTCCAGCTACCCGCGATAAGATGAGGTGAGATTGCTCCGAATATGACGTTGCATCCTTCTCGTTGGTATATTAACGTCGGCGCCAGTCAAAAGGCCGTGCGAGCTTATAATGTCAGAGAAAAAAAAAGAAAAAAAGAGAGAACGACCTACAGCAGCGACGAGAACCTGCTGACATAACAAATAAGCCCCTCGATTATTGTCTCAGACGCAACGCGCTACACACTTCATTTATCGCTAGATGATCTACTACCGGATTTTATTTTTGGAAGAGACTCTGTATAATGTGTCAATTAACGTCAACGGCAGGATCGAATTAAAGCTCGTTTCCCTCGTTTATTTATAGCAAGGCAATAAAAAAGGCGCGCGTATATACATTAATAACTTTAAATATCAATTAAATTTTAATTATACGGATTGATTCCACTTTTCTCCGAAGGATTAAAAAATTTCACCCTTTATCTCTCTCTCTCTCTCTTCTTCCGCGAAGGCTATACAGTAAATCCGTTACCGAATAAAACATATAAAACTGCATCTAATAATATCACGCGCGCTCCGAGCTTTCACGCGATCCCCACGTGTACGGCGATATATACGCGGCGCGGATTCTAGATTTAAAAATCCTCCCTCTTACCCTCGCACTTCGAACTTCGCCACCGCGTTCAAGTAATCTCGTGCCAGCTCATACGCCTCCGGCGATAACAAAGGGATTTTCTCACATGCGCGGCGATACTCGCGACGCGATGCATCCCTCTCGCTCAGGAAACGGCCGCGCAAAACCGTCTGACCGCCCTTCACGCCCTACGTGACGTCATACGAGTAGCATATACGTATACGACGTCACACACCGTATAACCTTTATTCTCGTGTCTCGTGCACAACGCGATCGCGCCGTGAAATGGTTCACATATATATATATATATATATATACAATAAATGGCGCCCGTTGATGTTTCTCGCGGTCATATGTGAAAATTGCCGCTCGGATAATTTAATGACATATGCGGAATAATCTCGCCTTGGTTACGTGATATAACTGTATCGCGAGCACACACGCGAGTTCCGCACTCATGACCGGATCCATCGTTATAACAAAAGCCGCGGTCGTCATCGTCGCCGACCGCGAGATCATCGATATTAATGATTGCTCAACGTACCCCGTTGAATGTTATCGTTTGTTGAATACGAGAAATACTATTTTGCCAAATAACGCTATTCGCGTAAAAAAGAGCATGTAATGAAAAATGAAAATCCAGATAGCATCAACGGTGCATTAGAGCGTAGAAATATTTTATTCGTTCGGAATGATTTTTTGATTATGCATTAACTCTTGTTAGACCGCAATTCCGAGCTCATTTTTCTCGAATTCTGGAATTCTATATTCATTTTTCATATCTTGCTACGTTAATGCTGAAATATATCTTTAAGCATGAATTATTTTTGAATTCAGAAATAATGAAGTTCGTTATAGAGCAAAATCTTTTTTTAATATATAAAAAAATTATTAAATTAACGCATTTATTTTCGAAAAGATTTCGACGGAATTTTATGTCATTAAAACTCGAATATATATTGATAGAAACCTCGTTTATAAAAAATGAAAAAACTACATTAACAATTATAACATGTATTATTTTCTGTTGTAATTTCATTGATATTATTTTATTTGATATAAATTACTATACGTTTTAATTCTGCTGATGCAATCATTGTGAGCAAGTTGCCTTTTAAAACTTTTAGTAAATTATTAGAGCTTGGTATTACGCAATCGGATACTTATGCTTAGTCTAACGTTAATGAATGTTACTCGACAATTAAATTCGCGTTGGCGAAACAAAATTAAAAATGTTCGTTGTAAAAACCAGGGGCTAATTAAATAATTACATTTCCGCGAGAGGAAAAGATGAGAATTCGTATTCCTCTCATTTTCTCGGAACAGTTCGGTGTGAAATGTGCGAGACGTTTTCTACAGTGCAACGACAGAATAGCTATTAAAGATAATTCATTTGGCCTTCCAGCTCTCGCGTCGACGTCCCTTTTGCTTCGTTAACTTTCATTCTTTTGCCCAATGAACAGCCTCCCTCTGTGTTTGATGGACATTTAATGCCGTGTAATTACGCGCAAAACGCGCTACTCTGTATATCATGTTACGTAAGTAAGTCCATACAATACATTTTTCCGAATCAAAGCTTTCATGGGAATATAAATTGTTCATGCTCCTTTCGAGTTTCTTCTAAGAAAATTAAGTCTCAGAAAGTCTCGCTCCGATAACAATTCGCCTCTTTCTTATATATAAATGAAGTTCGAAGAAAAGAGTTCTATGGGATGCGACGTCTTTCATTTCGAATTTTCCTTTGAGAAAATCTGTTTTCTCTACGAAGATACGCGTTTCGGCATCAAAGCGCAAAAACATGCAATTGCGTGTGAGTGTGGACACATTTCCCTCAGACTTAATTAAATACCTCGGATGTCCGACTATCGCAAATATTTCCGGAGAGTCGGTCATCTCGACCCGCATGCTTGAACCCCATCCTCTTATACACGTTTTTCTATTTTTCTTCTATTTGAACCGCCTTCTCAAAGGATTTGTGTTACAAACGAGTATTACGATTTAACCCCTCAATCCCCTCCTGAACAACCACACTCTTCCAACTTCCATCTATTTCATAGTATATCCAGGATTTCGAAAAATTACGATTAAATTACAGGAGAGAAGAGTATAGATAGCGGATGGAAATTTATAGTGAAAGATTACAAATCGCGTAATACACCGTTTTACATCAGTATTTATTTTATGCAATATATCATCGCGTTATGTACGTAGAATCTATATAAATAAATCGTCGTACCTTGCATCCAATATTTTCGACGCACAAACAGAAATTGTATATATCATCAATTTTACGGAATGATGTAACGTATAAATTACGCAAGTACTTACTTGAATTATTTAATACTCGTTAAATATTCAATAAATCGTAATTTAAATTTTATTATCATTATCCCTCTATCTATTCATATTTTTTTATATTATTAATATCATTTTGTATTAATGATTTTGTCATAGTTACATTTTTTATTATTATTTTATGTTAATAATTTGTCACCATTAATATATTTATTATGCGAATAATATTATTTTGTATTAATGATAGATATGCGAGAAAAAAATGCTCTCTAAGAACTATCTCTCACTATATTCGCAATTCTAATTTTATCGCAGACACAGCGTGACTTATTCAGACATTTAATAATGTCAATTAGATGAATCTCATTAGTCGCGTATCAAGTAAAATCTTTAAATGCATTTACAATGCATAGATATTAATAATCGAAGTATTTTAAAGAGCATTGATTCGAAAGCTCATTTCAAAGCAAATTCATAACGAATCATATTACGAACATAATCGATGAAAACGTCGTTACAAAAAGATAATCGCAAAAATATCTTGACCATCATTATCTTCATTTCATCGCAAAGTGAGTAACATATTTTACCACTGTGATTCAATCGTTTTATGTAACAAATAACGCAATATATTGTATGAATACATTTTTAACTGAAAATAACGGAATTATTCACAGAACGGAATTTAATTATTACGCGACAATAAAATAATGGAAAATTTGAGCGTTTGATAATGTAAATGCGACAAAATATTCATTTGATCATAGTATAATACAATATTATATTTTATAAATAAATCAAGAGAAAATAATAATCTTAAAACATAATTTGAATAAATCTACAAACAAATCTTATTAAAATTATATTTATATATTTGTTATTCTTTAATTTGTTATATTTAATTATGAAAGTGTATAGTTTTAAAATTATTGAATACGATTATTGATTTTAAACTTAAGATTAAGATTAAGGTTTTATTACTTCTCGCATGCACTCTTGTCTACAAGCTTAGATTTGATTTTGCTGAAGAAAACTTTCAAAGTGTATCTAAAGAAGATAAGAGAACTTGAAAGGTTATACTGTTCCTCTTCCTTTCGACCTATTCTATTCTGCTAACTACAGTAAGCGATTCATTTAGGGCAGAACGGCAGAAGGCCGAAATTACCAAGAGGGAGCAATTATTCGCTGCGAATGCACAGCTATATAAACCTGCCGAGGCTTGTAATTGTCAATTAGAGACCGACTGTCAAGATTTCATCGATTCGTCGATAATCTCGCGATATTCGACCCGGTATTATACTGGTCAAATTCGAAAATTAAATGTCTCCTCGGAGAAGCATTGTTTTTTGGAGGAGAGAAGTTTTGTTGATATTAAAATTATTCAGTTAATATAAGCTCTTCGACAAAGAATTTTATCTCTTCAATCGTGAAATAAAGTAAAAATTAAATAATACTCTTAAAATTGGACATGAAATAAGAATCTTAAATATACGTTTTTCAAAAATATGAGACCTTTTAATTTGATTAATTTTACTTTTTATTTTAGCGATCTTTATTTTTAATAATTATCTGATGTATTTCAAATATTTATTTTCTATTATTATTTCTCGTTGAAGTTAATATTTCTTTTATCATATTGCTTGAAATATATTAATCTGATATATAGTCCTTCATAACGTACACTTCATTATACACTCAAGCAACCTCGCATACGTTACTTTTTCAAACACGTTTATGTAATTACTGTGTTAATTTACACATAGTAAGTAATTTAGAAGAGGTAAACCGCAAACCTATAAATGGAATTTATATTTAAATAAACTCATACATAAATCTACTCTTTGACACTTTAATTTCTATCCACCGCGCGTGCATGTTTAATTTTTCAGTTAATAAAACTTGAAGTAATCAGTTTACCTGGTATACCTCGTGAACAAAATGCGTATAAATAATTTTGCCTATACGAGAACCCCAATAATGATTAAATAAATAATATGAAACACTTTGCAGAGATGGGTAGCCCACATGGCACAATTTTATATATATATATATATCGCAGAGCAAATAAATGCATATGGCTAACAAATTTATTTTCACGAATCTATACTCGAAAACGTTTTCTGTGAATAGGAAAATTCCGGGAAAAGAAATTTTTACATGACGTTTTTACATGGATTGTTTTTTTTTACATTTTACTAACGATAATATTAATTTCACAGAATACACGAATAAATTACTCGAAGTGATTAATTGGTTGTAGGATAATATCGGGATTATAACGATATAATCGATTTCTACTTACGAAAGTTTCACATCGCGTAATACGAGAACTACGAACATGAGTGATTATGTATCTCAAGGATTTCTGCCCTAAGGCATGATACGAGTAATATCGTAAATATCTGTCACCGATGTTACCCCCATCGTTATCTCGGACTGATTCCACAACCAGTTAGAGCGCAAGAACGCGTCGATATCGACGCGATATTAAAAAAATTAGGAAAATTTGTAATTTTTCTCTCGAAGCTGTTAAAAATCTCCCCATTTCGTATATATTATTACGTCCCGTGAAGCCGTCCGCGGCACATTCAAAAAGCCACGGGTATTACGTGCTCGAAGATATGAGACACGAGTAAACACAGTTGGCGAGCGAGTAAAGCAACGGAATCCCACTTACCGGAAAGATTGTCGGCTGCCGAGCGATGTTAATCTCGGAGGTTTTGTTAACACGACCGCATTCACGGCCCGACTGTGGATCCACACGCTAGCGATGTACTATCACTATCCCAATTGCTCTGCTCCTCGTTGATCCCACGGTGGGCGCACTACACGCACCACTCGACGATGTCGGGGTTGCTCGGTGTAACGACCTCGCTGCACCTACGTATAACAGTCACCCTTACACATCGATCGTTCACGATTTGCTTCTCTCGATCGTCGGGATTTGCTAGGGGATTCTGTTCGTTCCGGGGTTACGTCGCGATCTTCACCGATCCGGAGATCATCGGCCAGAATCGAAGATATATATTATATAGCATATATATATATATATATATATATATATATATATAAATTATGTATATATTTAATATATATACGTATATATGTGTGTGGTGTGTCAATGTATCTCTTTCCCTCTTTCTCTTAGCGTGAACGATCGCGCCGGCGATTCTTACCAAGGTAAAGCAAGGACGACGACGACGACGACTGCTACGATAATCCAGCCGCGTCGGTGGTCAGAGCGGCACTAGGAGCCTCGCGAACGACCCGGCGCCCCCTCACGCCATCGACCCGGGTTTGCTCGACCAATCGACGCGTGCACCTTCTCATCGTTTATGTACATTCCGCTGGATCCTAGGGGGTGGCTCGACTCGCGCAAAGGGGTGGCAAACTACGAAGCGGACGCGACGGAAGCTGCGACGGTGGCGGAGGGACCGTTTCACGTGTTGCTTCGGAGTAAACACTGACATCTCGAAGTATAATTTAATGATGCCCAAGCCAGCCCAAGAGCAGATCGTTGCGATGCTCATCCGAGGATAATTGATTGCGCAATAAACACGACCAAGTTATCTCAAAGAAATAGATAATATTGACTAACTACTCCTACACTAGCTCGAAATTCGTTAAAAATTCAGAGAGTTATTTCTAGTTCTCGAGTTTCACTAATGCTTTTTTGAGAATAAGCGAAAATTTTGAAATATTAAAAGATACTGAAACTATAATGCGTACAAAATTATTTAGCTTTAGATTGTTTAAGTTAAAAAGTCGACGGTATAAAGTTGAATATCATTATTGAAATCTCTATTATATTTTATAATGCAGTGTTTTGTAATATGATATTCTCCCAGCATACATTATATTATTATATAGTTGATGCCATTGTAATACTGTTATCGAATTTTGTAACGCGATGCTCTTATACCACATTGCAATATTATAAGCTTAGATTAAAGAGTATGAGGATATGAAGTAACTTTGTAGCAAAGTCAAGAAAGATTTTACATTCACTCTATGTTGATATTTCAAAAGAATCGATCGCGCGAGTATAAGAAAAACATTGAAAAATGATAAATTTAAGAAATCTCACATACTCAGAGTTCCTTCTGCATATATACATATATATACATTTATATATATATTCGATAATTTTATTTAATATTGTCACGAACAGCGGCATAATATATTCATTATTACAAAACGAACGCTTTATTATGTTAATCAAAATGTTAATTTATGCGGGATTGTTAAATTGTTGCAAAACTATGGCGCAAATTTAATGTGACCAGAACTCACAAAAGTACTAAAGCGACGAAACGCTATCTCATCACAACTGCACGTGTAGATTCATTATAAATTATTTTGAGAATTTCTATTTTCAAACAAAATTTAATTACTTATCTATTTATGGATTTAAACATTGTTAAAAAGATACGTGTAATGATAAACATCCAAGGCTTTCAAGTCAGAGTTTTAGAGAGAAACTTAAAAATTTTTTCGAACACAAAGATTCAAATATTTCTTATGACATTTTAATATTCATTTTTTTTAGCAAATATATTTGATTGACATTTTAGATAAACTCAATAACTTTACAGACTCATGTGAGAGAACAATGGCTCTAAAAATGTGACTACATGTGCAGAAGAAAATAAAAGAAGTGAAAGAATAAAGTGGATAAAAATCGGAAGTCATAAATAGTAAAAAAAATGCAAATGCAACGTTGTACTTCTTACTAACAATAAGACACAAATGTTATAATAATTGCGTTAACCATATATGAAAAATCTGAGGGAAATAAGGGATAAAATTTTGAATTAAAGATTATCATAAAGTCATAAATGATAAAAATGAAATTGATGTTGCATTCATGTATATCGATTATACAAACATTTGATAAAACAATGATAGAAACATAATTTGATCACTAGCATTGATTCCAACTAATAGCATATTCTTATTTAATAATAGTAAAAAATGTTAGTCACAAAAAAATGATGGAAATTTTTATCAGAAATGCAATACTTTAATTTAAAACCATCAGAGCTCTTTCCAAAAAAAACATGTGATACGTAATGGTATAAATTTTACACATTTCGTTTATAAATACACTTATTTGTGTCGGTAACAAAGAGATGAAGTGCATGAAGTAGCAAAGTGCAAAGAGCTCGCTGTTTATTTATTCAACTCTCTCTTTCTCCCTTTCCCTCTCCTCTCTCTCTCTCTCTCTCTCTCTCTCTCTCTCTATATATATATATATATATATATATATATATATATATAGTAATCCAACAAGTGCTTTCGTCGCATTTCACCGCAGTTATAGAATCTGTTATATATGCGATATTTGTTGCCGACAATGCAGCGCGTGGAGGCAATCGAAACTTTATGCGATTGTTAAATGACAATGGCATCGCGTTTCGTTAAGTAGAGAAACAATCCAGATGCAAACGAAGCGCTTAAAAGGGAACAACATCGCTTTAGACAGATCTGTGAGGTTTAAAACGTATTATACGTTCCCCGAGATCCCTGACTGGAGTGCGAGCTGTCGTTTATTGCATCTTGTCGCAATTAATTCTAATGCGCATTACAAGACAATGATTATCAACGACTTTACTCGAGGATACTTATGCGACGCTATCTAGTATAAAATATGCTTCAAAAGATTTACATCGATAATTAAGAATGAGTGTTTCTTACTGAAAGCTATTCAATATTAAAGCTATACTGTAATACTTGTCAATACTTATTAACGAGTTGCGCTTTGAGAAAATGCGAATACAATACAAGACCTCATTATTTAATTAATATAAAGAAGATTTTTATACACATCATGCTTTCAATGTCTTTCAAATATTTAATATTAAAAATTTCAAGATCGCGGCAACGATAAATTCTTCGAGTTTTTCCAAAGAGGATAAAATATATTGCCGCTTTTAAGGTACCTTGTATGCGCCAGAAATATTTCTCCCCAATTTTGATATAACAAGCTAAAATGTACGCGCGAATTTCGTGCTGTAAATAATTTTCATCGTCCGAGAGTTATATTCGCTCCGCGAAACGGTTCATAAAACGATATTGAAGCTACGAATTTATTGTCCGACATTCTTCGAAGCGTGTTAGAATAGCGTAGTTTCTTATGCATCGTGAGATATGCATACTTACGATTCATCGTATGGATAGATTTGCCCGATGCATCAAAGCTTGTCCGCACGCGCTTTGTACTCGTCCCTAGATCAGCTGATCATACGTCGCAGACGATTTCTTCTCTTCGAACGCGGACAGATTTTATTATTTACTCGCGCTTCATTTTTTTCTCGCAACCGAATGGATCCACCCGGAATAACGCACGCGACGAGATGGATTATATTCCCGCGCAAAATTCATCCGCTGACATTAAGCTCTCGCTTAACTTGTCTACGTCGACCGTATTCAACAACACAGAGTGTGTCATCGATATTTGTAAACCGTTGTTGACATTCGTCGTGCAAATATCAAAATTTGATATTTCAGGGATGACGAATGCAGTTCACGTACTCGCGTTGTGTGAATACACGATGCCATACATGTGTCCCTGAAATTTTACCTGACAGAACTTACACTTTAAATCGAAAGGATTTAAATCTGAAAAGAATACATTTTGTATTTCATTATTTATTATCTACGTTATCCATGCGTTAAGATAAAATATAAACATTTTATTTCAATTGCAAATGTTGTAGAAAAATTGCAGAGAAAATAATTATGAATATATAATTATAAATATATAATTAAAATATATAATTTACATCAACAGTTTTATATTATTTATAAAATAATAAATAGCAATTTAACAAATGTTAAAACAACAAAAACGTTGATATTAAATTTTTTGAATAATAATGAAGAATGTTTTGCATTATTTTTTAAATCTATAGAAAACATATTATGAATAAAAGCGATTAAAAAATTAGTTTTAAAAATATCAGTTTTGTTCACTTTCATCAATATCGTTCCTATATCTACGCTATTATAATATTCTCTAATATATTTAATATATTATCTAGTATTATCTAATATTATATAGTATTATTATTATTCTTATTTTCTATTCCCTTATCCCGTTTATGCCGGCTCAGTGTTTGCTTTCTATGCATTCGCTTAAAAGAGGTTCGTTCGTCAGTAAAAGTCATAACAGTCGCTGTCTGGGAAACCTGAAATCGATTCCCCTGCGGGTATTCACCCCTGCAATGTGCAGGTGCAATAGACTGTAGTATGTAATAAGTACATCGTCTAAAATTATTGGATGTTATATATAAAAAAAAACACGCACATTCTCTTTTAAATAGGCAACAAATAATTGTTTGTTAATATTTATCATGTGTTAAATTACTGCTAATTACGTATAATTAATACTATATATTGTTGATTCACATCTTTAAAATGTCACTGGAGTAAAATTATTTTATTTTAGTTTTCTAAATGTTTATAAAATATATATAATAAGCTTTATAATAAGTTTTTAAAATAAATTTAAAATAAAAATTTTTTATTTGATCTAATTATCGTTAGTCTAAAATTTTATTAGTATATGCTGTAAATCCATATATAAATAGAGTAAACTGAGTGAACAAAGTAAACATATTATAATGTTACGTAAGAAATTAAAATTTCAAGAATCGCTTGAATAAGTAAAAATCGTAACTTTTTCAGAAAGCAAAGAACTATTATAAATTAAAATATTTCTTATCAAAATATTTTTCTCACATATTTACGTAATAGCTGTTACATTATTATTATAATGTACAATGAGTTGTTCACATCTCGCGTATAATACTATTATCTTATTAATAAGATGTTCTTCCATAACATAGCAAGCCATGTATGTTAAAGTGCACGAGAAGTTACTTTGGAACAGAGTAAAGCAAAGATTTCCTTCCATTGAGGAAATTAATCATCGAATAAAGAAGACACCGGTTTCTCTCAAAATTAGTTGATAAATTAAAAGAGATATTATATAACCATGTAGGGACAGTCTGTAGTTTTATTCAACGCTTTCATAGACCGCGACAATGTATACGTTAATGTAACAAGAGCACCCGGATGGGTCAATCAGAACTTTGTAGAATTGTTAGATCGTTGCAAAACCACAACGCTAAGTGAGATCAATTCAACGTGGTCGCGACTTCCAGAGAAACTAAAGCGACGAAACACTATCTCTCATCATGTGTGAATTCGTTATAAACTTTTAGGAAATATGCTTTCAAACAAAACTTATATAATTGTTAGCTTATACAAGTATTTTTATATACATATTAAAAAAATATAAAAAAATAGAGACATTAACACTTCAAAATCACCGGTCATCACTCGCGACTGTTATAAAATGTTTCAAAAAAATATTTCTCTATTAATTAAAGCAATTAACGTAGGTACAAGTCTTGATACTTCTCACTGACATGAAAATGTGCTTTTCTAGAAACGATTTTAAAATCTAACATTAAATAAAAGCCGAATAAAGATGAGGAATAAAATTTTTAGAAAGCAAAGAGAGAAACGTACCCTCGAGATCCGTTATCACTTACTTCTTTCTCATTTATATCATCAAATTTTTAGCTAGCCGCTTTGCATAAATATCTAATGAAAACCACATCAGATAACATCGAATTAAGTATGAAAAAATGAGAGGCTGTGCAATGTACTTTATTCTCTTATCACTTATTCACACTAGATGTCACTATCCTGCATTCATAATAATGCAGATGTGCATATTATATCATCTAAGCATATACCATATATATGTTTAAAAAGTGTAATATGTGTTAGTACAATATATGTATAATATATTATACATAAGATATATGTATTATATAATAAATATATATTACATAAACATATTTTTTAAAGCGTGTTATTTTTAGACAATATTAATTTTGCATCTAAACGAAAAAATAAAATATGAATGAATAAATTAAATTTTTTATTACATAAAAAATTAGCGTTAACAGCAGAAAAATTTATTATAAATTTATTATTAAGAATATAAAACACTTCATAATCATATATCAGATCACAAGAGCTCCATCGTAAGTTCTAAAGGCCTCAAACGTCAAAGCTCAATCGTCGAGCTTTAATTGATGAAATGGAGTTAAATTTAATTGGCGTTATCCTCCGCGTTACGTAATCATTGTTGATGATTAATCCATGGTGAAGGGTATCATCGTTAACGACAGAAAAATATTTTTTAATTGTAAAAATGCTTTTATAATTAATTGAGCATCGCGTGCAGACGGTAACAGATGATAAAAGGGAAGGATACACCGTTTAAGACGCGTTCGTCTCAGGTGTCGTTTCAGGTTTGTCCCCACGAGGATCGACGGCCTCGCTCACGCAACGACTGTGACGTCGGATGGTCGTGATCGCAGGGACAAATCCCTTCGTCTCTTCGCCTGCTGCAAATATTGATTTTCGACTTTCGAGGTTTCTGGAGCAAGTCAGTCTTTTGACGCAAGCGCTCAGGCCAATGCAACATGGCGTCGGAACTGAGTCTGGGTTATCATCTGCGTCTGTAGCGACTCTCAGCGTAAAAGCTGACGTAATTTCTAATAAAAGATTAGCGAAAATGTAATTCACTCGCTCCTTCAATTGTCATCGCGCAGTGCGTGAAGCAAAAGCCAGGCTCAGCGAGATGAACACGGACATACGCATCGCTGTTACATGTTTTCTGCTTATCGCGATGATAACCTTCACGAGTGGTAAGTGTAAATTATCTCGAATTTATCGGTTGAACGCTATCTAATGGTGCGATGCATCATTGCAACTATTTTTAGAAATTCATTAAATTTGCATAGCACAATTTATTTTGATTTACTTAAAATTGGCAGAACATATATAGTACGCGATTCTGAAAATATATAATACTTGTAACATATTTGTGTTATAGTTTTAGGATTATTATTTGATCTGATTCGAGTATAAAATGTTGATTGCAATATGTTTCTTTCTTTTATATAAAGTTTTTGTAATAAGAAAAATTTATACTATTACGCATAATACTTTGTCTGATCGCAATCACGATAAACGAGAATTTTTGAAGTGGAATCGACTTAAGATATTAATGTTGCATTTATAATATATTATCTTTCTCTAATCAAATATTTTGTATTCTTAATATGAGATAATTGTAATATATTTAATAAGATTAAATTATATTTTTAATCATTCTTTTTTAAATTGTATAAATGTATATACATATATTCAGAAGAGATAGAGAGAGAATTTCGGATAACAGTAAATTCTAGATTATCGTAATTATCATAGATTCGCGTAATCGATAATCCATTAGCATACAATATTTATAGCATAAAGAGAGAGTTGATAAATAAGCATATAAAAGGGATAATAAATCATTCATTTAATATAGAAATCAATCTTTTCCATTATGTCAAATTTATATCTTAACGTGCTACTTTTAAAATACAAAAATATTTTATATTATTGGCAGCATTTCTGCAGTGACAAATCTAATTTAAATTTTCGATATAAATATATAATTCAAGATTGTATTCTTTTCTGTATATAATATGCGGTAATTTGTGATGAAAGCAGGCCAGCTATCGATGAAAGAACATCGAACTCAGGCGGCTTCCGAAAAAGCTAACGATCTATGGTGCTATCAATGCTTTACCATGGAAGACGGTGAAAAATGTATCAATCTTACTGGCAATACTGGCAATTCCAGCACCTTCAGGCACAAGTGTACGGATGACAAAAGAATTTGCATGGTAAGGTTACGTAATTTTGTTTTGATTTATATGCAATATTTTAGCGCCAAACGTGATAGTTGCGATGCTCTCGTAGTATTTTTATTAAAATTGATCATTATAACGTATTAACATATATAAAATGCATATTGCACGAAATACAATATTGTGTAGAAACGTGACACGAGAATCGAATTGCTGCGAGTATAAACCAGATTGTAACGAACGGGTGGCATGGTAAATTCACGCGCGCGCATTTAATATGAACCTGTCACAACAATTTATATCATGTTACTTGTTTATCTAGGCGAATTAATATCTATTTGTTTATACACATCACGTTTATAAGCGCGCACCTATTCGTTATGGGTAAATTATTACGTCCATGAGATACCTCGAATCACGGCTATCTTTGTTAGTTACGGTAATCTCGTCGAAATGTCAGATAATATTTTATACAGAATTTAATGTATAATCTTTTTTTCCACAATTTTTTTTTAAATAAAAATTAATGAGATACGTAAAAAGAAGAGATTAGAAAAATGTTGTGTATATTATTATATATTATTATTATTATTATTATTATTATTATTATTATCCATTTATACATAAAGGTTTTCTAAATACAAATTTAAAATGCCTTTAAAATGTCAATATTATTTCTTAATACACATATACATATATGTATAAAAAGTAAAACACGTGCCACTTTTTGCAATATTAATTTTTTTTTTAAAGAATTAATTGCGTGCAAGTTTGCCAAGTACACAGGATATTTATTAGTTATCAAATTTCCTTTGTGATTTGAATCCTTGTATGAAACCACAATTGAACTTTTCAATGCCATCAAAACATCACTGTGAAAATTTTTAGTAATATAAAATTGTCCAACCTAAATTTATATATATGTATACTGATAAAATAAGCAACTTTTGTTATAAATATTAATAAATATTTATATTACAAATATATCTGCACATTTATATATATAAATAATAAATTTATGAATAATCTTATATTATTTTCGTATAAATCTCATATTAGTGATATTAGAATGATAAGGTCATGTATCATTCAGTTAACCAATTTTTTATATAAAAAAAACATGACATTATTTTCTTTTTCATCTAATAATTATTACGAATGAATTTACAGGTGAAACGATTTTCCTACACCTTAAGCACCGAGAATTCGACTTCCACGGAACAAACGTGGTCCGTGGAAAGAAACTGCACGAACAAATGCGAACCAGGATGCATCGTAATCGGAGAACGCACTAAACTCTTCGCCTGTACCGCCTGTTGTGAGACCGATATGTGCAACAACGGTAACGGGACAGCCAACGACCTAACAATCAAAGAAATCGACTTTCTGTTAGCTCTTGTGCTTCAAGCTATCTTGACCGTTATCATGTATCCATCGTGACAGCATTAATAAAGTTACTTGTTATAATTCCCATTATATCTGTATAATTAAATTTTAAAATAATATGTTAAAAAAATTAAAATAGTAATATGTTGCAAATCATGTTATAATATACCTTATTCGCGACAGTGCCGAATTTACCCATACGCTAATTATGCTGAAGCGTATATAAGGCGGCAGATTTTTGGGAGCGGCATATTTTTAAGATTTTTTAACGAGAAACATACGAAAAATAATGAAAAATCATTAGTTTTCGAGATATCGAATTTTAAAAGTCGTAATACGTGAAAATTAATACACGCAAAACTGTGTATTATAGTATTCACATATTACTTTAAAAATTCAATATCTCAAAAACCAATGAACCAATGAAGTTTGTAAAGCGGCAAAATTTCAAATGCGTAAAGCGGCAAGTTTGATAAATCCGGCACTGATTCGCGATTAATATTTTTTGACAGAAATCAGCTGATATAAGCTGTCAAAAAATATTAATCAAGTTTATGGTATTATAACATATTGTTCAAAGTTCAAAGCATATTATTTAAATTTTATAAACACATATTTTGATTTAGAACACTACTTAAAACGAGGCAATAAATATTGCAATAGAATTAGAAATAAATATGAAAGGAAAGAAAGATTTTAAATGGGTTCTTTGATATTTGACTGACAACAGCTAAATTGAAAAAAAGAGGAAAATAACAATATTATAGAACAAAGTCATAAAGATATTACATAGGAAATAAAAAATATATACACTTACAGATGCGTCATAGAAACTTCGTAAACAGCCGATGCACTATCATTTGCGAACTACTCGAACGCGCGAAACGACGAACATTGGTTTTATATAAATAACATGAGATGCGCGACCGCGTAATCCAATGGGTAATAAATCGAAACGATTGTTCGTCGTTAAATTCGACACTCCCGTACACGTCACGCGGAATTTTAAGAAATACTTATCACTGAACACTTCAATTTTATCACTGCGCGAGATATGTGTTTAGAAAACGGTATCTCGCGACAAACACTTTAATAACGCGCGAAGCAATGGACACGAATTAGCATATTTCATGCTATAACCGAAAGACGATCGCGCGAGCTACTATCATTGATCATTGATCATTGTCGTTACACTCTTCCGATATTGCTATTAATGCTTCTCGATATTAAGAGACACCGAAATGTCCGATCAGATGAGCAGAAATATGCGTAAATTAAAAAATTGGCGTGTCACGACGAACCGCGATATGTTTACCTGAGGGGAATCGAAGAAAACCACTGAAATATACGTCGCGTGAGTCACTTAATATCTTCAAACGGTTGTCCATTGTTAAATTCGACGTTTCCGATATACGTACGTACACACAACTCGTTCGGAACTGACGAAAAGACGCGTCGACACATAAAAGTCACAACCGGACTCATCACCGGCACCGCGCGAGACGAACTTAACCGTTTACAGTATACGCCGAGCAAGTCGTTGGGGTGAGGAGCCGATAGAGGTCGCGGAGGTCGCAGCGATCGCGGCGTACGCGGAGAGCAATAGCTCGACGACTGACGACTGACGACCTGCACGCTACGCGTTTCCCGCGAGACTGATCCCAATAGCCAATTGCGAGACTCCGTACGTAGAGAGTCTTGCGATTGGCGCGCCACTAGGATCGCCTGTCTCTATATAAGAACTGCGTTGAACGACAGACCCGGACAGACGCTTTTTGATGTTCTTCTGCGGTGGTCAGCGGACGACGCTCCTCGATGAATGAGTCTTGTCTAACAATCAGCTAACTTAAAGAAACAGACTCGAACGAATACTAAACCAAATAAAAAAAGGGAAGAAATTACATTCTGATGTTTAAAAATATATAGATTTTATAAACGGCCCTTTTTAGGGTCACCAATTTCCGGTAAAGAACGTCACTCGTTCGCAATTCTTTTCCTTTATACATTCTTTATCTTTATACAATTTTCTTTATTGTTCTCTAAATAACATTTATGATATCAAAAATACTTTTATCAATCGCTTTTCATCATTGCATTTTATTTTTTATTTTTATATCGTTATATTTAAGAATATGTAGACGATTGAATTCTACTATATATAAAACAAACGATCCTAAAACTAATTATTAAAAAAATACTTATTGCATCGACATATAAATATCTTGCTATCTAAAAATATAGATTTTATGCACGCACATTTAAATTATACATATAGCTGTTATATTATTTCAAAATGTACACACAAGAATTTTATTTATTCGTATCTAATCATACAAATATAATCATACAAATAAATAATTAAATAAGAAACAAAAATTTGTGTGTACATATTGAATTATAATATAATAGCTACATGTATAATTAAATGTATAAAATTTATATATTTTTGTATAGCAAGATATTTATATATAGAATCAATAAGTATTTTTTTGAATAACGTTTTAAGATCGTTTGTTTTAAATAATAGAATCCAATCATCTGTATTTTGTATTTATCTGTAATTGTATAAAGAAAAAGAATTGTGAACAAGTGATGTCCTCAGTTGGAAATTAATGGCCCTAAAAAGAGCCGTTTATAATTAATGCTAATCCGTAGTTAAATTTTCTTATCAGTCTACTTTGATAGTAAGACTAGTTGAATGTTTTGTCTATTTTTCTTAGCCTTTTCCACGATCAGACATGACGAATAAAAGATTTGCGGGCATCGAACAAGAGATCCTTTATCGATTCGATCAACGCTGCGCGCACGATGCTTCAACATATTCTGTGAAGCGGGCCTGCTTCGCTCCACTATTTATACTAAGATGCGGGACCTCCGAGCGGCCAATCACGTGCCGCGGCGTGGTATACGGCACGCCATTGGCCACTGGAAGGTCCCGCATCTTAGTATAAATAGTGGAGCGAAGCAGGCCCACTTCACAGAATATGTTGAAGCATCGTGCGCGCAGCGTTGATCGAATCGATAAAGGATCTCTTGTTCGATGCCCGCAAATCTTTTATTCGTCATGTCTGATCGTGGAAAAGGCTAAGAAAAATAGACAAAACATTCAACTAGTCTTACTATCAAAGAAGACTGATAAGAAAATTTAACTACGGATTAGCATTAATTATAAACGGCTCTTTTTAGGGCCATTAATTTCCAACTGAGGACATCACTTGTTCACAATTCTTTTTCTTTATACAATTACAGATAAATACAAAATACAGATGATTGGATTCTATTATTTAAAACAAACGATCTTAAAACGTTATTCAAAAAAATACTTATTGATTCTATATATAAATATCTTGCTATACAAAAATATATAAATTTTATACATTTAATTATACATGTAGCTATTATATTATAATTCAATATGTACACACAAATTTTTGTTTCTTATTTAATTATTTATTTGTATGATTATATTTGTATGATTAGATACGAATAAATAAAATTCTTGTGTGTACATTTTGAAATAATATAACAGCTATATGTATAATTTAAATGTGCGTGCATAAAATCTATATTTTTAGATAGCAAGATATTTATATGTCGATGCAATAAGTATTTTTTTAATAATTAGTTTTAGGATCGTTTGTTTTATATAGTAGAATTCAATCGTCTACATATTCTTAAATATAATGATATAAAAATAAAAAATAAAATGCAATGATGAAAAGCGATTGATAAAAGTATTTTTGATATCATAAATGTTATTTAGAGAACAATAAAGAAAATTGTATAAAGATAAAGAATGTATAAAGGAAAAGAATTGCGAACGAGTGACGTTCTTTACCGGAAATTGGTGACCCTAAAAAGGGCCGTTTATAAAATCTATATATTTTTAAACATCAGAATGTAATTTCTTCCCTTTTTTTATTTGGTTTAGTATTCGTTCGAGTCTGTTTCTTTAAGTTAGCTGATTGTTAGACAAGACTCATTCATCGAGGAGCGTCGTCCGCTGACCACCGCAGAAGAACATCAAAAAGCGTCTGTCCAGGTCTGTCGTTCAACGCAGCTCTTATATAGAGACAGGCGATCCTAGTGGCGCGCCAATCGCAAGACTCTCTACGTACGGAGTCTCGCAATTGGCTATTGGGATCAGTCTCGCGGGAAACGCGTAGCGTGCAGGTCGTCAGTCGTCAGTCGTCGAGCTATTGCTCTCCGCGTACGCCGCGATCGCTGCGACTTCCGCGACCTCTATCGGCTCCTCACCCCAACGACTTGCTCGGCGTATACTGTAAACGGTTAAGTTCGTCTCGCGCGGTGCCGGTGATGAGTCCGGTTGTGACTTTTATGTGTCGACGCGTCTTTTCGTCAGTTCCGAACGAGTTGTGTGTACGTACGTATATCGGAAACGTCGAATTTAACAATGGACAATCGTTTGAAGATATTAAGTGACTCACGCGACGTATATTTCAGTGGTTTTCTTCGATTCCCCTCAGGTAAACATATCGCGGTTCGTCGTGACACGCCATTTTTTTAATTTACGCATATTTCTGCTCATCTGATCGGACATTTCGGTGTCTCTTAATATCGAGAAGCATTAATAGCAATATCGGAAGAGTGTAACGACAATGATCAATGATCAATGATAGTAGCTCGCGCGATCGTCTTTCGGTTATAGCATGAAATATGCTAATTCGTGTCCATTGCTTCGCGCGTTATTAAAGTGTTTGTCGCGAGATACCGTTTTCTAAACACATATCTCGCGCAGTGATAAAATTGAAGTGTTCAGTGATAAGTGTTTCTTAAAATTCCGCGTGGCGTGTACGGGAGTGTCGAATTTAACGACGAACAATCGTTTCGATTTATTACCCATTGGATTACGCGGTCGCGCATCTCACGTTATTTATATAAAACCAATGTTCGTCGTTTCGCGCGTTCGAGTAGTTCGCAAATAATAGTGCATCGGCTGTTTACGAAGTTTCTATGACGCATCTGTAAGTGTATATATTTTTTATTTCCTATGTAATATCTTTATGACTTTGTTCTATAATATTGTTATTTTCCTCTTTTTTCAATTTAGCTGTTGTCAGTCAAATATCAAAGAACTCATTTAAAATCTTTCTTTCCTTTCATATTTATTTCTAATTCTATTGCAATATTTATTGCCTCGTTTTAAGTAGTGTTCTAAATTAAAATATGTGGTCTAAATTTTTCAAATCTGCTTTTTCTATCAATATAAATTTTGATTGCGATTGGTACAAACAATACAAACAACTACAAACGCGGTCAAATCACTTGTACAAAAGCGGATTAAAAAATCTTTATAATTGACAAATTTCACTATTAACCTTTTTTTTTAAACAATTGCAATTTCTAAACCGTGCAACCACAAATGAAACGAAAATCACTACAAACAATTTTTAAAGAAACTAAGGAAGCGGATTTGAAATATCTTAAAGTGAGGTGCGGGTCATTTAAAAAAAATTTTTTTAATTGATAAAACTACAAATTCTATCATTTTCTGTATTAAAAAATTAATTTTTATAAATTAAAGAGTCTAGTTCACATAGGTCGCGCAAACCTGCGCTAATACCTATCGATGCATGCATTGCTGCACTTCCAGACGACGTATTCCGCTTTAAGGATCGATATCGATCTATCTCCGCTTAAAGTCTTACTCGAACTTATTGTTAGAAATGTCGCGCATTTAACTACAACTATGTGAATCTGGCACCTGACTTTGAAAATATGTATTTTTTAATACAAAAAATGATAATATTTCACATTTGCAGTTAATTAAAAATAATATAATACTTCATAATATTTCTGAAATTTATTATGGGTTTATTTGAAGATTGTTATTAAGAAAATATTTTTTGTTAAAGTTTATCATTACTTAAAAGAAGGAAATAAGTAGTGAATTGATTGAATCATTGAATTATTTTTGTTTCAATAAAATGACATTTTTCTGTTTTTTTAAATGTGGAATAATTTTCTTTTCAAAAATTTTTCTTTATTTTTTTCTTTATTCATATTCATTTCTAATTCTACCGCTTATGTGTGGGATGCAAAATGTTTAAAATAATTTTTACATGATTACAAGAAAATAAATACAGTATTTATAAAAATTGTGTAATGCTTATATATGCTACTTTTAATGTTCATAAATGCATAGAATTAAATGGTTTATTAATATTGACTAAAAAATCAAGAGAACCTAATCAGTTACACATATTTTCAATTTAATCAGTAAATATATATTTTTATATATATGGTTTTTTAATTGTTTAAATTTTTGTTCGGTCTACTTTTATTTTCGAATAATATGATTCTTGTTTGTTAGATATTTATGGAAACTTGTAGTGTTTCTTCGGTTTATATATATATATATATAAATGATTCTTCTATTTATGTTTCATTTTCTGTCTGGTTCACAAACCTGCGCTAGTACCTATCGATGCATGCATTGCACTTCCAGACGTCGTATTCCGCTTTAAGGATCGATATCGATCTATCTCCGCTTAAAGTCTTACTCGAACTTATTGTTAGAAATGTCGCGCATTTAATTACAACTATGTGAATCTGGCACCTGACTTTCAAAATATGTATTTTTTAATACAAAAAATGATAATATTTTACATTTGCAGTCAATTAAAAATAATATAATACTTCATAATATTTCTGAAGTTTGTTACGGATTTATTTGAAGATTGTTATCAAGAAAATATTTTTTGTTAAAGTTTATCATTACTTAAAAGAAGGAAATAAGTAATGAATTGATTGAATCATTGAATTATTTTTGTTTTAATAAAATGACATTTTTCTGTCTTTTTAAATGAATCATTTTCTTTTCAAAAATTTTTCTTTATTTTTTTTCTTTATTTATATTCATTTCTAATTCTACCGCTTATGTGTGGGATGCAAAATGTTTAAAATAATTTTTACATGATTTTAAGAAAATAAGTACAATATTTATAAAAATTGTGTAATGCTTATATATGCTACTTTTAATGTTCATAAATGCATAGAATTAAATGGTTTATTAGCATCTTGAAAATTTTTTTTCGCAAAGATATAAATATAAAATTTGATATTTTAAATTTTCTAACATTAAGTTAATTGTAATTCTATATAATATTTAATTTTTGTTTTAATTTTTAATTATATCATTTTTTAAATTATTTTATATCAATCTACTTTAAGAATATGCGATAATTTAATTAATTATTCTCGTATTTTCTTTTTATATATACAATTAAAATTAAATTATATCTACATTAATTTTAGGAGATTACTTGTCAAAACACGTCATAATGCATAATCTTTAATTTAAATTTATCGATCGTAAATAGCGAGTTATAACGTCATCTAGTGCTATGTAACGATACTTTAACGTAAAACCGTAATTATCGACTGCGTATTAATAATATTCAAGTTATAAATATTAAAACTACAAAGAAAAATGAAAATTATAAAAGCGGATGGATAGTTATCTTGAAAAAAATATTTTTGAAACAAAAAATAATATCTGAGACCAAATTTTTATGATTATAATAGATATTTCTGTTTTTCTTTTTGATGTAACAATGAGAGAAGTTACATATTTTGCTGACATATTACTTTCAATATACAATTTTTTTCTTCCTTTTTTTATCTCTTTCCAACCTTGCGCTTCCCCCTTCCACTCTCTCTTCTCTTCTACTAACATTGACTTTCACACGTCCGTGTATTCCATTTCTTCGCAGAAACCATCCTCGTCTCGATACCTTAGTCGTAAAAAATAAAATTGAAATTTATTACGTGTAACAATTACATTACATATATAGTGACGTTAAAGCAATTTTCCCTCACACGTCGCGTCGGTTCCCACCTTGAATACCGGGAAATATATGACACAAGAAGAAAACTTCGCGCAATTGGCACGTGCGTTGTCTACATGACCGCGCGTTCAAAGTAGTCTCTCGTTTTCTGCATAAATATGCTAAAATCCTTTGGTACCTCACGATTAATCGCCCGTAAAGTATAAATAGTGCTGTCTTTGCACAGCACTGCGTCTCTAATATTTAGTACTTCGTGTTTCAACAGGTTAAAAAAAATCAGTGTCTAATTTTAAGTATGAAGTTATGCTTTAACTGACATTCTGATTTACTCTATTTCAAATTAGAGGAGATATGCTTAGATATTCACATTTCTTCTCTAAATTGTATTCATTCATAATAGATCTCAAATCGATTATTAGCGACTGTCAAATGATAAAGTTATACATTTAAAGTATTGATAGTATAAATATGAATGATGGATGACAATGTATTTTTATACATGTCATATTTTTTTTTACACTGAAAAAAATTATTAAATTAATAAATATGTATTTCAATACTGTCTAATAAATCGGTTTGATACAAATAAATATTTATTTGAAAAGGATTGTCTTATATCAAATAAATTTTTTTCCGCATTATATCAATATTATTAGTTTCAAATAAATGATTTATTAGGCAGTATTGAAATAAATATTCGAATTCAATAATTTTTTTTAGTGTAATTAAATATATATTTAAAAAATTGAGTCTCATATTTTGTATCATTAATATGCCTTGCTTCTTATCTCCCTATTAAAGCTTCTTTTAAAATAATATATTATCTGTTCACTTATACGCGATTCTTAAAATATTATACGATAATTATACAATTATTACGCTAAACTCTTAATCAAATACCATCGATTGTATTATAGCATCGAAATTCCCGCATGTAATAGTGAAGTATTGTATTGCGATTGCAAAAACTGACCGCGTATAATGTTTGCGGCCCACAGTGATAATCAGTCATATCGGTGTTTAAGCTTGCTTCCACACTAACATCGCGCGCATCTTCCGCGATAAACGCACACACTGTCACAGCATGGCTGCGTCATCCAAAGAAACAGAAGAAACACGCGATAGTGATATTGCGACGACAGGACGCCGGCTAGACATATAGTCGGTCCGTTTGTTTCCGACTTGTCAAACATCGGGAAAGACACGTCCGCGTTCAGTTCGGATGGTCAGTCAGTACAAAGAGATCTGTCGGGCCAGGATGCAGGCGTCAGGATCGTCCGTCGCGATTTTCCTGCTATGTTATGTTTCAATCACCGCGACCTACCCGATGACGACGACGACGACGATGACGATAACAACAACAACGACGACGGAAGTCGTGCACGAAACGAATCCGTCGACGAAGTGTTGCGTCGTCGGCTACGCGTTCGATGAAAATCTCGAATGCGTCCATGTAAAGTCGAACAAGTTCAACTATACCGCGCACGACGCCCGGCAAACGATATCGTCCCAGCATCCCCAACAGATCGTTACTGTGCTCGCGTCCGTGCCTGGCTTGAACTGCAATAACGATGCCATGAATCGTCAAGCCCTGCGCGGCTACGCGGCCATTCTCACATCGAAAGATTATTGTATCGAGAATATGATTAACGGCACGATCGTGCTCGTCAAGTGTGCGGAGACGCCTGTAAACAAGGAGAACTCGAGGGAAACGTTGATGATGATGAAGACCACGACGATCATCACTGTAACAACCATCACCACTATTACCACCATCAACATGGCTTCGAATCTAACGAAGGACGACCGAGAGGGGATCGTTTATCACAACAATAATTTGAGAACGGTCATTTTCTGGGGCGCGCAGACATACATGGATACCAACGTGGTCCACGTGGTTCTCTGCGTGATTGTCGTCGTGGTATATTTATCCGTTCCGAAACTGGGCAAGAAGATCTACAATCGTGCGGTTCTGCGTCACAACGTCTGTCTGTTGCTGCAGGGATGCATTCTGATGTTCCTCGGCTTTTGCGAGCTATGCGACTGTCCAATGAGTAACGAATTCGCCACGTTCCTATGGATAGTGTTGCAGTATTTCACGAACGCCACTGTGTTCTGGCTAAACGTAATCTGCTTCGACATGACTCTGTCGATTACGCGGTTCCGCTGGATGCTCGGATCCGGTCAACAGACCAGTCAGGAGGAGAACAGGAGACTTCTTCTGTACGGCATCTTCGCCTGGGGAGGCGCTCTCATCCCTGCCGTTGTTGCCTTCATCTTGGAATATTTCCCCGGAATTCCGGACGATCTTCCGCTAAAACCAAATTATCATCGGTATCGCGGCGGCCCGAACTTCGTGGTAAACATCTACTTCTTCGGCATCCCGCTATTGACGCTCTTCTGGAATAACATACTGTTCGTGTTTACCACGTATAAAATCATACGCATACAACGAAGCACGGAGATAGCAACGAGGAACAACACCAATGCCCTCAGGAAGAAATACTTCCTCTTCCTGCAGCTGTACTTGCTGATGGGCGCGCCCTGGTTCTTCGGTCTACTCTTTGCCTGCCTGAACAAGCTCGTGGTACTCAAGATATGTCGGATGATATGGCCGATACTGTGGCTTCTGATGCTCGCCACTCACAAGAAAATGCGACAGAAGCTGGTGAACAAGTTGCGGTGCATCAAGAAGAAACAAGAAGTAAATTCGTAAAGAAAAAAACTCTTGGATTGAAATCCGTATCTTGGGCAAAAAGACAAAAAAAAAACGGATGCGGTAAACCAATAGTCGTCGATCTCACAATTGAAGCGTATAAATCACGGAATATCCGTCCATCATCTTCGTCATCGTCATTGTCATCGTCATTGTGTAATTTCGCAGCGAACGACGAAGTCGCTCTTACTCATCGTCACGCTCGAGCATTTGCATTTTTTTTCTTACGCAAACCGTAGGAAACCCCCTTGCAGGAAAATAGAAAAGAGAAAGCAAAGAATCAACGCCTCGTCGCCGCAATATCCGATGTGCGCGGGCTGAGCGATGATGAGTCGCGCCGCGGAAAAACTCGCGGCGTCGAGACGCGCGCGGCGGATAATAAAGGAGTCGCGGCGCGACGCCGTTTCCTGCCGGAGCATTTTAATTACCGTAGACGCGCCGCCCATTCGTTTGCCCTCTCGCTCGCCCCCTTCTCTTCCTCTCCCGCGGTTTTTTTATGACATGTAGAATATTAATCCGTTAGTTATACCGACGCGGGCGATATATAGTAGGCAAATCTTTTGCATCTCTAAAAAAATGCAACAAGAACGTGATTCCTTTTTCTCTCGAGAAAAGAAAGCAATCTTTCGTCACACGCATGCCAATAAGTTAAAATATATAATAAAATTATACTAGTGATATTTTTTTTTTTTTTTTTTTTACCGTACATATATCGATTTTTGTGTCTAATATTAAATAAAGGAAGATTCTATCTCGCGCGCGCGGTATGTAAATATCAATGATATTATGGAAATTCCGGTATTCTAGTCAATGGGAGAAAAAACAAGTCAATTAATGAGTGTAAATAGCGACGGAAATTACCTTGAATCGCGAAGCTCCCGATAGCACAATCATATGATCGCGTGGAATCGATAATAAGTGACGGCCTACGGGCAACGACTTATTAAAGACTATTGATTCCGACGTTCTTCTGCGCAGCAAAACGCAGTAGAAAAGAAAGACATAAGGATCATTATAGTTCCCTTAAGGCAATCGCAATACCATAAACAGGTATTTCTGAGAATGTGATAGAGAATATGATGTCGATATATAGGAGAGATTACAAGATTATATAATATAATAATTAGCTTTTAGTGTGTGCTAAGACTTGATGTAAATAGACATATAATTAATCTATTTAAATGTCATCTGTGCGTTCTACTTTGGAATATTTTATTGTAAAACAAGCTCAATATTTCTAAAAAAAAGAGACAATTTACTCAGCATTACTCTTTTATTTAGAATGCAAAAACACGATTTGGAAATAAATTTATCTCCAAATTGTAAAAAAATATTCAACATTTTTTTCCATTCGGAAAAACTATCAAAATGGAAACATCTATGACAAACATTTAACTGAAACGAGATGTAAACAATTTTTTAAAATTAAAACGTATGTTTTAATTGATTTTTTATATGTCTATATCTGTCTTATCATAAAAATATATTGCTCTTTTTATATGTTATTTATATTTGATGCATTATTACAGTATATATTTTAAATATTACCTTGCGCGAACATTATTTTGTACTATTAGGTCCGGTATCTTCAAATTTGATAAACATTTTATATTAAAGTTCTGTATTATTGGAATATTCCATAGATATTTTAACGTTTAAACATTTTTCTTGGGTTTTCCACATAAATATGTTAACCAGGAAAGTTTATATAGTTTGCTAATCTTCGCAAGTACATACGCGGCATGAGTCATCACCTATCGTTGTCATAAATTGAATATTTATACCTTGCTGTTGCATCACGTGTATGTAGATTTGTGTATATGTGCATGCACGTTTATTTTGTATTAAAACAAAAGCTAATTCAGTCACGTCAAAATTTTTCAACGTTCAATTTACTTCTATACATTTTACGAATCTCTGCGTCGCATCAGCATTTTTTCTCATTTAATAAATAATAAATAATAAAAACATTATACGAAATAATAATTTATAAAATTAATCCGGAAAATTATATAAGAGACGTTACAGTATTTTAAAATTCTCACATTTAAGCACAATTAGCATGTCTAACTGGCACTTTAGAGCTAAAAATGCTTTTCATCCTGCGGATCCGCCACACGGCATGCAAAATTATGACATAGGCGCTTTAACGAGAGATCAGAAGCAAGCTTTGAACAAAATGAAAATGAATACTCGACGGGAAAATGAAATTTATCTTAAATCACATCCAGAAGTCAAAGGTTTGATCACCATTTTGTTAAGGTGAGTTTAATTAGAAATGTATCTCTATATAAACTAAGTATATTTATATATATCTAGTTTATAGACTATTAGAAAAATTTGAAGTTGATAGGTTGAAATTTAATTTGTGTCCTCTTTCTAACGATAATAACTTGATAAAAATTGTCTGAAGTGCCAATTATAAACTTAATATGCGACAATGAACGTTCGAGATTAATGATGTGTCATTAAAATCGCTTTCATAGACATATCCTATCGAAGGAGCCGCTCATCGATATTCCTGAGGTCGTAGGTACATTTTTCAACAGACCTCGTCGTGAAATTGTCGCTGACCTTTTGGATTACTTGTCGTCTGTCGATAAACGACCGGATATAATAGACAGCCTTCGAGAGGAACTATTCCGAGCGACTAATGTTGAAACTCATAATAACAATGATTCAAACTCACGATCCGATTATAACTCTTGCAATTGTAATCGGGATAATGCAACTCGCCATTTTTAAAATTTCAATAATACGTTGAAATAAGATGATTTATATATGTGCTCTCTTCTTGTCAAATTTAAAATTAATTTTGTTTGATCTGTATCTCCAATAATGATTCGATTAATTGATAATTTAATCAGATGTGCTGATTATGAATTTAGTTAGGATTCAATTTGCTCGAGATATATATTTCTCTCTTCTCAAGATATATTTTAAATTCATATGATTCTAAATAAAATAAAATGTCTTATATAAATAACGAAACGAAAAGTCTATTTCTAAATATAATGGCCACATTGAATACATTTATTATTTATCTCGTTTAACAATGCACAATGCTTGTAATTGATGAAATCATGTTCAGAATACACGAAAATGTTGCATATTATTCATGATTTCGAATCACAGCATCGTAATTAGCATACCTCATCTGAATATATATTTACACGGTAGAAACAAAAAGAATTCAGACTTAAATTCAGACTTAGAAAAACACACGTGGTCCCGTTTAAGAAGATAAGGCGATTTATCCCTCGTTTTCCTCTTATCCGCGCTCCAGCAAAATCCAGTAGCAACATCTCATTCATTTCGCGAAAAGTCTCACAACGAGAGATCGAAATACCAAGAAATAATTTTTTCGCTATCTCTCTAACAGTTTCCGAGAAGAGAGACGCTTCTAACGTACACACTTTACATAGAATCCAGCGATGTGTGCACACCATATATACAGATTTAGTTTGCCCTAACTCTGTAGATGGCGCTGAGCGGCGCGTTATATTCCCAGCTTTTTATCCGGGCGCTTGCGTATCCCGCGCCAGTCGTGCATCGGCCCGAGCGACGCGAGCGTCTTAGGGGTATCGGTTCCTCGCTTTTTTTCTCCCTCCGGTCTGCCGTCTGTTTTCGTTCGCGCGAACGACCGGTGCTCGCGAACGTAAACCGTATAACGACTTAAAAACCGTCGCGCGACATGCGATCGGGAAGTGACAGTCAAATTAGGACGGACGATCGCCGATCGTCCGGATGATATCGGCGTTCGCGGAGAATCTGAACGCGCGATCGTTTCCCTTCCTCTCCCCTTTATCATCCGCGATCGCGAGTGATATCGATGCAGTGATAAATATCGATCGAACGGGAGGCCGCGCTCTCTCTCTCACTTTCTTCCCGTCTCTTTTCGATCGCGAGGATCGAGTGACGGCGCGCGTGCGACGATTGATAGCCAAGATCGGATTTCGCACTCGGGGTTATTATTGTTCCCGGTGACGTGCTTAGCTGGTGCGCGGCCTCTTTGTAGAATGGACACTCGCCGACGTAACGACGGCGTTGTCAGCGGCGCGGTGCGCGCATCGATCAACCCGCGAGGGTAAAGCGACCCTCGTCGAGGGACGAGAACAGGGAGACGCGAACTTTCCGCCGAGAGAGAGGCCGGTCTTTTTTTCTTTTCATTCACCGCGCCGCGGATACGTAATCGATAGATAATAAACCGCCGCCGCGAAGAGGGACAAATGGATGCGGAGACTCGTCGCCGCGCAGCTCCCGTCCTCGTGAAATGGCAGACGCGTCGCGGATCGGCCGCTTCGCCGGCGGTTTTCGTTTCCGACGGGCGACACGGCTGAAATGAGAGACGATCGACGACGACTCATATCGATATATATACATATATCGTAGACGTGTGCGAGAGCGCGCGCGCGCGTGCGAAACATCTCGCGGAGTTGGTTCTGTGCCTGTTTGGTGTGCGTCGAGATCAAATAAATAAATAAATAAATAAAAGGGAAGAGAGAAAACACATCCGTCCGTCAAAGTGTGGCATCGAGATAAGTCGCGTGTGCTGGTCGGGTGCCCGATCTCTTCCCTTATCTCGGTGGAATTTTTCGCTGTGCGTTGTACGCGATTCCCGGACTAGAACATCACGAAGAGAGAAAGCCCTCGGATATATTAATGAAGATGTGCCGCGGATTGATCGATCGGTTGCTCTTGCTAGCGGCGTTCGGAATCACAGTCCAAGGTACGTGATCGTTTCTATCGTCTTTCCAACCCCCTCCCCCGAAATCGAACGTGTACCCCATTTTCGAGACCCCCCAACTTTTCTTCTCCCCTCTTTGCTTCTCTTTCTTTCCTGTATATGATTCTCCCTGTGCACGCTCCGCTGCTTTTACGGGTCCAGCGTCCCCTGTATCGTGCGTAAATAATATACGGGGTGTCCTCGTTCTAATGCGACGAATCCGCTTTTATCGGCACATTTAATCCTGTATATTCCCACGGATCACGTGCGTGTATGTGTGTGTTTGTGAAATATAGATATGGTCAACAGTTTGGCATTTTTTTGATATTTTCTATAATATTTTCAGATTCATGGTTTTCTATTTTTTCGCTTTCAGTTTGCAAGTGTGTAAGTTGGCTCATTTCGTGCAATTAATTATTTTGCTTTTAAAGGCAGAACCGGACAAATGTAATTTAGAATTTCCGTAAAAGATGGAGAGAAATATTTATTTCAATAACCGATCAATTATTTATATATTGATCAGAATCGAAACATTATTGCTCTTATTTCTCCTTTTGCCCAACGCAACGTGTGAATCTTATCTCTTTTTATCTTACGCAAATGTTTGACTGCAAGTCAATCTACTATTCTAGTACTGTGTCCGAAACTAAAAGTATTCTCGACTCGAAGAGGATATAAGAGCGAAAACAAATTCTTTTCGTGTTACCTCTTTTCTCCGATTTAGCGTTTGGTTTAGCAATGCAATAAAAAAACGCGCAAGCGGTTCGAGAGCACTTTCGTCCGTCAATTTTAATCGAAATCCCTAAGTCGCAAAGTGCGTTCTCGTTACACGCAAAGTCGATTTGCGCGGATTCGGCGAAACGAGATCGACGAAACAACACGGGATGGGGCGAGAGGGTGCGCAAATCAATTTATGCGAATAGAATTCGCCGCCGCAGCCGCCGTCGCGAGGAATGATGCTGATCGAATCGCTTTTCCCGAGCCTCTGCTCGCATCTGGCGATCGAGAGAAAGAGAGAGAGAATCCGTATTTATCAATTTTTTTATTATGTGAAAGCGTGTTTATCCTTATTAAGATAATACACTGAAAAAAATCCATGTACTTTTACATGGAAATTACTAGCTCAGAACTGGAAAAGTTACTTGCTTATCATTGTAATTTTTTTTCCATTTGTTTTAAAGTGAAAATACATATTAATGTTAAAATACATATAAAATATAGGTAAAATTACTATTTTTATGCAAAAATCATATGTAATTTTCAATTTACCATTTTTACTTTATTAGAATTTTATTTTATAAGTATTTATTTATTTTATTTATAACATTATTTTATAGCATTTATACATTTCTAATATTTCCTATGTGTAATTACATGTTCAGTGAAATATTTTTAATCTTGAAAATATTTAAGAATATATTTCATATAAAATTACATACAATCTGTAATCTTCCATGTAAGTATCGATATTGCATGATTATGCTGGGTCGGAAAAAAACCTAGCTTAATCATGTAATTTTACATAAATATTTTTTTCAGTGTAATAATATTTTGCTTGGTCATTGGTTTTTATTTTATATTTTCTATTATGGAAACTCGTGATTCTGATATTTCTTTTTATTTAATAATATCCATCTGAATTTTTATTTCTTCTCGTTGCACGTCCTATATTTTATTTTTCTCGTTATTTATTATTCTTCTTGCGTTGCCAGTTCTTGATTTCTCGAGAAATTGTTATATCCATTGTCTGATTTATGTTTCTCTGTGACATTATCAATTACTGTTTTTAAACTGTTATGCTAGATTCATATATATCCATGAATATTCTCGTGTTTATAGTAACCATTAATAATCTTTAAATTATAGATTTCACGCATACTTATCATCTCTGGTCATTGTCATTAATTATCTCTTTTTTATATAGTCTTATTACTTTCTTGTTGCTCCAATATCCAATTCTAGTGTTGAAATCTCCAAACACTTTTCTATTAATTTCTATTCTTGCTAGAATTCTTGTCATTTTCTTGAAAAAAATCTTATAAATTTACATTGGTTTATTCTCGTCATGTGCCACATTTCTCTCTCACAATAATATCGTGTATGTTCTTATATTCTGTTCATTTCAAAATACTTCTATTAATCACTTTCTAGTTATTAATTTTTATTATTTTTTCTTTAAAAATAGGAATTTGACTGCTCTCCTTAGAGATTCCAATAAATATGTATATGCACGTATTCTCTGACGACGTTTTAGCGTCCGTTTCTTTTTTCTGAATTTCAGTCAATACTACGATATCCAGATTCTCTCTAATTCTAATGAGATAATGACGGTTCTTTTTTATTGATATCTTTCTTTGTTGCCAAATACATTAACCATTTCTTTGCTTAATTCATCTTCTGGAAAATCCGTTTATTTTTTTTTCGAGGGTTTGTTTAGACCTTTGTAATTTTTTTACGAGTAAGAACTAGTTTCCTTCAACTTCCTATTCTCTTTTATTACTCTTAAAATTTAATATAAAATGTCATTTTTTGTTATCATTTTAATAAAGCTACTTAAAGTTACTTTGCCACTTTTCTTGTCAAAAACGATCACTATTTTTTTTTTTTTGTTGATAATTAGATGGCAGCGCTTATATAATTACTAATGCTAAATACATGGTGATTAAGACGATGATTTATTACGACGATGTGAAGGACGTTGTCGAGCATCGCGAATCGCGAGTAACCACGCCTAGTTGGCCGCATGAGACGCGGTTTCTAGTTTGCAAACACTTTCATCGCAAATATGTTGGGTGGGATATCAACGGTAAAGGCAAAAATGTGCGGTAACGCATTTTATGTCTCCCGACATAAAAGGCCAGGGAGAGCCTTCCCTTTCCCCCCGAGACTCGAGTATCGACGGCGACGATTCGGCGCCGCGGTCGGGAAAATGCCTCGTAAAGTTACGCGATGCGAAAATTCGGATGCTGGCGTCTTTCATGTATCGCGATCGCACGCGAGACCAATATTTGCGTGTCGTTGACAAAATTTTCCGTCCGCGGTTTCAATCTGCTAATTTTGCGAAAACGGTCGCGCGCATCCTTTGAAAAATTCTACAAAAGTAATTTAACTAAATCACGTTTTTAACGGTACATATATTCTATTAACATATTCTAGCTTTTTATATAACTCTTCAAGCCGAATATTACATTCACATAAAATGTCCGGTTATACGTAATATCCTGAAACGTGAAAAAATTGTTATCTGCTTTTCCAGTGTCGATAATAATCTTTACGGCAATCGCGATATTAACGTTTAGAAAATACCGTCCGTGCATGTTTCGCCACCGTAAAAGCGACGAGCTTTAGCAAGATACGTGTACGTATTTAGCTCGTGTCTTACAAAAGTGTCATTTGTACATCCTAACCCGTACGCATCGCCCATTTGGGAGCCGGGGTAAATATGGCGCGAGGTTGAAAGAGAAAACCGCCTGTGCGCGAAAAGGTGCTGTAAAAGGGGCACGTGAATAGTCGGGAGGTACGCAGATATAGCTTCTATATACGCGCGTCAACGCCGGGACACCTGCGAAAGCAAAGAAGACGGCTTTTCTTCTCTTCGTTGTATAAACTGCGATTTTTTTTTCTCTTTCAGTCGTGCATTGTCGGCGCGGCGGCGATTGAAGGAGATTAATCGCGTCATGCGCGAAAGATCAATCGTCGTTGTCCACGCGCGCGTGTAATGGACATTTAAAATATTAGTATTTCCGATCGAGGTCGACGTGCTCCGGCGTCACGTAATAACCAATAAAAAAAAAACACGGCAACAATTACATCAGGACTCGTAATAAAACGATTGAAAATTTGTAGAATCATATCTTCCTCAAATCATTAAAGTTTCGTACTTTTTTTCAAGAAACAACGAAGAAACTTCTCAAGCTCTATTGTGGAATTTCGAATTAAGCGAATTAGATGTAATATTCATTGCTTAGTCAACTATTTCAATTTCCTCGAGGAGGTATGCGGGAGCAGCTCTCTGCTGAACGCAAGACGTTATATTGATTTCCATATATAATTACGCGCGTGTGCTGGAAATAAGGGCGAGCGGCACGCGACACGATTATGTGTGCTAAGGTACATTGAACAATGTGTAAATGATAAATTAAGCCAAGTTTACCCCGTTCCATTATTTCATGTATAATTTCAAGATTCTCTCTTTCTCTCTCGCTCTTTGACTCGCTCGTGTTTCGGCGTCTTTTTTCCCTTTTTTATAATTCTCGCGCGATCGTTCACATTTCACATATTTTCAATGATATTTACAGAGAGAGAGAGAGAGAGAGAAATTTAGGATTTTTGTATTTAAGTTTATTTTATTTTATTCTTGAATAATGATTCTGATTTACTGGTATATAATCATTTTTCTATTGTGGAATTTCAAATTAAATGTTTATTTATTGCTTAGTCAACTACTAGATTTATGATCTTTTTATTTAAGTTTTATTTAAATTTGTTGTCTTGTTCACGTTTATTTTCGAATGATGCTTCTGCTTTGCTAGCAATTTGTATAAGACTTGTAAAGTTCCTTCAGTCTATTATTACGTCGTCTTAGAGGCTACAAATTCTTGCTCGATTTTTCTTTTGCAATATTTGATGTTGTTTTAATACAAGAATATCAAGAAAATTACCTCTTTAACTCTTAATAATTACTCGATTCAATACAATCCAGGATGTTATCTTTATATAGAATGATAATATATAATTATACTTCTCGCGGCTCCATTAATTTAGTTTCATTTGTTTTCGTCGAAATATAATTATACAAGCGATCAAAAGCACACTTAAAAAAATTAACTTTTTATGAAAGTTTAGAATTAAAACATTAATGAAAATCGCGGGTTTTGTTCTATTGTTTTCTATTTGGTTCGAAATATGCACCGTGCTCCGCATTCAAAGTATTCCAAATTCAATATTGCGACCAATAACGGTTTGTAAAAAAGAAAATTTATATTGGTATTGAAAAAAATCAG